GAAGTTGTGGCCTGAGCAATGGCACCAAGAGTTAGACTTGGGTGCCGGTATTGAAGTGAGAAATAAGATTCAGTTAAAGATCCAGCGCGGATCACTTACTCTTTTGCTGAAGATGAGGCGGTATCTTCACAGCTGTCCAACAACCATTGAAAAGCTCATCGCGAACCCCAGGTAAGACTTGATCTTGGAGTATCTTGGAGATTCCAGTGATAGCGTCTGCAATAGCAGGAACAGGTGGATGGGATGAAGTAGCGAGCAGTGTGATATCCGGTGATTGAACAGTGAGAACGTCTTGTGGCTTGCCTCGCTTTCCTTATGAATATGAATTCTTTTAGGTGGTGGGTATGCGAAGTCAAATGTCGCATGAAATTGGATTGCGAGGTAGTCGCGCTAGCTTTGCATAAGAATTGTGATGATTATGTAGAAAAAAATGACTTACCAATAAGCTTGTGTCGTCGTTAGAGAAAGCAAGATCTAAGTATTGTAGCCGATGAATTGGTCGAGGCAGACAACCATCTTGGCTTTGATTCGCAGCCTGAGTATGAGTATCAAGCATTTGGAAGTTAGTAGTACCTGCGAGACCTCGTGAGACTCAAACATCCTCGCCTTCCATCTTTTTGTACGTGATAATAGCGCCGACAATCCTTGAGATCTATAGATCGTCGTAAACATACTTTTCACGTCATACAACACGAAGAGCAGATAAGCCTTGTTAATTGTGTTGTTAGCTACTGTGATGAAAGTACAATTGACCTGTAAGTACAAGTATGATGAATATTGGTATTGTGAGAATGAATCAAGAAGCTCTATACGTTGCGATACTCTTTACATGTAAGTACAAGTGTGATGGTATTGTGAGAACGAATCGAGAAGCTCTATATACATTGCGATACTCTGTAAGTACAAGTGTGATGGTATTGTGAGAACGAATTGAGAAGCTCTATATACGTTGTGATACTCTGTAAGTATTACAAGTGTGATGGTATTGTGAGAACAGATCGAGAAGCTCTATACGTTGCGATACTCGAAGGCAGGGCTTCCAGGTTTGGAGGACTCTACGATAGTGTGCGTGAAACCAGGACCCTCTCTTTGCAAAACCTCCTCAACAGAGAAGACTTCCACATCTTCCAAACTCAAAGACTTTTGGAGATACGGCAGTAACTCCTTCGTAATGGTCATATGTCTTTACCTTGAACGCCTGGATGAATGGCATAGCGCGCTTTACATAGAACATTATATCTAAAAACCATACACCAAGTGTCACACCTTCAGAAACCAATCGAGTTCTTGTACATTGTCAAAGCAACATCATGCTACAACTAGACATCACTGTGAAATCTGCTGAATACAGGACTCAAACCGTGCCGACGCCTCGCCTTCTAACATTGGATCATATTCCTCCTCATTCTCACTGCCAGCGACCACTGTGTTCACTTGCAAGGGGATAGAACCGGTGTAACCTGGTAAGCTATATATGTGTGCAAGGCAGTTGCGATGCACATCGTTAATCCGGTGTTGACGATGGTACAGTAACCACAACTCCGCAGCAAGTCGCGTATCCGTCGAATCGAGTTCTGTAGCCGCCCGTTCAATATCAGAATCCTCCATGTCAACCCATGCCTGCAGGCGTTGTATTTCAACATTCAGTCGAGTTATTTCTTCCTGCGCGCGAATGATTTTGAAATACTTATTCGTCATCTCGTGATGGATGCCTTTGCTCCATGGCTTTGCAAGTATGTCATGGCGTGAGCACTTGAGAATCTCGAACTCACCGAGAGCCACACAAGACATGACCTCACTGTATTGAAGGGTAGGCCGTTGGGGGTTTTGAGGGAGAGCGAGCTTGTTGTATTTGTCGAGCGCTGATCGGATCGCACCAGAACACTTCATGATGGCTTTGGAGATCTGTTTCCGAAGTTTGTAGCCTAGAATCACATGAGTGGCAAAATATACATGAAGACTGATAGATACCTGTGGATGCAAGATTTGCCTTAGATAGCTCGAACATGCGTTGCACAACGAGACCTTCAAGATCTTTGATAGCACGAATAAATTGATGCTTTCAGCTGTATTCCAGTGTTTTGATATACTCCTGAGACTGAGGGGACCATCGTGTGACTACACTCATTCGATCTTCGATATCCTCGACAACACTTATCTGGACTTGCAGGCGTCGCTCGGCAGCACGTCGAGCTGCATGTCCTTGCTTTGTCGCATGCAAAGTGTCTTGACTAAGGCCCGAGTCTTGCGTAAATGAAGAGGGCGTTGTGGGTGAGGAAATAGAGATGCGAACTCCGGGGAGTCACAAGAATATCTACCTCGAGAGGCGAGCTAGTAGAATCGTCCCTTAGGGGATGCTACTGAGTCAATCTCCCTAAATAATGAGAGGGATCAAGAGAAAGGCTCAAGTTGGAAAGTGCGCGAAGGTGCAAGGCTGATGTGATGAACACGCGGAACGCGTGTGGTACGTGCGCGATAGGAGAAGAGTGGCGGAGGATAGTAGGAACTCTCCTTGGATGGGGAACGAGGCTTCACAAGACAAAGAAGAAGATAGACAAAAGCTGTAATGATATTAGCGCTCTAAGCGCGACTAGACAGAAAACTGATAGTGAGTCCAAGTAAGGGAAAAGTAAGTAAGTCCGAAATCCTCTGAGTCTACTAGATATGTAAGTCGCTACGCGCGCTCTCAGGGTAATGAAACGTAAGGGAAGCGGATAGGCTGTGCGGAAGCGCGTAAGGAAGCGGATAAGTATGTAACACTATGTAAAAGACCCTGGATGTGGTCAGAGACGGAGATGACAGTGAGAGTACGCACCAATGGTACCGGACATACAGGACAGGACATGGGAGGGTATACCAAACTTAGCGCTGGGCTGCGGAAGGGTGCGCAATGTCGCGGGTCGTCGCGCATGTTGCGGAAGGTTGCGGAACACTGTGGAGGGTCGCGCGTGTAGTGTGCGTCTCTATAGAACTATGCATGTGTTGGGATAGGGATGAGGTCGATGTACAAATGAGGGGATACGAGCCTGTAGAGATATTACTCTCTACAGCGTGTATGACATAAATTGACTGTTATGTGAAGCTTCAAAAGCGGCCCTGGAACACATTCATGATTTATCATGCAAAGTTAAAAAAAAATGACTCACTGGCACTTCTCGAGCTTCTCGAGCGCTTCAACATACTCGACTGCAGTAGCATCCTGTGCAGGCTCTACGGCCACAGCTTCCAGATAAGCGAATTCTTCCGCAATCCAACTTTCAAAATCAAGTCCCTCCCCGGGGAATGTTGCGCGATAAGCTTCGAGTTCCTTGGTGTAGTCGGAAATCACAGTTAGTGCTTGCTTGTAATTATTCAGAATAAACCGGCCTAAATCAAATGATTGAATGACCCGAAATTATCATACTAAGTGGCGCACTTACTAAGTTCAAGGTACTTATCGATATCCCACTGGTCGAAATGAAGCTCCAGGAACTGAACGTAATGGAAATGCGAAGCATGACATATAAGTGGCGCTGCAGCGTTAGAGGCTGCGAACACACACTCGCATGTTTCCAAGTCCTCGAGCCCAAATCCATGAAGGTAAAGAGGGTGATGTTGCAGCTGGCACTTGCGATTGTGCGCGTGGCCATGAAATGTGTTGACAGCAAGGATAAGATGATGATCAGCAGCTTTCTCTCGAATCGAGCTTGCAGCAACCGTTTTCCTGAGACTACATCCGATGTTGCTACCAATGCCAAGGTGGTCGCCAAACACGTCAATTAGTTTATTAATTGTTGCCAGTGGGTACTTTGCCCTAGTAGAAGCAATGAAGACTTGATAACGTAAATAAAAACAAAAAACGTACAGCTCTCCACTGCGCCTCATTTCTGTAAGAGTCTGAATAATTCCATGGCGACATGCAGATAAAAATATTCCCGTCTGCTCGAATACGCGGACGGTGTTCTCGCTCCCAGACGCAGAATTTGCTGCTTGCCAATTATCTGTGCAAGTAAGAGAATCGTTCAGTTGGTTGGGCTGATTGGCAGCGCTCCATTCACCAGGACGTAAGTGTACGTCATCTTTAAATCTATCCACATCAGAAGACACGATCATATACCTACTTGGATAAACTCGGCGGTCAGTGAAGCCTACATTATCCATTCGTTTCGCAGAATTGTTGCCGTCCACAGCCCTGAGAGATGCAGGAAATAAGGCAACTTCGTCAGGTTGCTGTCAAACGAATTCAGATATGAAAAAGAGGGCGCTCATACTATTCACCTTGAAGGTACATGCAGGGCAGCTGTTGTGAAGCTGCCAGTCAGGGTCAGATCGGCCAAGCGCCACATCAATGCGTGATTGGACCTCGCGAATGATAGCAAGATAGACATCGAAAGCAATTGCAAATTGTTCACGGAATGATTTGATATATGTGACCTAAACTGAACAGTGAGCCGATATAGTATCATAATCAGGAGTGGTGTGACGTACATTGTGTAATGCACATAATACTTTCGCGAAGGCCTGGATACTGAATGATGACTGTCAACAATGTCGAAGCTGATGGTAAAGTTCGAGACATTGTAGAGTGATCGCAACTGTTGGGAGTCATAGGAGAGCACCCGAGGAGGCCAACTTGCAATAATGCTATATTGGCTGTTTCCTCGTGATTTTGCGCAATCTCACAAACTGGATGATAATCTATACTGTGTAAGACCTATTGATCATAATGAGATAACTTGGAGTACATACCAAACACATCAATCTGTCTGACGTGGAAGTGGTGTACTGGTTGACGGCCCTCTGCATTTGTGTTGTTGCGAGGGCCATGTTTCCAATGAAGATAGGCATCCGCGAGCTCTCGTATCTGAGCACTCCAGGCTGCATGCATATTTGCATTGCGTACCTCCCGTGTGCGCTGGTCGTTACGGCGTCGATTACAGCTGTAAAAAAACAAGTGTGATGATCTGAAATCAACTGTAGAATATTACTTACCTGGCGTTCAATCGCAGGAGTCCATATGAAGAGAAAAGATTCTCTTCAGTTGATCGGAGTGGTCTGGCCCCACTGCTATCGCTCCTGGTACTGGTATCGCTGTCATAGTCTTCGAAATTGTGCGCCGTCAAATCAAAATTGTCCTGTAAGGTGTCATGGAAGTTGTCGGCATCAAACACAGTTCCTGTTTCAATAGCAGCCTCAGCAGCAAGAAAAATGCGCTGATCTGGAGACAGGTGAGGGGAAGAAAGTAAATGCAAGGACAAGGACAAGGACCAAGAGTACGGCTTACCACAGGCTTGTTGTTCTCTCAAGTGTTCAGCTTCAAGGCGATCACGGCGAATACGAATGAGTCCGGCTGAAGAAGTACGTGGACCAGAGCTACGGAGGACTGTCATAGTCACACGGCGCGATGTCGAACGGAAAGTGGGCTGCTTCCCCATCGTCGACGGTGGGGTGGAGATGACTAGGAAAAAGCTTAGTAAGCTTGCCCCAGAACATGAACATACCTTACATTACATAGACCGTTATAAATGTAAATTAATGCCGGATATTGCTGGTGGAGATAAGGTAGACAGGCTCCCATGCACAGAGGCAAAAAGCGCTTGAAAAAGGCATAAATATGAGCCATATAAGTGAGCTCATCGTCGTCGACGATGAGCTCGCATGTTGGTAGGTCATGGGAGACAGTGTGGAGAACTGACAGGAATTGCCGGCTGCTGATTAGTACATAAGCATAATAATCGCCACCCAGCTATACACCGGGTATAGCTGGGTATATAGCCGGCAAGAAAATACCTTACAAGTCACTGGTAAATGCTGCGGAAATCGCTGAAGTCTTGTGTGGTAGGCTTTTCCCTCTAATTAGGAATGTTGTAGCATATGTGCTAATATTACTAAGTAGTAACATAAGCGGTGACGGTCAGGTGACTCAGATGTCCTTTCAACTTACTCGATGATGAAGATGATCCCCCTCAGAAGAAACCCTTGGGATGGCTGAAGAAAAGTCATCCAGAACCTGCCGGTGATTTGGGGAGAGAGACAAGAGGGCAGCCAATAATGTATGCACTTTCGTTTTTACAACTATATTGTTTCTGATGATTACAGCAGTCCTCTCTCTCGCCTTCAAGTAATGCATCTCATGGACCATTCTCGCGGTTGGTTCCCAAGTTACTCAGCAGGGCGAACAACCATTCTGCTCAAAGCGCTCGACAGTCTCCGAACCTTGAACTTACAACTGCAACTTTCAATGCGCAGGATCTCCTATGCTCTCAGACAAGCCAGGTATGTGCAACTCTCGGTACGTTCTGTGTGTGATCTAACTGCCATAGGATCCTTCACCCATCGCTTCATCAGGAAAACACTCCCCAGACAAATTTACAGAAAAATGCTACATTAGAACTGATCCTGCATCATTATGTCTAAATTTTACAAATTCAAGTTTTAGCAAGATTAGTTCGGTTTTTTTTACCCCCTTATAAAAACACAAGAATTAGCAACTATTTTCAGGAATTCAAACACATTATCAGAACTTGTAGAATTGATTAGTTGATCTTAGATGTGGATTCCAACCGAATCAGACAGAATAAGACACAAGAACAAAATTAAATTTGATTAAAAATGGGTATATGGGCAGTAGGCTGATTTAAATAACAGCACGCGCTATGACCACCGGGAGACTATGTACCAGCTTCACAATTCCATATTGTACACCATGAAACGAGCGGGGGATGATTCAGTCTTCTTCCATATTGTCGAGGTCAAGTAACTCGAATGCTTCAAGCTCAGCACCATGGCCACTGGCAGTGGCGCCACTGTATCGCATAGACCAACATAGTAGAAGTCAACACCCTGCCAGCAGCGTCAATATACAAATCGAAGCGGCGGCACCACGCACACCAGCGAACTTAAAACTTACTGTACAGCTTCATAAACATCGGCCATCAAGTGGTGAAACTTCCCAGGTGCGTTAAACCTTGAAAAAAACGAGTCAGTGCCGCTCAATGACCTAGGGGAATGGACATTACTGATGTCGCGACCAGTGCCAGCAATGGGACAAGGGCGCGGACCTTGTCGACATGGCTTGCGAGGCTGGCTTGGGTCTCATATAACTCTGAGCACAGCTCGAAGAAGGATCAAGACACTCACATCCTGCGAAGAGTGGGCAACGACATGGATCAGCATAGCTCAAGCTCGAAGGAGGATAAAGATAGTCGCATACTGCGAAGAGTGGGCAACGACTTGAGTCAACATGGCCCGAGCTCGAAGGAGAAAGGTCAGGGTGCTCTGGGGGAGGTGCAGGGGTGCTGGGTTTGCGGGCGTGGCAGATGCGGGTGTGGGTGCAGAGGTGGTCGAGGCTTGTTGTGAACGCATGGGAGGGAGCAATTGGGTGAAGTGTGGTAGGTTTTGGGGCTATGGGGAAGGGAGATAGTCAGTATGTAGGAATAAAGAGAGTGGCGGGAATAGACCACCGAGCGTGTCGTGAATGTATTGAAGAGCTCATAGTTCTGCGCCAGTGTCACGGCTCTTCTGGAGTTCACCTGGATGTCGGGAGGAAGAGAGGCGGATGTTGGGATGGCCTCTACGTGGACAGCGAGATGTGCATCTTCGTCAGTGAATACACACATGACGCGGGCAGCAACTTTGTGGTGGATGGTGGTCTTGTTGTCTTCACCGATAATGTCGATACCGAATTCCTGCAGGGGGGTTGGATGGCTCAGACGGAGGGAAATGGGACAGACATACCAGAGCTCGCGGCTGCCAGCGCCTCCACTGATACGCGTTGTGTCAGGGAAATTCGTCAGCTGCGCAGGTGGAATAGGTTGTGATGTTGAGGGCATTGGGGGCAATGCACCATTCTGTTGAGAAGATTGTGGAGTGATGGCGGCGACGGCTGCAGCAGCACAGACATCTAAGTGAGTTATGGTGTGAAGGACATTGGAGGGACACGCAAATATTTCTGTTGAATTCAACCGTGGGAGCTTTTCCACGATTAGTCAACATTGACTGTTTACACAAACAACTCTAAGTTCACTGTGTACATACAGTACTTACTGTAGTACCATTTCTACGAGTACTAGTGCTGTGTTTCCACTCGTTCACGCTCACCTGTCCTGTGCTTGTCCATGCGCTTGTCTGCACCTCCCGCCAGTAATTGCTTCAGGGTATCTTTACAGGTAAGTACTCCAAGTTTATATCTTAACCAATACTTGCAATTTACATCTACAGTAACTCAGGCCGCGGCTCAGGCCACCGCTGGTGACACTCACAGTGGTGAGGACTGAGCGCAGAACGGATCCGCCGTTCCCATTCCCTCCTTCCACTCTCATCCATCATCTGTACTTGTCTGAGCCACGTCAGCAGTTGCTGACGTGAATTGGGCATTTATGTCGCCTTGTTGCTCGCCGATCCGATACAGCTCTGGTGAGGGTGGGTATGAATTCGAAGGATCTTCGAGGTGCGTTATCTGTCAGTCAGTGTTAGTTACTTACTTTGTATTGATCCTAGATTTCCGCGTCGGTCAAGTTCGAGTCATGTTCACCTTCCCACCAAAATCCATCCCACTGCTCTTCCCACCAACGGTCCATCTTCCTACTCACCTTGTGTATGTTGAATGGTTTACACCATTTCCGCCAGCTCCAGACCGCAATAGCGGGCTATATAAGCTCTCGTGATCACAGCGCGGAGGTGATACTGTGGCTAGTATTGTGCCAATAGCAAATATCGAGCGCAGTGTTCATCTTATTCCGAGGTTTGGTGTTATAGCCCCACGAGAGTGGACGAGTGATACAGTGCTTGAGGACTGTGATACCTTCTGGTTGAACTCGTACATAGATAGATATACTTTTTCAATGTTCAGATAATTCTCAATAATTCTTGCCATGTTCGAAAAAAAACTCGTCTAACATTATCATCTTTAGCTACTTTGTAGATAAACAGCTGTGATTATGCTAATGTTACTATTTTATATGAATTCTGCCTAATTTGCCTTGGGAGGGTTTTCCTGATGTTCCACTTCTGAACCGAATTTTGACCAGTCCTCCAATGCAGATATTGCGAAGGTGAGTTCGAGCAGCATTGTTTCTCTCTTTCAATAATGTACCAAGGCCCATCATCAGGCCGAATCGCCGCCTGATATGAGGCGTGTGACAGAAAAGCTCACGCATGCCCAAACAGGTGTCACAGGCATCAGCCATGTGAAAGGTGCCGGTTCCTGATGCACGGAAGGAACCGGCACCACACGTCCAGCTGAGCAGCAAGCTGCCTAGTCTCCTTCTCGTTTTTCTTCGTCGTTACATCCAATGTCCTGCTCGCTCGTTTACTCTCTCCTCGCTCACCGACATATTTTCAGATCATGACCCACAGCCATCTGGGTCTCGCCCTGCCACCATCAGGGTCAGGCAGTTCATCAGCACCACCCTCCAGCGCAGCTCCACATAGCAGCCTTGGTGGGCATCCTGCTCGTCCTCAGCTCTCTCAGCCATTACCATCCCCTCCTCAAACCCAGCTGCCAGAGCCTTCAACTGATCGTCAACGCTTGCAACCTCCTACAGTCCAGCAGCCAGTTGCTTCGTCTTCTCGCTATCAACCATCTTCATCTGCGACGCCTACCTCTAATACGCCTGGAGCTCCCTCCATCACCACACCAAACCGAATTGCCCCCAGCCGTTGCTCCTGGGTCACGCCCCTCAAGCACTATTCGGCCCAATGCTCCTCAACCGGTTGCCAAACCGCCAATTGGTGGCCAGCAGCAACCTCTCGCTGCTACCGGCCACATCCAACCTGTTGCAGCTCAACCAGCTGCTCAAGTTGCTGCTCAACCAAACCCAGATGCACTTAACCACTTGGCTGAACGGGCGGCTATTCAAGCCAGGCTACGCGAGTTGGACGCTGAGGAAGCCAATGGTGCACACCATCCTGCCCAGGCTCCTCTCGATCCACTGCCAGCCCTGTTCGCTGACCCAGCAACAGTCGACCGAGCACGTGCGGCAGCAGCAGCCTTGCAGTTAGATGCAAAGAAAGTACCTTTACCAGAGCTGATTCCTGGTTTTAAAGTCAACCCTCTTGATGCCAGTGAGTATATGGTGTCTCACTTCATCATACATACACCGTTGTGCACCTGTCGCAGGTAGCTCATCGTCGTGAACTTCGATTCATGGGATCCACATTGATCCCAGCGAGTTTCGTTATACTTGTGTCTTTCAATAAAATTTACATTGTCAAAGCATTTATACTCATTGACATGCCCACAGTCATTCTCCCCAAGGTAGACGAAGCTGTGCAACAATACAAATACGTCCCTTATATTTCGGTCACACCGGCAGCTCGTCTTCATGCCTTTTGCAGCAGCGAAGAAGCCTTTTCGTTTAACTCCCAAGGCATTCTTATGGCCAAAGGTTTAGACCGCAGTAGGGAACGAACTATCAGATTCCATGAGTGGTTAACAGCTTCCAGAATTGTGGAGGAGCGTGTCGCATTTCATCACGGTGCCAGCAGGAGTGCTGCATTTGCCTCACACCATAGGGTCGTATCAGATCTCGCATCGTCCCACGGTTGGGATATAGCACAGGAATACGACATTTCGCAGAGGGAACTCGCAGCGCAGAACCCTGCACACGACCTGACGGGTTTAGATCTGAGTGCCCTCACCTTGGTCACCACGCAAGCTGCAGCCCGCATGTCTTTAGCAGCACCACAGGCCTCCATTGTGCACCCTTCGTCGCCATCCAAGCGCTCAGCGCTGCCAGAATTTTCATCTGCAGTTTCGCAAACTCCTCGCAAGAGAGCTCGTCTTCATTGCTTTCGATGTGGGCACTCCGGTCACCTGCCTGGAGACTGCAGTGCCGAATCCACCTCCGCAGGCAAATCACTTGCGCCGCTCGCAACATCAGTGAAGAGCCATCACGCTCTCACAGCGCCCAATGGCAAACACTTCTGCTTCAACTGGGCCAAGTCCGCTGCCTGTTCTTTCGGCACCAACTGCACCAACTTCCACGGGTGTAGTATCTGTGGTGATCCAGGGCATGGAGCCGGTACCTGCAACCAGCGAGCCTGACCCTCACACAGTAATCACCCCGCTAATAGCAGATCGTGTTGAAGATCTTCTTTGTAAATATGGAATATTGAATGACTGGACGCACATACTCTCCGGGATCCGATGCGGTTTTGATGTTGGAATTCGCAACAAACCACTGATGACTCATTTATTTCGAGAATCATACCTCTTCCCAACTACATCCTTCCTTCATCGACTCTTACATAGCTGGCGAGCAAGACGCCGGTCGTTACTCGCGTGGATACTCTCCAGACGAACTCGAACTTCTAATCGGGCCATTTCTATCCTCGCCTCTAGGCCTAGTACCGAAACCTCACTCCAGCAAGTTTCGCCTGGTCCAGGATTTATCGTACCCCCAAAACGATCCTTTGCTGGCTTCCGTCAATGCTGGGATCAGAGCCGACGATTTCCCCACGATATGGGATTCATTCGACAGCACAGCAGAGCTAATTCTTTCCTTACCACCCGGCTGCTTAGCAGCGACGTTCGACATATCGGCAGCATACCGCATCACCCCTGTTCGACCTTGCCAGCAGAACTCCTTGTGTGTGTTTTGGCGAGGAGTGGTGTATGTGGACAGAGCCCTCATGTTCGGTTTGACATCGAGCGCGGGGGTCTTTGGATCCGTTGCCGACATGTTAGTTGCTATATACAGCCGTGCTGGCTTCGACCTCATTCGCAAATGGGTGGACGACTTTCTAGTCATCCGTCTCCCAAACCAGTCTTGGTCGGAGGCCGACTTTATGGCCCTCACTGCCTTCTGTGGCGTTCCGTGGAGTCTCGAGAAGCTTCGCCGGCTGGCAGCCATACAGCATTACATAGGGTTCGATTGGAACCTCGACAAGAAAACAGTCGCCATCCCAGCCGAGAAGCTCACCAAAACTCAAGCACTGGTAGCCTCTTGGCTCGAACACGGTGCAAAATTCTCCATGGAGGATGCAAACAGCCTACATGGCAAACTCGTCTACATCTCTTGCGTTTTCCCCATGATCCGCCCTTTCTTGCGGGCATTATCCATATTCGCACCATCCTTCCGCTCTCCACGGGCTCGTCTATTTCCCTCGCCAGGTCTAGTCAAGGACCTTCGGTGGGTTGCCGATCTATTACAGCTTCTGCCGAACGAGACCCACCTTCGTTCCTCGTCCCCCCTCGATATTGGCTGGTGGGGAGATGCCAGCACTTCGTTTGGTGTCGGTGTGGTTGTCGGCCAGTTTTGGGCAGCTTGGCGCTGGGCACCAGGTTTTCGAGTAGGCCCACGTCTTGCCTTCGACATCGAATGGGCGGAGGCCGTCGCTGTGGAATTAGGGCTTCGTCTCGCGTTGCACCTCAGTTAGTTGCTGATATTTTTCTGACCCATTCCCTCGCTCATTACTAGCTGCAGACTTGTTGAATCATGTCGGCCCCCACAAACATGTATTCCTGGTTCGTTCAGACAACACGGGAATCGTCGCCGTAACCAACAAAGGTCGATCACGGAGCAACACTACCAACATCATCCTCAAGCACATCTTCGCGCTGCAAGCACAACACGATATTCGCATTCGCACAGAGTATGTACCCAGTCGAGAAAACATCGCAGACGCACTTTCCCGTGGCGATATAGCAACATTTTTAGCAGGTTTCCCTCTTGTGGCCCAGAAAGCCTCTTTCCCCTTACCAGAGCACCTAGCAGACAAACTGACATCATTGTAGCATCTGCTCGCATACCTTCCTTTCCCATCACTAGTGCCCTTCCTCCAGCGCCACCTGCTTCGTCTCGGGCCCTAAGCCTCAACCCTTCCCCTTTCCGTCCCCACTGCCGTGCAGATGAACACTTGTTCCTATGGCGGGGGCCAAACACTCCACCACCCACTACAATTGCCCATCCAATCATCAAGCATATAGCAAGCTTGGCTTCTAGAGCCTCTCTTCGTGATACTGCTAGCTATGGTGCTGGCCTCCGCAAGTTCCATTTATTTTGTGATATATTTTCGGTACCAGAACATGATCGCCTCCCAGCCTCTTTCGAACTTCTGCATTCGTTCGCACTGTGGGCAGTATCTGATCCCTCGTCAATCGATCTTGCCCTTGGTACACTAACATCAATCTCTTTCGAACCCGTTTCAGTTGGTGTCACGAGAAAGTACCTCGCTGCAGTTCGTGCCTGGCACATTGTGCATGGCTGGCACCCCCCGTTATCAGAGGACAACCACGCGAGGATCAATTGGTCACTCCGAGGTTTAGACAACCTACTCAGCTCTCGTCGCCGTCCCCTCTGCCCGCCCGTTACCCTTAACATGCTACATGCACTCAAGGCCACCTTGTCCCTCACAGAGCCCTTCGATGCTTGCATTTGGGTGATGGCGAGTTGTGGCTTCTTCGGCATGATGCGCTTCGGTGAGGTATCAGTGGAATCGAGGGCAGCTTTCAAGCCCTCAAAGCACCTAACTCGCAAGGACGTCTGTTTAGGAACTGACCTCGTCGGGAAGGCTTACGCCCGTCTGGACCTACCCTCAGCCAAGACTGCCCGTCCAGGTGACACCCAGTCCGTCTTCCTCGTGGCTCAAGGCCCACTCTGCCCACTAGCTGCACTCCAGAACCTGGCTTCTGTTGTGCCCGCTCTCCCACACGACCCGTTATTTTCTTGGCGTGATCGCGCAGGTACCGTTCGTCCCATGGTAAAGCAGTGTGCGCTTGCACGCATCAACTGCATCACCACAGCATGGGGTTGGGGCACGGCCTTTGGACACTTGTTCCGCATAGGAGGGGCATCCTTCTACCTGGCCAAAAAGGTAGATCCAGAGATCGTACGCCTAGCCGGCCGTTGGCGCTTGTTGGCCTATGAAATGTACATTCGGGCCTTCGAGCAGGTGGCCACCCAGCACCTGGGTGACCTGGCATCATAGGGCTGCCTCACTGGTTGGGTTAGCTGGCTTATATCGCCGCAGTTTGGGTTCATCAGCCTATGGGTAAGCGGCAATCTTGCCAGCGTCCGAACCGAGCTAACACTCGGTCCCAGCCCAACCACTGATTGTCCGACATCATCGTTTTCTGCGTTAGACGAAGCTGGAATGTGAAAGGTGCCGGTTCCTGACACACGGAAGGAACCGGCACCACACGTCCAGCTGAGCGGCAAGCTGTCTAGTCTCCTTCTCGTTTTTCTTCGTTGTTACATCCAATGTCCCGCTTGCTTGTTTACTCTCTCCTCACTCACCAACATATTTTTACCCGCCCGCCACTCCCAAGTTTAATGTAGTCATGCCATAATATTTGCCATCGTGTATTAGCTTATATATAATTAACTACTGTACATAAATACCCACTATCAGCTTCATATATCAATGAATTGTCATATTATATAGTCGTTCAATCAGCCCGCATGTCGAGTTTCCCGCCCACCCAGCAGCAATCTCGCCAGCGTCCGAACCGAGCTAACGCTCGGTCCCAGCCCAACCACTGATTGTCCGACATCATCGTTTTCTGCGTCAGACGAAGCTGGACTATTCAAGAAATTGTTCAAAATATTGCTTCAGTGTCTGACAACCTACAATCCGTTCCTGATATGATCGACACATTTTCCAAAAATACTCGGACCATTGAAGATATTCAATTCCATTGCTAACGGGCTTGCAGATGTATGGGTGTCTATTTCATTTTCGTGTGCGACTGATCTTCGTGCATAGGTCCATCAATATGCAAAAGTGGTGTTGAGTATATTCACCTGCGCTTCCAAGGTGAGCTGGTTTTCCAATCATTACCTTTGCAGGTTGCTGATTTTATCAGCCATTACTCCGAGACGAAGAGTGCCTGTGAGTTGAACTGTTTCGTCTCTTGATACTCAATATTAATGTTGTCTCGTCGCACAGGGATAAGACTTGGCAAGCACATTTTCAACGAAACAGATGCCACGATCAAGAGCTGCAGTGATGTTCCTGACAGCCTCATGCAGCAATTCCAATTACGAGACCGAGCGGCCCGTGACACCGTTGTGATCGTGCACAATATGGGTAGGAGTCGTTTTCTAGGTCTCTCTGAGCCTTATCTCATGTTTCACTCCCCATGGCATAGCTGAGAGTCTGAGCGCGGACTTCGCTTCAACATCTGCAGTGTGCCGTTCCAATTGCTTTTCAGATCTTTGTAATTAGCGCCTGATCGACATTCTCGCATCCCAACCCCACCCCAATCATCAAGCACGCTTCTAACAAGGTATCCCATCTGCATCGTCCCGCACTTCACCTACTGACTTTCACCATGGATAACTTCTGCAGTCTTGCATTCAGTCACGGACCATGCGGAGAGACTTTATATGGGACGAGTCTCTTTGTGGATGTGTGGAAGAGATATTGATGGTGATGGTCTATCAAGAGATGCGGAGTGTCGGTGTGGTTCTGTGGTATCGATGTAGTTGGCTCACGCAGCTCGCGAGATATCAACAAGTACTGTTATCGCAAAGGTACGCTCAACGCAAGTTGTCCAGGTCTCTACCACCCATTGCAACAGCATCCGAATTCGTTCTCACTGCCTTATTCCACATTGAATCGCCGCACTCTTCCAATGAACTTCTCCATACCTGATCTGCTGGCGATTCCATGCGCCGCCACCTCTGGATATGATCCAAGACAAAAGAAGGTTTCGAACAACGATACAGTGGCTATTCTGATGATATTGAAACAAGTAAGGCCAGGTCATTCTTAGGTGCTGCACAGTGCCGGAACTGGTTGACTGATCAATAGAACACAGACACCATACCCACATCTAAACTCGCTACCGCTACGATTACAGGACGTCCCAAGGAACTCCAAGTGCCATTCATGTTCGACTTTGAACAGCAGATCATATTTGTTCATATAGCAGCGAGCCCATGCAAGAACCACTAACGCTGCAATCCTACCATCCACCAGCATACCTCATTACACCAATTACGCCTCACCACCAATGACTGACAGTACTCCTGCTGAGTATCCGCTATCACAATTCACCTCCCCACACAGCTTCTGCATTCTTGATTCGCTTCTTGAGAATGCCTCCAAGCATGTGAAAATGACTTTGGATGAGACAGGTCTGTTTGCGGATTATGTGTGGAAAAGTTGGAGTGGATTGATCATCGGTAGGAGTTCTGGGGTGCGTTCATATCCACCCACATACATACACAAGGCCACCTCAGGCAGCAGTTTTCGGAGGCAAAAGGTAGGCTTTCAGGCCGGGTTCCTATGTTATGGGAAACCGGCCTGAAAGGCCCATGATTCTCCAATGTAATTTAGGATCTGTTCTAAAAATAATATCATACCTTGTTGCCCTCCCGCCGGGCTGCTCGCGTGCTTTACCTCCAGGACCTGGATACCTCGCACTGCTCTTGAGCCCCAAGGACCTCCCCACCTCAACATGGATTTTTGCATACTATGTATTTTAATTAAGAAATAGAAATGTGCATGTTGTTTCCTACCTTCATCTCTATGGCTCCGCGCTCAGATACTCGTGCAGCGCAGCTCACTGTGTCTGGGCTGGGTGTTCAGTTTGTCAGTCCACAGAAACCAAGAGACAAACACAGAGCCCAGACATTGGTTGGACTCCCTGGGCACTCGCACCTTCCCGCTACGTTATACCTTCTGTGGTGCCCAGCGTTCACTAGCACCATTTCCACTATGAGTCCTGTGATGTAACAGGCAGGTGCTGTACCTCTACTAGTAGTGCATCCTCTCATACATCTGCACATCCGAGTCCTCTTGGACTTCCAGCACATCCTCTCGGACCTCCAGCACATCCTCTCGGACCTCCAGCACATCCTCTAGGACCTCCAGTACATCCTCTCAAACCTCCTGCACATCCGCTTGGACCTCCAGCACATCCGCTTGGACCTCCAGCACATCCTCTCAGACCTCCAGCGCATCCCTCTCATTCCTGCGCGCCCTTCTGTGCCTAAGTCCTTTTTTGATCTTCAAGTTATCTTCTAACTACCATGATGGTGCCTGCTATGTTCTACATGTGGCATCCAGCCAATGTCTGTGGGTTTCAACATCACTTTGTAAGTCCTAAAACTGTGCACGCCTGTCTTGGCCGACTGCTCATTCTGTTTCTCTTTCCTCGTTGTCATACTAAATTTAGCTTCATGCGGAATCTCAGGTGGATAGTTTGTATGGTTTGGGTTTGGGTACTATACGTGTGTCTATCAAATGTTCTTGCCGTTTTTGCTAACTGATATCTCTATCGATCGCACCGAGTCTCAAACCACTTCGGATCATTGTGTCGTTCATCCGCTGTTCCACTCGCAAGGACGACTTCCACCGTCCAGCTCTTCCTCAGCACCCAACCGCATCCACTACTCCCCCACTTATTCAACGGAAAACAACTGGACTGTCAATGACGTGGCCTATCCTTCTTCAACGCTAGTTTTGTGGAAGAAATTCCACTCAAGGCCGGCACCGAGCCAGCTCTTCCTCAGTACCCAACCACATCCACTACTCCCACACTTCTTCAACGATTGACAACCCATCGGTGTCGTGGCCTATCCTTCTTCAACACTGATTTTGTGGAAGAAATTCCACTCAAGGCCAGCACCCAGACAGTGTGCTGCTCTCCTGCATACTTCCAGCCCTTCAGCACACCCCCCAACACATCTCTCACATTCTCCCAATCCAACCACGCCCAACCACGCCCTACAGCACCCATACCCTGCGCCCTGACCATCTCAGTGATGATGACACTATGGCTGCGCTATTGTGTCCTCGTGCGGTGCGTCTCTCATTATTTTAGTAAGTTTTTCTACATATTTTCACCCATCCTTACTCAAAGTTGCCATTTGGTACCTTCTGTGAGCTACCAGCACGTTCGCCTGCTGGTATCATCCTGCACCCTCCTGCACCTGGAAGTTGTCGTCAGGCATCATCCTATCACTCCTCCACAACCCCAGTTTGATACCAAGTCCAATGCACAGTGCCTTGCCTGTATCATTTCTGTTTCCATCATGGCTGGTGAGCTATCCTTCTCAGTGCTCTCTCTGCTGGTCGCCTCATCTGTTCGCATCCAGTGCCCATTTGAGGGACGCGATGGTTATCGACGCTGAAGGCTTGAAGGTATCACGGCTGGTGCGTTGTCTCTTCTTGTGGATAACTCCCACAGCACCCATTGAAGCACCTTCACCGCACCTTGCTATCTTCCTGTCATCGCACAGTTGTGGACCTCTTCATCAATCACTGGCCATGCTCTTGCTCTCGTTGTGAAGAATGGGTAGGGTGGTATTATCTGTAGTAGTAGAATACACATTTTTGTTGATGAGCATGAACAACACCTCTGGTGTCGTCACCAATGCTTGGCTCCGAGTCGAAGACCTCAATCAGTCAAGATGCTGCTGATATATCTAACCTAATGTTATCCAACACAACATCAATCGAACAAGTACAAGATGATTGTGTTGGGTACGAGGCAGACTGGCAGCAGGAAGAAGTGGATGGACATGGTCAGCGGTAGTTAGAACACATCTTGCTGTGCGTGCATGCCGGAATACAGTTGGAAAGTTGCACAGAGGAGATAATAGTAGCTAGATAATAGTAAAATATGTACACAGACATAATCCATGTTCGTGACAGACAGCCAGAGGACATACATGAGTGAGATTATGAAGGGATTGAAGCGGGTCGAGACTTGAGCGAGTTATGGGAGTAAGTCGAGTTTCGGTCCTACTACATGACTACAGGATTGGTAGAATCTTGTAAAGTGAATGACCTTCCACACTGCACTTTTGTGCAAAGTGCAGCATTGTGGGTCATTTACCTTACAATAGTACTTAATGGTGGTCTTGTTATATGTAGAGACTGCTATGCTGTTATTTCGGACCACCCAAGATGCTGCTATCATCCACACACGGTCTACAATCAATGTTTTATGTTTTGGTTGGAGTTTTATTCATCATCTGATTGGCTACTTAAGCCTCTCAAGAGCATCTCACGAGCCTCCTCTTGAGAGTTGCGCAGTTCCGGACCCTTCTCATTGTGATTCTCATTGTGATCCTCTTGTGATTCCTCATATGATTCGCGATGTCGCGTCGCGCGTGTCACATGACCTTTGTGTACTACCATTACAATGGCAGTACTTCGACCTACTTCGACCATGCTCGATCACCTATCCTCACCCTCCTGCTACTCGCTTTCCAAGCAGGGCACCCACGCTGCTGAGGCTGTCGTCGACGAGGCCAATGTGCGGCCTCGAGGGTTACGCCAGTGCCATCGTTGGTCTTTGAGTGTCGACCTAATAATGAATTGACATGCTGCGCTTCAGTGACCCTGGCCCCGAACGAGAACGCCGATGTATGTGAGCGTGCAGCGCACTTCCACAGATGATGACACTTACTGCATGATTTGCCAGCAATGCCGAATGTTAATCAGTATTTACTCAGGTATGTGTATGGCAAATGTTACATACACGTCCTTGACAAGCGCTACTCTTTTCTCATAGCTTTCGCAGTGATATCACTCACTTGCTCTGAATGTATTTCTCGTTCCCTCATAACACATATGCTGCTGATTCGATTCATCCAGGTTTTTTTGTGCTCAGAACATATGCACTCTGGGGCAGCAGTAGGGTCGTGTTGGTAGCCATGCTGTCCACCCTTTTTGTGAGTTCCATCCTCTTACCACACCTGAGCTCATGGTTGACGAATTAATCAGGCTATCATTGTATTATTCATCGGTATTTGGTTTACTGCTATTGCCACGTCTCAATATTCTGTATGCATTCGACCTTAGGTTCGTGGGGGTCCCGGTGTGACATTACATAATGATAGGTTCGGATGTTCGTCTGGCTGAGGCCGGTGTGACAGAAATATTAATAGGTTCGCATTTACATGTTTTTGCTACAAAATACATACACACGCAAGGAAATTTCATGCAAAGAGATAGCTGTTTCAATATTCAAGGTAAATGAGGTAGAAAATAAGTAGAAAAACACAGTAAAATTACAATTTATGCCACCACCCATGAACAAAATGTCACACATTTAGGTTTGCTGCCATCAATTTGGTGTGACTGTCACACAAAATAGGTTCGGTTCGGGGGTTTGGGGACGCTGTGACGAACCTAAGGTCGAATGCATACAGTTGTTTGTACTCTCACCTCCCCCATTACTATTCACACATATTCTCTCCACTTTCACAGTTGCGACGAGCGAGATTCCTGGCATCACAGGCTGCTACCGGACCTCGAGCAGTGTCCAATTGTACTTGCCGTTTATTCTCTTATTTGTGTTTCAACTGGGTATGTCGCCCGGAGCATACATTACGCATGCGCGCTGACTGACGCTCTACAGGATTGGTCTCCCTAACACTAATATGTGCCATACAGAACTGGCGGTCAACCAGGTGCTCTATTCATGCCATCCTGATATATTCTACTATGCATGTGGTCTGTGTGAGTCAGTACTTACGTATGTGTCCGTGCTCATCTGATCATTGTTCCGAAAGTTCTTTCGGCCATGAATGTCCTTGTGCCAATGCTATTTTCCGACGTGTGTAAACCTCCCGATACCCTTCAATGTGATTAAATGATTGATGTTCCGCACACCCAGTCCCCATACCACTCCTTCCTCGAAGAGTACACACCTCCAACTTCCGTTGCAGATTCCTACTGACAACACCCCCAATCACGCATATGAACAGAAACGATGTCATTCATCCATCGAAAAGTATCATCTATGACTCGGATGCGGCGGAAGTTGTGGTTTTCTTTATGTCTCAAGAAGTTGACATCTATACCGATCTGCAAACTGTGGAGTTTGTGCATGCCTTGGTGAGTGATTATTGATTACTGTTCATTTGTCGTGTGATGCCTCACATTATCTTTTCCTGGATTATTACAGACCATCTATCACTTACGCATGGATGGTTTGAGGTACAGTTTCACAGTGAACACCTTAGTCCTTCATGGACTCTCATACAACCTCTCTCGCTCGCTCCACCTCAAGTTCGTAAATAGTCAGCATCATGAAGAATCCGAGCCTTACCTTCGCCATATTTTGTGCCGCAGTCCACCATCAAAGCCATGTAGCCTCAGTACATGAAAGCAAGCTCCCGTGATGTTGAGCAGTCACCAGGATGTGGTCGGCCACGTATGGCGGTCAAGACCGGTGCCTCCGAACCATGGGTAGACACATGTTGAAGGCTTGAGCTGGTGGAGAGTGCCATATGGCAACCTGAGGTGCGGTTCTTCACAATTTTCTCACAACACAACATGGCAGAAATGCTCTTGACATCCGGTTAAATGACAGGACACCAAATGAGTTTGCTCTTGACAATACTGAAAGGCGATGATCAAGACAACGAGGAGCTGGATAGCATGAAATTCGAAGGTGTGCGTCTGCTTATGGCGCTTCGTGTTCATGGAGGACAACATCTGTTGCGCAAGGAGAAAGCAGCACTACACGTATATGATGCGATCTTCGAGCGACACTTGGTCAAGTGCCCCGTCAACCAGGGTATGCAACACCCGGCTTAAAATTATTCAAATACTGTGGTCGAACCTGGTTTGAACACGAACCGAACCTCCCAAGCGAACACATCTCATTCTTGGGATCATTCATCTCACGCATCTGTTTCTTGTTTTCTTGGAGTGCTCCCGCCTGCTGCGCTCATGATTTGTCTCTCCATGTCCTGTATTCGAGTATTCGAGTACTTGTAGTGTCAAATACAAAGTTTTCACTGTGTTCCATGTAGTGTTGCGGAAGTCCGGTTCGGTCCAGTTCAACAAGAAATTTTGCGAACGCTGAACCGGACCTCGCATTCGGTTCAATCATTTTGCTGAACGCTGAACCGGACACCGTGAACACGTTCACGGCGTCCGGTTCACGTCCGGTTCAGTGTTCGAACGTCGAATGCATTGTAAATTTACTCGATTGTACTATAACTAGTAGTAAGGAGTACTGGTACACTACTATGAAGCAAGACCAAGTGAAACTAATGCAAAGCAAAACTAAAGATCAGTAAGGACAACAGAAAGGTCATTTTCAGTTACATGAGCAAGGGGCTCAACACGAGTGGCAGCCTCAGCTGCAGCCTGGATATGCCTGTTGTGATAAGCACTCTTTAACAATTGGAGCGCCTCGAAGATATCGGGCGTGAGCCGGTTGTGTCAACTCTGATCTGTGATGCTGCCGCTTGAAAAGGCCCGTTCTGATGGAGTGGCAGAACCTTGAATTGCAAGGTAATCTCTTGCCATGCGGGAGAGTGTTGGGTATGCCACAGAATGATGCTGGTAGGTGCGTCAGTAAATAACTACCAGTTGATACAATGGATATAACTTACCCCCCACCAATGGACAACATCTCCCACATCTTCCAATGGAGCCGTCAAATATGTGGCGAGTTCTTGACGAGGATTTGTAATGCAGTGTTCGGATGATCAACGAGCGAGAATTGTTGAGCGCATCCACGAGTGGCCGTATTGCGTAGGCCTGGACTTAGAGGATGATGTTGTAGGTGTTGGCTGACATGCATCCGCAACAGGAATGTTTGTTGGGGTCAACAAGCTTGGGTGCAGGGCGTGGGACACGAGTCGAGCGCCGTGCAGCGGGAAGCACTGGCAGTGGAGTATCGTCGTCGGGATCGTTGTACTATCAGATTTGACTGGCGTTGAGGAGAGTTCCATCTGCACCCAGGCCACACTGGTCAGCCATGTTGTGAGGGGGAAAACTTGAAGAGAGTTGAGCTTACCTCGAATTTGATCTATTTTAACTTCCATCCAGTTCATGAGTGCCGAAGAATTCATGTAGCTACCCTAGAAAGAAAACAACCTGTTAACAAATACATTAGCACTAAACCAAATTAACCAAAGTCTCCATACCTTATCAGGTGCTTCCTTTGTGATGTTTTGGTTAGTGGTAGGCAAATAAACCTTCACGGACCTTGGCAGTGTGGCATGGTCCTTGCGAATCGGATTCCAAGCGAAAAAGTCGCGTGAGTCAACGGTCGTGTTTGAGTAATCATGTCGTGTTCAGTGTATTGCGTATGTGGGTGATGTCATCTCGTATGTGTGAGTGGCCTAAAATGGAAGCAGTTCAAAAAGGTTCAGACCCGTTCAGACCCTTTCAACGTGTTCAAGGAATGCTGAACGCTGAACTGGACCATCGGTCCAGTTCAGCCTATACTCTGAACGTTGAACTGGACCGCGGTCCAGTTCATGAAAGGTGCGGTTCGAACCGCGGTTCAGAACCGAACCTCCGCATCACTAGTTCCATGTTGCAGTCTCTCAAAGTCCAGGAACCGCTCGTGAGGTCGAAGAACCACTTGCGAGGTTGAATCACAACAAACACAACAAGAGACACGACACACTGGCGAGTACTGCTTGCAAGGTCGAATTAGACACGACTGTGACATTGTGACACCGACGGGAGTAGAGGATCTAAAACATGTGAGAAGTAAATGGAAACGTAAGCGAAAATGCTCTTGAATGAGATCCTCCTCGCTCCTCCTTGCTGGAGGCTCTATGTCAACTCGCTCCTCCTTGCTGCTCCTCGCTGGAGGCTCTATGACAGTCCCAAACAGGATCTAAGGGAAGGCCTCTCTGTGGAGGTGGGCTTTCAGGCGGGTTACTACCTACAATGAAACCAACCCTGAAAGGCCTTCGGTACCTTTTCCAAGTGGTGCCAAGGGTGCACAAGGCAGGTATGAATAGATGAACAGATCGACCCTTAAATTGTAATTGTAATTTGTAAAAGAACGACCTAATATGACCCTAAGCACACACATCGCATCGCAAGCTATCCAAGTTCCATCCCATCCCGACGGCACCCGAAACACTGGTGCATTGCCCGCAGGTGAGTTATTTGTTTAGGGCATTTGCTTGCTCATTTCTGACTTTTCTGACGGCGTGCCAACATAACGCGACCATCTTGTCAAGAGACTTGGATGAAATGCTGCTGGCACTCCGACACTCATCAAAAACATCTCCCACCTGAGTGACATAAGATCTCACCTTTATATAGCTCGGTGCCTAATTTGGTCTCTGGGGGTTATAACCCTCGAATCCATTACTCTGCTACACCAGCAATACCACCAGCGTTACCTCGGTACTTCAGTGTACATAGCCTGGGGATTAGATCATTTAGATAACAATAGATAACGATAATCGATTAGATCAATAACAACGCGTCCCGTGACTTATCGTTTGATCAACAACGTCTCCCACGATCCCGTGACTTATGTTTTGACAGCCGTGCTGCTCGTCGTCGGACACGATGAGCTCAAGATACTGCGCAAAACTGTTCTATTTCTGTAAGACTCTTAGTATAAAGCATGTAAGAAACACTATACACAATATAATAGATTAGAAGGACGGAAATGCAGGATATATTAGGTGCAAACAAGAGAACAACTTGAAGGCCAACAGGAGCTCGTATATCGAAGCCAGGAGATGAAAAAAAGCACTAGAATACATAACCATCAGCTGGAGTAAGGGTGCTGGTGCCTGCGCCATGCAAAGGCTCATAGGGAAGATCCTGGCTCTCGAGGAACATGCGGAGGACTTCGGGATCAAAGGGATCCAGGTCATAATCAAGCGGAGGTGTAGGGAGAGTACCGAGGGAATCTGGTCGCAGCATCATATCATCGGTCATTGTGATGTCGTTCTCCAGGTGGGTGTCTTCGCGTTGGTTGCCATTGAGTTCCTTGTGTTGTTCCTGCGTGTCGATCTTCTCCGGTTCTTCGTCTCCATTCTCCTGGTTGTTCTCGTCCTCTGATCCATCAGTATTCACAGTCTCGCGACTTTTATGGGTCTGTTCTGAACCTCTCTTTCGACTGATACCCTTGTCGGAACGTGCAGCACGTCCTTTGGTCGTGCCGTTGAGAACTTGCTGCTCGAACGACTCCTTCTTTGCCTCCCACTCATCTTGAGTAAGCTCACGCCAATAGCATTCGTTGTTCTTTAGCGCAGCATGCAGACGTGCAAGTCCGACAGACGAAGTGATGTTACCAGGGTTCCGGACTTCGCCCTCTGTCCAGCCACTCAATTCCACCCCCCATTTGACGACGAAGGCATCATATGAGTTGTAAGCAACACTGGGGACTGAATCCTCGGAGACGCCTCTATTTTTAGTTAAAATTTCATCTATTACAATGAATCAATCAATCACATGTATACGAACAAAATTTATGAAGACTTACGCATGCCAACCCGGATCATTTCTCGAACTTGTCCTCGTAGCTTCGTTGTGTTGCGTCCCGTCGTCATCTTGATAACACCAGCAGCTCCTGATGCGATGTAGGCATCGATTTGCATACCCACCGACTCGATGGTTGATTTGTATAGGTGGAGGAATGCTGTTTGGAGAGGTTCGGAGGCATAGCTACGTGGAATGAAGGAGTCGCTGATTTTGCCACGGGCAAGAATCCACATAATATTACACCCGGTACGCTTCTCGAGGCCGAGTAACTGGTAGTAGACATTAGTGGTACACCAGCAAAAGCTGAGGGAAAACCTTACCTCTGGCTGAACACGAGCCAGCGTGTTCTCGATGTCAGTTGCTGCTTCACGGCCAGTCACTTTAACATTAGCCTTTGTCTCCTTCTCATTTTGCATGTCTCTCAGGAGGTCGTCTTCGTCTTCGGAGTCGAGATTCTTCCACTTGCCAGACCTGCTGACTTGCTTGGTGACAAGTGCAAGCGTGTCGCGACCCATGGGTAGACCTGTGCGTCCTGACTCAATACCGGCCCACATAGCATCGGAGTTCACCTTTGAAAGCTTCCGTTGTTCTTGAGTCCTCGCAGCTTTCTTTTTCTGAGTGATAGGAGCCATTGTCGTGTACACGCGCAGTAGAAAAGTCAAGACTTGACAACTTGAAGAAGGGAAAATAATCCAGCTTGGCCCTTCACCGGACCTTCACATGCTAAGTTAGTACTCGGTTTGACATAGTGGACAGGGATGACAAGGCGAAATATGTCAACAGTCAAACGTAACATGATTATATCGCATCACAATTCGTTTAAGCAAATTTATTTACAAATGCTGAGCACCAATGAGAACTACATCAAGCTCCTCATTAGAAAGTCCTTCTATGATTAGGCTGCGCAGTTCAATTGCATCTGCATGACTCAATCCAACCTCCACAAAATGAGCATACCAACAGTCTGCACCGTAATCAAGAATCATGTCGATTGAGCATAATGTGCTCGGTGACACAACACGTGCGCGGAAAAAGTCTTGTACCGGTAACGTGAAGTTGAAGGATGACATATCAGGATTAATGTAGTAAGCTGGAGGGGGTTGTAGATTTACAGATGGTGACCATGGCGGTGTCACAATCCAAGATGGGCGGCTAGAAGGGCTATGATTCGGAGCGGCTAGGGCTCTATGACTCAGAGCAGTGGCGGACACATCAGAGACATCTGAACTATCATCCGAGCTATCATCCGAGCTGGATTCAGTGGAAATGACAGCAGGACTGCGATGTTGAGTCAGAGTGCGTGATGATGGGGGTGTAGATGTGGGCACAAATACAGTTGCTGGTGCTACAAGTGGCACCCACGAATCCCCCGTTCCACGAGTCATAGCAGTATTACATTGGTCGTACCGCAGGCTTTCGCTACGGCGCTGGATTGGCGAGTGAGGCTCAATAAGACCAACATGTGTGCTAGGAGACGTGTGAGGTGCACGAGATGTGCGAGGCTCATTCAGGCCAACATGCGTGCTGGGTGACGTGTGAGGTGCACGAGATGTGCGAGTGCTGGGAGATGTGCGAGGCTCATTTAGGCCAACATGCGTGCTGGGAGATGCGCGAGGCTCGATAAGGTCAATGTGCTGAGATCTTGCTGTGGGAGGTGTCAAAATGATGTGTGGTGACTGTGACTGCGAGCGATGCTGAGTGGGAGTTGGTGTGACTGATGATTGCTGGGCTGCGTGGGCTGCATTTGTTGCGACATCGGGGAGTGATTGTCCTGCAGCAAGCTGAACGTTTCTGGTCATCACCCGATGAGTCTCTGGGTCAACACGATACCCTGGTCCAGGTGTGACCTTATTCAACTTGTCTTGAAGATGCCAGATGTGAAGCATGGCGATTTCCTGAACAAATGTTTCTCGTAGTCGTTCAGCAACGCGCTTGAAGTGAGGAACCTGCTCGAACTGTCGCGTGGTAACAACATCAACTGTGATATCAGAGGTGTGAAGAGGCTGCATTGGATCCCACTCGGGTCGCAGACTGAACCCGATGAAGAGTGCATCAGCGATGCGAGCCATGCCTGTAGCCTAATGTTGGTACTGTTAGTTGAAACTTGGTAGTAAATATAGAAACAAATACGCACTGCATCTTTTATATCTGACATACCCTCATGGAAGGCAAGTTTCCGGTCTTCTGCGTTGAGGCAAAAATGTTTGTGCAAGGACAGGGTGTCCGAGAATGACTGATCTCTGTCTTTGCGAATCCCCCAGCGACGAGAAAATCGCTGACAGTCAATGTCGCAATTTAGTGGCTGGGTGTCTTGCGATTGCACCCACTGACGGATTGCGGGAGGGGAATATGGGGCTCGCATTTCGCACTGTTTGTGTTGCCTGCAAGTAGTGGGGTTTAATACAAGCAGCAGTGAGGCAAACACGTGTTGGGTGACTCAAGTTTGATAAGATGTCGTATCGAACAGGCAAGCGCCATGCTAGGTTATTAGTCACATGTAGGTGTGTAGGTGATTGCAAGGCGCACACTTATTAGTCACATGTAGGTGTGGGTGATTGCAAGGCGTACACTCAATGTAATTTAGATCGCTAATACTAGATACTAGATAGGTAGCATCAACAGAAACCATTACTATTGAGTCCATTCTACGACACATGAAAGTACATGAAGTATTTAATCTAGCGCAATGTTTTCCAATACCTCAGCCAGACGAATCATATCATCATTGAAAGCATCATCGGCCACTATGTCTTCCGGCGATTAATCATCCTCATCCAGCCCAGCATCAGATGTCATGGTACCAGCACCGCACACTCCACTAAACTCGGGGAGCGCTTCAATAGTGTCAAGACGAATGATGTGGGTGGCGTGAATACAAGCTAGGCACACCCTCAATTCTTCTGCTTCATGTGCCAGAAGAGGGTCTGCATCGTGTAAAAAAGTGACTCGATCTTGAAGAAATATCCCTTCGTCATGGATGAAGGTACGCAATCGACGAATCTCCACATTGAGGCGGGTCAACTCCTTGTATGAGCACTTCATCTTGAAATACATTGTCGCGATCTCGCGGTTGCCCGGAACCGTCCAGGGTTTGGTTAAGACTTCCTGTTGAGAATGCGAGTGTTTGAGCAACTCAAACTCGGACAGAAACCCATAGTTCATGATATCGTTCCAGGCGAGTGGCGGCGCAGGGGGTAGCATAGAGGGTGCTAGCTTATTGTATTCGTCGAGGGCATTGCGGATGGCCTGGCTTCATGCCTTGATGGCCTTGCCGATGTGAACACGAAGTTTATAACCTGTAGAAACCGTTAAACAAACAAAAACCAATTGGTGCGTCATCCTGCCACTTACCTGTGCCCGATAAATTGGCTTTTGAAAGCTCAAGTAGACGCTGTACGACAAGCTGTTGCAGCTTGTCAAGCGCACGTCGGAAATTGTGAGATCCAATCCGCTCGAGCGCTGACAGATATTCTGGATGCTGGGAAGTCCATCTCTCTTTGAGGCCGAGCCTTTCTTCCAGATCTGCAACTGCCCGAATGCGGACCATCAAACCATCTAACGCTGCTTGGCGTTGCGCTTCCAATTGTGATGTCCATTGCACGTCTTCTGCGTAATTGATGGCATGTGCGTGTGACATATTCCTGAATGAATCCGACATTGTTTGCCATTTTTGACTGCGTGAAGTTTAAAACAATGTTACGGAAATAGATACATCACTTACTCGGCAGATTGGAGATCCATTAGTGCCTGAACATACGAACACGCAAGCACATGTTCTACAGGTTCATCTTTGAGGTCCGTCAGAAAATTCTTCTCTTCTTCAATCCAGCATTCGAAAACGTCTTCACAGAGTTCAAGGCTCGAGATGAGCGTGGAAACCTCGTCCTTGTATTTCTTGATAATGCCAATAGCTTGCCTGTAGTTGTTCAGTAGAAACTTGCCTGATTATGTATTAGTACGAGAATGTGATGCGAAACCTTGATTAAACTCACTGAGTTCACTGTATTTGTCTTCGTCCCACTGTTGAAAGTGGAGATCGAGGAATTGCGCCCAGTGGTACCTGGATGCATAGCGTATAACGCGTGAGACAGAATTTGATGACGAGAACACGCGCTCCATGGTTTCGAGATCCTCTAAGCCAAAACCAGGTAGATAAAGGGGGTGGTGCTGTACTTGACATAATCGATTGTGAGCGTAGCCGTGAAATGAATTGACACAAAACTGTATCCGAGCTTCTTCGGCTTTCTGGCTGAGGAGAGGGCTGTTGCGCACAATTCCACCAAAGGTACATCCTACATCATAGCCCATGCCAATGTCTTTGCCATAGGCATCAATCATACTGTTCGTGATGGCCAGTGGATATTTCACTCTACATTTATGAGCGTCAGAATCAGATGAATTACGTCAAAGGCTGACTCACAGCTCTCCACTCCGGACCATTTCACAAACTTTGATAATGAAGCCATGACGGCAAGCAGACGCAAAAATCCCAGTTGTTTCATAAATATCAGCGGCTTTCTTCTTGTGATCAGGAGCGCTACTCTTCCATGTTAGGCAGGATGCCAGTGTCTCATCAACATCCTCGTCCTGGGTCTCAACTGAAATCAATAAGCACAACGACAGAGTGAACAAAAAAGACCTTGTCATGGTTGACACATTGATGGTGTTGAACTTCATCCTTGAACTGGTCAACTTCTTGACGAGAAATGAAATATGAACTGTTGAAGTTGCGGTGATCTGATGGAGCTGCGCTAGCAATTCGCTTGCAGGAATTGTTGCCGTCATGGGCAGCCAGGATCTTCGGCTTGAGGATCTCTTTGCCGTTGACCTAAACGCACAATTAAATGATCGTAGTAAGTGAAATGAGACGGCTTACCTCGTAAGTGCAGCATGGACACATGTGCTTCAGCCGCCAGTCCACGTCACTATGTCCAAGAGCATCATCGACTTTCGATCGAATGTGCTGGAGAATGGAGAGATACGCATCAAATGCTATTGAGAATTGTTCTCGAAAACATGTGCGATAGTTCACCTAAATATAAGCATTAGCAACGTGAAGATAAAATGAGGTTACATACTTTATGAATATCACATAATGCTCGTGTAAAGGCTTGTATGCTAAGCTGTGCATGACGGCGCTGTAGCCTGTGGTAAAGCTCGAGCGCATGGACCTCAATAGCCACAGACGGTTCCACCGGGGAGCAACCCAGGAGTCTGTGTTTTAAAAGCGCTGCATTGGCAGGCTCCTTGGGATGCTGATGTATGGAAACACAAGCGTCACGCTCTGGATTTTGATTCATTGTATGTCATAGGTACATAGTTGTCCAACGTACTGAATGTTCCAACCGCGATCACATGAAATATATGACCATCCTCCTCCATCGATAATTCCATGCTGTCATGTTCATTGCTGTGTTTCCATTGCAGATAGGTGCGGGCGAGCTGTGGAATTTGCAAGTCCCAATGAGCATGCATCATCCTGAGGCGCTCACATCGTGCTTGTGGGCCTGTGTGACTAGTGTATCTAAAACACGATTGAGATTGATTCCTCGATTCACCAATCAACAAAATGATCGGCAAACTTACTTTGACTGGGCTGCAAATTGCAATGCACAACTAACTGCATCCTCGTATTCGCCTCCTTCATGCGATATATCATGGTCGATTTCATCGTGCCAGTGGTCTTCAGTAGTCAGAAAACCCATGTTGTCATCAGGGAGGGCACCTGAACTCGCAGCGATGCTGCTAAATGCCCTGTGTGTATCTGTAGGTAATGCTATTGAAAAGATCGATAAAATAAACGAACAGGAGGGACTTGATTACGCACACATCAGGTAGTCTCGACGCTGTTTCAGGCCGTCCTGCACCTCCTTAGCAACTCGAGCGCCAGACTTGAATTGGCCCTTGCCATGCGTTTGCGAAGTTGCATGCCGAATTCCAAGAGGGACCTTGAGTTTTAAGGCTGCTACATGCCTACCACGCCGATGAGACATGATGGAGAGAAGGTGAAAGCAGTGGAGCAGAGCGAAGAGGTGTTGACACAATGTGCCCATGCGGTGCCACGTAGCCGATATCTTCCGGTGGCGATGTGATGCATGCTAGCACGATGCCTTGAGGCAATCATTCAGAAAAGGTTAGAGTGCTGGGTGGGTGGGTGGAGCTCATCGTGTCCGACGACGAGCAGCACGGCTGTCAAAACATAAGTCACGGGATCGTGGGAGACGTTGTTGATCAAACGATAAGTCACGGGACACGTTGTTATTGATCTAATCGATTATCGTTATCTATTTAAGTCACGGGACTCGTGGGACGCGTTGTTATTGATCTAATCATTATCAGGGAGATTATCGTTATCTATTGTTATCTAAATGATCTAATCCCCAGGCTATGTACACTGAAGTACCGAGGTAACGCTGGTGGTATTGCTGGTGTAGCAGAGTAATGGATTCGAGGGTTATAACCCCCAGAGACCAAATTAGGCACCGAGCTATATAAAGGTGAGATCTTATGTCACTCAGGTGCATCTCCCGCAAATTTTTATGAAATAAACCTGTACAATTTGAAAAATATTTGAAATATTCCGCGATCACAAGTGCGTATTCGTTTCTCCCAGTGCTCTGTCATTGCTGTGCATATACATACAGTGCCTTGCATATAAAACTGCGTAGTCGCATTTCCACAAACCCTATTTGTACCTATTTGCTCGGGCCAAAACATACCGAAAATACCTTTCTTGGTGTGACCAGTCACAGCCTCACTAATGTCCTTGACTTTGCAGACTCGTGCCCTCGCTAGAAGGATTTCCATCCAGCGAGTGCCGCAATCTGCGAGCCAGTCATTGCATGCTCATAGCGCCAGGTGATGATGCACTCTCGAAGCTGTTGAGACAGGTGAGGAGGCATAATTTGATGTGACTGGTCACACCGACAGGGTATTTTCGGTATGATTTGGCCCGAGCAAATAGGTACAAATAGGGTTTGTGGAAATGCGACTACGCAGTTTTATATGCAAGGCACTGTAAAGAGATGGCGTCGCATTTTCCGAGTCTATGACAATGGACACATCGCTAGCCATCATCTGCTCAATTCAATTTGAGTGTAGTGCGTTTGCGATCATCGGTATCCTTGTGGGATGGCGGCCCGAGGATGACGAGAACAAACATCATGCGTTGAGATCTGTGCTTGCCGGAGGGTGGCATGTGGCAGGCGGGGTGGGACAGGTGAGTTGTCTGTTTGCTTCATTTTTCACTTTTATGGCGTCATATGGACAGAATTTTCCCTTGTTGAATGAACTTTGGGGTGTTGTTGCGCTCCCAGGTCCGATCCAGCGAAGTGGAGAGAATGCGATGTTAATCAAAAACAGTTCAGACGGCAGGTCACATCACACCCTGGCTTGTGAATTTGCTTTTCGATTTCACTGATATCATGGAACTGAATTGATATATCTGTAGCAAGCATCTATCTGGATAATGGAAGCGAGTCGCCAAAATGATGAACAGTTCTTCGATCTTTCACGGCGTTCAAACATTCTGCGCATGTGACTGGTTTGCAGCTTCACAACCAACATATACGTTGGTTCGATCAAGGGACCTTAGATCGAGTGTCCATTTCTACAGGACCTCATGCGAAAGTACTTACTTCGGTCAATCAATGCAGGAACGGATATCGCCCCCATGATGCTCATTTCGGTGATGAAAGCACTGGGTGGTGGTATATCTAGTACCCACCAACTTCGCTGCTCCCTCGTCCCCATCCTCTACCAAGATGACTCTAGTCTTAAATGATCCCAGTCTCTGGCCGGTCATTAATGCGTACCGTATTTACAGCTATTTTGTAGGTTCGTGGAGAGTCAGTCGGAAAATGACGGCGATACTCGATCTAACATTTCGCAGTTGCCTCCTCTATTGGGGTCATGTACGATTGGGGTGAGCAAGATAGCGAAAGTTTCAATAATGGCTGATATTCTTATGGTTTCTGCAGCCCTGACTTTCGGACAGGAGGTAGGTTGATGCCATTGTTGGAGCATCCATCTCACTTAGAATGGTTTATATAGGTTGAACTCATCTGGGTGAGCAGAATCACACGAATAACGTGAAAATGCAACGAATTTGCTTTAGAGGCAACGCTGGTCACTCATGACCGCTCTGTATCTGAGTGTACGTAGCTTGTGTTGTAAGTGTGATCGGCGAGTCGGGCTGACTTGAATGTATTCTAGGTTCGCTATCTTGGAATACCATATGCTGTGTATGTTCGGAATTCTAAGCAATTGGCACTGCACTAATAAATGATCTCCCACAACAAGCATCCAGATTCTGTGTATGTCTCTTCATATTCACCGTGTTTATTTCTTCTCACCTGCGGCATACAGGGAACGTTCCGACAATATCACTGACAGATTCAGTAAGTATTCTGAACCAATGCTCGCCATTCCTGTCTAATCAATTGCACTCCAATGCAGGGGTGAGTCTAATTCTTTACCAGCTGGTGCAATATAATGACTGCCACAGCTGTGAGTTTCTTTTTATTGCGTGATCCTCCGATGCTGATCACCACCTGGATTTGTCAGGCCTGATTATAACCATGTTGGAAACTTGGGGGGGTATCACCGTGAATGCAATGCTGAGCGGTGAGTTATGTAACTGCAATGAGTCAATGATATTGATTTGACAGAACATCACTCCAGTCATCATGCTCACTCGGTTACACGCCATGTATCAACGATCCAGAAAGCTGTTAATATTTCTTGTTGTAATATTGTTGACTGCCACCATCGCTGCGGGAGTGCTCGGCGTCATGACATCAATGAATATTTCACCAGGTAAGCTTTGATTATGGATGAAAGACTTACGTGCACCAGGCTCATTGACGAATAGCAGAGGAGCTCATTCTCTCTGGTAACCACCAGTGCTCTATTAACTATGAAGGAGATGCCCAACTTGCTTCCATTACTTGGATACTCGGGACTGTATGGGAGGTCCTTGCACTGTGTCTCGCACTCTGGATTGCTGTAAAACACTTCCGTGAATTGCGACGACAGTCGGCAGGAGGGATTATCGGGGACTGCTTCACAGTGTTGATAAAATCTCACGTGGTTTACTTTGCGAGGTGAGCTAACAATGCCAATGTGGTTCCCTTCTTCCGCTGAGGTTCTGCACCTCTTAGCTTTGTTGTTGTTTCTTGTTTCACGCTCGGCGGAGACTTGTCTCCAACATTTTCAGCGGTATGCCATTTTGTCAATGACCTCTGCATGCAACGGTTCATCATTTCTACAGGACCCATATTCCCTGGGAACCGAGATCTACATTGGTTTACGTGCAGTTTTCCAGATAATGCAGATGTTTGTGCTGGGACCACGCCTGATTCTTAGCGTTCGAGAATATCACGCCAAGCTCGTGGCCGACTCCGATGCAGCAACCGGCATGACTTCAATTGCTTTCCAGGAGCGCGTGCATGTGCAAACTAGCAGCAGCGTGTAGTATGGGAAATGATTACTAGTTGGGTACTCCTGGTCAGGTGCTATGCGGGGAACCGAGAATATTTCTTTTTGCTCCGAATTTCGTCGCTGTACTTATTTATTTAAGCTAGTTATGTTCCGAAGATTTTATTTGACAGAGAAGTGGGGCTGGACAAACCGCCCCGTACATTGTTTCTTCACTGCGTTTTTAACTCATATCTTTGCTTCTTCGATAACCCTCAATGTGAATATTTATTAGTGCAAGAAAGTTACATGCAAGGTGTCGTTACATATATAGCAGATTGGGTTCGCAGGCTTCCGTTGCAACATTATGCATTGTAACGATACTTGCCATCATATCACCTTTCCACTCCTCATCGTACCTCTATTCTACGTCCACGTGCAATTGCTTGACGAGCTGAGCGGTAGCAGCAATCTTGGTTTGCTGTTCTCGTTGTTCTCGATCTTCAGTAGCCAAGACTCCGATGGTATATCTGACAAAGAAATTATAGATAAGTTCTCTCCAATTGAGAGTGGCGAAATAGCAAGAATAGTCAGACACGAGGGAAGAACATACACAAGGAGGCCAGGTGGTCCTCGTGGTGCCGTCGAAGTGACCTTTGGGGTACATGTCGCCTAGTATGATGTGCGGCTGGGGAGAAAATCGTGGTGGAGGTCGAGGGAGTTGATGGTATTGGAGGTGTCAACCGTCGGGTCCGAGATATGGGACACTCTAGGGCAAGTGAAAGTGAAATGAAAGGATGAAAGAGGCTCACCTTATGTGAGCATGTGGAGAATTTTCTTCCGCACATACAGTGCGATAGCAGCGCCTTGTAACAACACCTGGAGGACAAATTCTACCACTGCCGCTGGTAAGTAGAAATGATATCACTTCTGTCCGCCTGCAGAGTATTGGCTCCATTCAACCAGGACCCGATTGTTCTTTTGAGAAATACTCTGTCACATGAAATGATCAGCAAAGATCAGGGTGTACGATGAGCCTGCAAAACTACCAAACCAAAAACCATAAGATCCGCCGACCTCCAAGACCAGGCCACCAGCCCCACAATTTAAATAACAGTGGCACTATCCAAATCGCTTGACTCTTCCACTCCTAATCCAACCCATATTGTGACGCTGATCGAGGACAAATCTAATCTTCATGATACGACACATCGTTGTCCCTGCGAGTAATTATTTGGCATTTGCGGCTCCTTTTCAAAAAAAAACGCACCTTTTTCAGACAGTGTGTCCAAGTCGCTCTAGAGAGGATGAGATGAGGATGGGTGAGAGAAAACGAGAGGCGTACAGCTGGAGATCGTACAAGCGCGTGGGCACTGCGTATAAAAAGAAGTACATGAAGTTGGGCGAGAGTGTATGCTCTGCGGTTGGATGCCATTGTAGTAGTAGGACGTCTTGAATTGGCAAATGTAGATCTGCTCACCATGTAAGTTTGCCTCGCTATCCGAGTCCTCGCTTCCTCCACTGCGCTCTCTCATCAAACAAGCTCAATGAAAGGTCTTTATTAGTGACGTGACAGCGAAAGACACGCTAGGACGATGCAACGATAATAGGATTTGTTGTCCATGTGGTGTGTTTGCAAGAGTCGGAGTCGTTAGTAGGTCGGCAGCCAAAGTCAACTTACCCGAGGCGGGCCGGGTGCTGCCGACTCTTCCTCCCCTCCGTTCGTCAACACTCACAGCGAAAGTGCTCGCTATCCGGTGTCTTCCAAAAGCCTTCGTCCTCACCCGACTTGCACTACCCAACAGAGGCCCATATAGCTCAGGTCCAGATGCTTCACCCACTACCCACAAAAGCAGTCTTATCGTTATAGATGCCCTCCAGTTCGATTTCATCGCAGAACACCTGTCAGAATCTAGCTGCAACTCACCCCACGATCACCTTGAAATTCATCAAGGCACTTTCCGTCTTCCTTATTCTACACACGTCGTGTTTTGCTTCAAACTCATTTACAATGTGGGAAGACCGCATCGTACTCTTCTTCCCTATCTCGTCCATCGTTCACTGTCATCGCAGGTTTCACTGCTCCAACATCCTGGCTGCACTACCGTATTCTGGGCTTTTCTGCTCTCTTTGTGGTATGCGCGTGACTCATGGCTATGGGCACCATCTTCAGGGAGGAGCAACACCCATATTGCACCGTTGCCTTTTACGCGTCCGAGTCCTTATCTGCCCCACCAATCAGCACTCATCCTCGCCTTCCCTGTTGCGATCGCAGTTCCCCAAGTCGTCCGCCGTATATTCAAAATCTCCAAACCAACTCAGGTCTTGCTGTAACATTCATCCCGCTTTTCCTCGCGCCATCCTTGATCGCTGGCACGATGATCTGGATGCTCGAATGGGTAGACTCTGCGCAAGTCCTGGGGGTATGGGTTATGTTTTGAGCATGACGCGAACTTACGGTACTTGTCGTTTTGTAATCAGCACCATCCTCGCCATGTCTGCTCTCGTCTGAATCAGCGGCTCGCTAAAGTCCTTGACCCCTTGAACGCACTGTCAACAGCCTATATGTCATTCAGCTACCCGAACGACGCTGAACGAAGACTCATCAAGAGCAGCTCATGCACAAGCAGCTGTTCGTTGAAATCACTCCCTTCCGAGGATGCCTTGCTCACGATATGCGCCTACCTCAAGGGCGAGCGGGTGAGAAGTGCTGAGATAGTGGGGATCGAGGCGAGGAAGTGAGGCGAAAAAAGGCCATGCACCATGAGCACCGGGGTTGGAGATGGAGAGGACAATATAGATGTTGGGTGGGAAGTTGTGGTGTTGTTTTTAGGCGTTGACGTGACTAGCGCTTAGAGTTCGTTCCTGTAAGAGATATTATAATGAGACGGGATGTGGAGAGATCGTTTCCAGAGACGAGACCAATCAACTTCGTTGGTCTCTGAAATAAACAAGCGCTTCATCATAATGCGAAGCCGTGCATAGTTTAGAGGGATTTTGGTTTGTAAAAGTTGGGGGGTAGCGACGTGCCGATAAAGCTGGCTGTCGATCCTGATAACGGGGGCACAGTGAGATGGCAGGGTGGATGTCATATTCGATTGATGTGAGAGCACGCTACTACAGATCTAAACCACGTCTAGACCATAGAAATACAGAAGGGCAACTGCAATGTGAAGTGACTCGTCCTCATCCCTACAATGTAAACGATACTTATTACTGAGAGCGTATCATCAGCCTCCGGCACTTCTACTAGAATGAGCAGCAAGAGAGGACCTACTTTCATCGTTAGCAGATTGTCCTGCTGTACAACGGCACTTTGAGAATATCGGTTATATGGAGAACGTGCCGAGCTTTTCACCTACGGCACTCATCCCCAAGATTCTCGCGTTCTTTGTTCATCATCACCAAGAGCGTCGCCTGCGGACGAAAAGGAGAGTGAAATACTGGCAGTCGGTGAACGTTAACCGCGGGCCCGCGAGGGAGGAACAGCTCAACCTGGGCAGATGCGTGATATTCGGGAGAGCCAGAAGGAAGCGAAGGGTGAACTGGTCAATACAAGGACACCTACATGACGTGGCAGCACTCGAATGCAAACAGGACTTGACGGTACCGCACCTATCGGGCTGGATGGTTATGACCTCTGAATCCACATTTTTTCAGGATAAAGGATGGTCCCCGAAGGATAATAGAGACGATGACCGCGTGAGTGATGGCCAGACGCATATATGGGAGGCAGGCTTCGTGCTTGTAGAGAGTTACGAATGGAGTTATGAAAAATCAAGATTTCAAAATTTAAATTTGTCATCGAGAGATGTGAGTCTATTATTAGAGTCACGGTTCAAACATTTCACTCCATTCCTCCTGCATGCCATTCAGCGAAAAGCATCAGTACTCCTTAATGTTTCCACCCCGGGTCGCCAGTACTTGACTCACTCAGTACTGGCATGTTCAACACCTGCAACGTCCCTCGAATTCTTGGTTCGGTGTTGGTTGTTCAGGCTGTGGTTTGGGTGGAGCTTCTTCGATGGGAGGATTCTAGTCGACATAATCGCGTTACGGTAAGCATGTGTATTTTTTGTCTGTCTTAATGATCGAATATAATTAAAGGGAACATTTGACACGCTCCTATCCTTGAAGACGATGCGGTGAGCTACGACGAAGTTCACTATCACCACTGCTAGCATGCAACATCTCTATCGACGGACTGATCTGCCCACTCGGATCATCACATTCGCCCTCTGCTGACCATGGGACCATCATCAACCCCAACAACCAACCGCTCACTCCTATGGCTTCTGTCCATCATGCCGATGTGTGCGTTTTCTTTCTTAATAGACGACACAATTCCTTGCATATGGCTACGTTGGTTTTTCATATGAACTTCACCTAGTTTCATCTTGACCAGTTCGTCAGCTGGGGCTTGCGTTTTGCCAGAACGTCATAACACGCTGTGTGACGCCCTAGGCTTCTCCTTTTCCAACGTGCATGTATACATCTTTCGAGATGTTGATCTGAGTTATGGAATCTGGGGTGTTCGTACTGTCGTCCCTCACATTCGTTACTGACGACCATAAATGTTCATAGACGACGTTCTAGGATGTACTTCACGCGTAGGCCCGTCCGAATATCTGCACTTGTTATATACCTTGTGTTAATGGAGATATCTTTGTGACGGATATGGCAGGCTGCAGTGTAGGATGCTCTCCGCCGTAAACATGACTATGTCCAGTCTGTCACAATCTTGCCGCATGGAATACTCATCGCCATTCAGGCTTTGAAACCATTTCTCATCTTCGCGTTCAACGAGACTCGCGCTTTCTCCTCCGGTTCCTTCCTCCAAGATTCTCTAGTCTGCCTGCTGGGGTCCAAACTACACACTGTCCTTCGAGGAGCGCTCCTTTAGTCTGTGCAAACACTCCATCTTTGGCCTCCAATCTGTATCTTTGGTCGGGGACCGGAAGTCGAAGCATGAGCCGCGACTTTATGCATTCGCGACTTCAACGTCAACCCTCAATCGAGTGGCGGACTTCAAGGCTGGGAACGGATCTAGATTCAATCGATAACTTATCGAAGGTGAGACACCGAGTTCGAATCTGTTCTTGGGCCTCTTGGATCTGGTCTCCCGTATCTCGAGACGACCACTGAGGAGAAGTTCGTTGCAACGAATATGTCTATGGAAGCAAACAGGGTGGCGTGGCTAATCTTCGAAGTAGGGCGCACTATTACGACGACGCAAGCAAGTCAAGGGGGCTCCGTCGAATATGAAATTGTACCGGGCTTTGAACTACTTTATTTCTAGTAGTTATTTACCTCGAGCTTCATGTCATTTGTGATTCTCAATCCACATTGCGTTTACCGATTCACGCTTGAAAGTACGTTACAAATGAGGATTTCAGACTGCTTGCCGCTCGGTTCAAGCGTGGGGGGCTAGTGATATAATTAGTAACAAGTTGATGATAGACTCTGTTCTAGACGTTGGAAATTCGCAGCGCTCCGTCAATGCCCCCACTTGCATATGCTCTATTCATTGTTAGACGCTGTGAATATCAATATCAACCCTACAGTGAGTCATTTCAACATACATCCCTACAAAAACAGGATGTGCAGTCCGCTCAGGTAGTAGATGTTGAAGCTGTTAGTCGTATTATCTTCCCTGTGTTCCCTTGCGTCTATGTATTCTACCACGAATACATGGACAGCAGCCCTCTAGATGCGTGGCCCGATGTTGAAAGGCGTCTCCTCCATCTTAAATCTTCTGCGGACCTGTGCTCAAGATATACGCATATTGCTATCAATACAGAGCTACAACAAGCAACGACCGTCTGTCCAGTCATTAAAATAGATATTTGAGTACGAGACTCTACTCGACAAAGTTAAGGTCGCGGAAGAACAACATACCGAGAGGATAGCGACATATTCATGCGCAGCTTCACATAGAAATACATCGGCGTGATGCGTGCCACAAGCAGATCTCTCGATTCTGGAAATAAATCAGTAACCTGAGGACGTCTAGGTGTAGTGCAGACGTTGTGCCCAACTATGAGCCCAGTTTATCTGCGCAGTGGAAAAAACATAGATGTAGAGGTAGGCCGCAAGAATGTACACAGCGGATCGATCTGGCTCCAGCCTGATTCATAAGTCGGCAAGTGGACTCATAAGATTGCCTGATAGAGTAGGAAATACTTACGAGTGAGAGATCAGTGTTCATCTCGAAGTGTACCCTTCTCCCAGACTCGGCACACGCAAATGACTCGGACGTCACGTCAATTGGCAGTGGATGTCTGCAAGACCACATTTAACGCTCGAGATTCGTTCAACGGCCGATGTTGATTTGATGTGCTTAGCAGCAGCTCGTTCTTGATGAACTGCAACACGATTGCGTTACCTCCAACAATATCTCCGTGCGACGAGGATAGCACCCTGCTGGAAAGCGAGTCACCCGATGGATGTGAAGTCCACTGGCAAATTCGTGGATGTGAATGATGGCAGGAGATAGGGTGAAGGGCAGTGCTGGTAGGCGTCGAGAAAGAAAAGGTTATAGACTTATAGTGATGATTAAAGATGGACACTCACGTTATGGCAGGGGTCCACATCTGCGCGTCCCTTGGATGTCGCCTGTGTTAGGAACAGCGGATTAGAGGTGGGTGTGATGAAGCAGGAACCTGCGGAACGATTATCGAGTCAATTGCAAAGGAAAGAAAATGGAGGCTTCTCTGGGAGATCACGAGGCTCATCGGAAGAACTGTGTGCAATTGAAACCTGGGTGAAAGTGTTGATGCAGCGGTGCTCACGAGTCCGACGCAGACTTGGAAGGATATGATTAGTTGATTCACCACATAATAAAGTAAGTACAAGGAGAACGATAGCGCACCTTATGTAAGGCGGGAGTGAAAAGTCTAGATCGTTTTCGGTAACGGCGAATTCGTGCAGTCAACATTAATGTAACATACTGCCTCGAGGCTTGCGATATGAGTCTGATCCCCGACTGAGCCGACTTCCACAGAGGAGGGGTTTTTGCGAGGAGCATGTACTATCCCATTTTTCGTAGTTCGAGATTTATTTTGTTCAAAGGTGAGTCAGGCCCTATAGGCCACGTAACCTGCACTCAAATGATTACAGCTCAATTACGCACTGTCTGCGATCTGCAGTCGATCTTCAGCCATCAGACCCAGCGCACAAAACTTTAGACCAACTTGAAGTGTGTCACTCCTTGTAATTACTGAAGCGCCGAATGCTTAGCGCTTGCAGTCAACAATGTAACACAGTGCACTGAGTATCCGGTACCCTGTTATCACTCGGACTTTACTCGGTTCCCACAACACCTCTTCAACAAAGTCCGAACATGAACCCACGCCCGAGCCTTACGGATATCACAAAAGACCTCGAAAACTGCATTTTATTTCGGCTCTCCGACTTGTAAGGATTACCAATCTTCTACCGCCGGAAACGGCCGATCCACCACTCACCTCAACCGCCACCTCAGCTCACCGCCAACGTCGACCAGCGTGATCCCCATCAACCCTTCACCGTCAATTCCCTTCAGCCTCCGTCGCCACATATTCGTTCGGCTCAATCGTACCCGTATCTTGCTCCATTCCTTATCTTCACGCTCTCGTTACACAACATCCTGGGGATATGATATATCATTTACTCCCATTAGAATAAAGCCGTGATATATCCCTGCCTTTGAACTAACACGCAGGGTAATGATATATCATTCAACACAGATGATATATCACTGTATGCCCTGCACATTTGGGTGGGCTATTCTTATACACAGCCGCATTTTTCGCATTTTTTTAAACTCAGCTGCTTTTCATTCCAGGATACATTCTATATTTAGTGGAGTATGTTATGACCGCAATTTTGGCTTCCAAAAGCGGAAATTCACAAAACACATCCCATTTTGGTCACCTGCTCATGTCAGGCCTCCCCACATTATTCCCACACATCACATGTTCGCATTTTTCAGCCACACAGTGTGGGAAATACCCCACAACACCAAAAACATTGCCAAATATGATATACCCCACAATTATAATTATTCCCACACCCTCCCCACCTCACTGCAGCTTCACCACCACACCACAATAGGTCCTCCTTCATATATAAGTAGTAGTTTGATATATATGTGTATAATATAATATAATAAACCACTTTTTTTGTGTATTTGTGTGCTTGCTCCTCCTCCAGGGCCCTTTCAAAATAGCCTAGGGTACAGAACATTTTCGCATTTTTGCCCCTTTGATAGGGAAGTGTTCTGGGGTATTCAGGACATATTTAGAAGTGTATATGAAGAGATTCCACCACTTATTTGACCCCCTGAAGTGAACTGCATCAATAGATATAGCAAATATACATGAAAACACAGAATATGTTCCCATGCATGTATTTCTATGTAGATGTACCTGTAAAATTTATCCCCAGCATCTATTAACCAATAGGAACAATGTATCAGGAGTCTAGGGTAATAGGACAAGACCCTGGGATGCAGTATACCTACCCTCTCCTAGTGGTTCACCCCCTGTGAATTTTTTTCCTGTAGGACTGGACCCTCAGGATGGTAGGGGGTCTACACCTATGCATATTTAGAGTATATCTATCACATAGATATCACAGGAAACCTACAGGGTCCTTCTACAGGAACAGAAATATGTGAAATCACATTTTTGACATTTTTAATATTTTTCAATATCTTGCCCTTGCACAAATGGACCACCCTGCTCATATATCATTAGCTACACATATATATGTACTTTCTATACCAAAGATCAGTTCACAATAGGCCGGAGTTTTGAGCTAGTGTGTATACTTGCTATTTCTACTGATAAGGGTCCTATACCTTCAGAACATCGAAATTTAATAATCAGACACCTGGAGCATATCTTACATATATTCAGTATAATAGGACTAAATCTACAGAAGGATCCATCCAGAATTGTGGACTGGGGAAGTGAAATAGATAAGACATTGAGTGTGGGAAAGTTCAAATGTCCAAAACATCGAAAATGGTTAGTTGAGTGGTAGTAGGACTTTAATGCTGTATCAACTTACTTTATCACCACATCCCTTCCACACATCTTCCACCCTCAGGGTAAAGTGTAGTATAGGTTCCTTGTGTACTCTATCATATATCCTATTGAAATTTAATAAAATATTTGACCAGAGTCATATGTAAATGTGACTTTTGTGTGATATGTTATAATTATCACTTTCTCCACATATGTTCCTTTGCTTCCCTTTCAGTCAATACTTGATGGATCTTTCTGAACATTGAGGGATATAATTAGGGACATATATGAGACATAGTACAGGTGTCTGATTATTAAATTTCGATGTTCTGAAGGTATAGGACCCTTATCAGTAGAAATAGCAAGTATACACACTAGCTCAAAACTCCGGCCTATTGTGAACTGATCTTTGGTATAGAAAGTACATATATATGTGTAGCTAATGATATATGAGCAGGGTGGTCCATTTGTGCAAGGGCAAGATATTGAAAAATATTAAAAATGTCAAAAATGTGATTTCACATATTTCTGTTCCTGTAGAAGGACCCTGTAGGTTTCCTGTGATATCTATGTGATAGATATACTCTAAATATGCATAGGTGTAGACCCCCTACCATCCTGAGGGTCCAGTCCTACAGGAAAAAAATTCACAGGGGGTGAACCACTAGGAGAGGGTAGGTATACTGCATCCCAGGGTCTTGTCCTATTACCCTAGACTCCTGATACATTGTTCCTATTGGTTAATAGATGCTGGGGATAAATTTTACAGGTACATCTACATAGAAATACATGCATGGGAACATATTCTGTGTTTTCATGTATATTTGCTATATCTATTGATGCAGTTCACTTCAGGGGGTCAAATAAGTGGTGGAATCTCTTCATATACACTTCTAAATATGTCCTGAATACCCCAGAACACTTCCCTATCAAAGGGGCAAAAATGCGAAAATGTTCTGTACCCTAGGCTATTTTGAAAGGGCCCTGGAGGAGGAGCAAGCACACAAATACACAAAAAAAGTGGTTTATTATATTATATTATACACATATATATCAAACTACTACTTATATATGAAGGAGGACCTATTGTGGTGTGGTGGTGAAGCTGCAGTGAGGTGGGGAGGGTGTGGGAATAATTATAATTGTGGGGTATATCATATTTGGCAATGTTTTTGGTGTTGTGGGGTATTTCCCACACTGTGTGGCTGAAAAATGCGAACATGTGATGTGTGGGAATAATGTGGGGAGGCCTGACATGAGCAGGTGACCAAAATGGGATGTGTTTTGTGAATTTCCGCTTTTGGAAGCCAAAATTGCGGTCATAACATACTCCACTAAATATAGAATGTATCCTGGAATGAAAAGCAGCTGAGTTTAAAAAAATGCGAAAAATGCGGCTGTGTATAAGAATAGCCCACCCAAATGTGCAGGGCATACAGTGATATATCATCTGTGTTGAATGATATATCATTACCCTGCGTGTTAGTTCAAAGGCAGGGATATATCACGGCTTTATTCTAATGGGAGTAAAATGATATATTATATTGACAACATCGCCTGCTCGTTATCTATTAACCAACTATATTCTCTTTATATCCTCCAGCGGTCTACACACCCTTCCTACTCGCGCACTCTTGTGCGGTCTTACAGACTCGACGCTGCACTGCCCCAAAGAGCCATAGTCTTGGGCTACACACCAGTACCCTCGTTCACGCTTACTGATGCACTTCGACCAGACATCTGAGGAGTACCTGAGCCCTGTCAGTGGCCGCAGCATCCCGCGCACAATAAATATTCTGGGCTCGTATCAGGGAGCGCAGTGTGGTCGACATTCAGCACACTCGAGGGCGCACTTGACGAGTTCTAGTGGCATCATCATCGCCCGTTATACCAAAACACGATCGCCACTTATACACTCATTTTTGCCCGTCTCGATGACGCTGCTCACATATCCACTTTCATCGTTGTCGGTAGCGGTGGGTTTATTTACCAGGACCATGATTATCTATACCCTACAGTATTATTACTTGGCCCAGTGTCATTCTGGGACCGTGCTTCTTACTGTTGTCAATAGCAAGTTGCCTTGTTTCACGAGAGCATTCCGCTCGGTCTTAGAATCACAAACTTGGGTAGAATGAAACAGCTATCATTGCATCACTTTGGGGAACAAATAGTAATAATAGACAGGACACGATATCAAAGTTCGTATTGAAAATACTGCGCCGAAGTTCGTATTGAAAATACTGCGTCAAAGCACTGGACTGAACCGAAGATAACGTACGAGAAACACCGGTCACCCAGCTTCTTGCTCTGAGGAAGAGACTCGCCCGTAAGAGCAGCCTGGTCAATAGAGACATTGATGGCCTCCGTCAAACGACAGTCTGCAGGAACAATGTCACCGATCTTGAAAGAGATCATGTCACCGGGAACGAGTTCTGAAGATTCGATTTCCGACCATGTGCCGTTACGCTTGACTTTAGTTTTGGGGGGCAAGGGAGTCCATAAGTGCCTTGACGGGGGAGCGGAAAGGAAGCACGCAGGCGGTAAAGGATGTTATATACAACTAGGTGATGCCGTTACAAATAAACCGAACCGAACATCACAGGAAGAGTCTGGGGTCCTTCCCCTGGTGAATTATGTGAGGATGTTCGGACTTTGTTCAAGAGTTGTTGTGGGAACCGAGTAGGGTCCGAGTGATAACAGGGTACCTACAACTCCAGTGCACTGCCGTTGTTTAATATAACGTGGGACCCTTCCGAGTCTCCAACTCCTTATCCTACTTCGCTTCAAACTGATTCTAACCGTCATCAACTATGAGCGAAGGCAATCCACCGAAGAGGAAACTCGACGCTGCCACAGCGGCTGGGAATTCAATCACAGAAACCCGCGCCGGCGAACCAATAGCTAGTGAAAGCTCAGTACAGGTACGTGGCTAATGAGGATCATTTTAAACTTGAAACACTGACTCTGATGCATCCTTCGTCTAGGGTCGACATCGTGATAAAATCCGTCGGCTTGCGGGGAAGGTTATGGCTAACACATTTTCTGTGAGTTAAAGATGATAATTACCGAGTGTCCTGGAACACGGTTGAGACAAATTGTACAATAGCGCTCGAAGGATTCCCGCACCGCCGACCCTGTTCTGCCGATCACCAGCCATGAAGGTTCTTCATCGAGTCTGCGTGTTGAGGTAAGTGCTCAAACTTCTTCACTTCTGCTCTCTCTAAATTCAGATTATTGCACATGTTCAGGATGGCCTGTCTGGTGTGGAACAACGTACTGGCCCCCAAGTGGCCCTTCAGGCTGCCGATGCAGCTGCAGACAGCATGGAGCTACTTTCAGAACACGCGCAATCTGCAGCGTCTGCTGCTCAAGATGGACAAGTGGATCTCGATACCGCAGACAATGTCCAGGACACATATCTCCAACCCCTCAGGATATTCAACACTGTTATCGGGGAAATCGCGGATGTATGGACCCTTCCTCTCTATATCGGAACCGAACTAACCCTGTTTCATAGATACATCCATATGTCAAGATAGCACTGGGCATACTGTCTTCTGCCTCAAATGTGTGTCCGGTTTCACCCCCATCCCGATCTATTGCTCACCCACCATTTCGTGCAGATCATTCTTGCTCAAGTAGATCGCGATAAAGCGGTAATTCAACTTCTCAAGAAATTGAGTCAAGTTTACCGCTTCGTGATGGAAGGCGAGACCCTTCGCCATATTTCATCAATGAGAACTATCCTTGAACAGATCTCTGGTCTGACTCTTCGATGCGCCCATTTTATCAGAGATTATGCGGAGAAAAAGAACTTTTGTGAGTCTTACAAGCTGTTGTGCTTTTGCACCTCCTCAGGCTTCTACCATCATCACAGGGAAGAGATTCAGAAAGAACATCGTCTCAGAAACGAATACTATAATCCAACAGTACAATAACGAGTTGGACGCACTCATGCAAACCTTCCGGGACCAAGTTTTCCGGGACATGGCCATCTCCCTTCCCCGTACAGGTAAGAATTTGGACGTGTTCTTTAACTTGACATGTATTCATACCTTTTTAGGCGAAAGACTGGACCTCAGCGGTATGAGTTATGCACCGGGCGCGGGACTAGATACCGCGAAACAGTGCCTGCCAGGAACGCGTACGGAAATCCTCTCCCAGATCAAGGACTGGGTCAAGAGCACCGGAGATGATGTTGAACGTGTGCTGTGGCTATCTGGCCCTGCGGGCAAGGGGAAATCAGCTATCGCCCATACCATTGCTAAATGGTTCCACGAAGTAGGAGGGCTTGGCTCATTTTATTGTTTCGACCATGATCGAAAAGCCGAACGTCGCCATGAAAAGGTTTTCGCCACCATCGCGCGCGACCTGGCTGACCATCATCCAGAGATGAAGAGAGCATTGGCGGAGGCAGTTCAAAACGACAATGCTCTCAAGAACTCGGTGGACATCATGCAGCAGTGGCAGAAGCTTCTGGCGGAACCGCTAAAGAAGCTTTCAGCATCAACTACAGGGCCCATCGTCGTTATCATCGATGCATTGGACGAGAGCGGCGGAGTTGAGACACGGCGCAGCCTTCTCCGCACTCTTGCCGGTAAATTAGCTGTTCCTGCAATCACCGAACTCCCAAAAAATATCCGGATTATTGTTACGTCTCGGCCGCTCTCTGACATTGAAAATGAGCTTGCAGGCGCTCAGCACATTCGCCGTATGTCTATGGACGACATTCCACCAGAAGTCGCAGAGCGCGACATCCATGCTTACATATCCAAGGAGTTGAAAGGATTGAAGGATTTCCATGACAAGCAATTTACAGTCCTTGCTGAGATGGCTGGCGGACTTTTCGAGTGGGCTCGTCTTGCCTGCGGATACATCAAAGAATCCCATACTGGACTATCTCCAATGGAGTACTACGACGATGTGGTGTCAAGCGATCCCGCTGAGAGAAACATGCTGTTGCACGACATGTATCGCCTCATTTTAACAGATATCATGCATATGGGTACATCCACCAATGGTCAACGTTCACAGAAAATGCGTTCGATGGAGCTAGCGAGATTTCGCTCAGTGATGGGCCAAATACTAGGCACATCTGAACCCCTCCCATTAGCTTCCCTAAACGCCATGAGGCACCATTTTCCAACCGAAAAGGACCGTTACGACGTGGGATTTATGGTAAAATGCATGGGTTCCCTCCTCAGCGGGACCACCAACGCAAATTCCCCAATCCGACCCCTTCACGCATCCTTCCGCGATTTCCTGACGGACGAACTGCGCAGCGGAGATTTTTTCATCGACGTGTCGAGTGTGCAACGCGACCTTGCATTCGCGTCACTTCGAGTGATGGAACATGATCTTCGATTCAATGTCTGTGATCTGCAGTCATCGTATCTCCCTAATTGTGAAGATTCCGGGCTGCAAGAACGAATTGAAACACGCATTCTCCCACATCTGTCCTATTCCTGTCGATTTTGGACTGCGCACGTACGAGACACGGTGTTCGACAAGGAGCTGGCAAAAGAAGTGAAATCATTGTTCGACCACGAACGTCTGTTTTTCTGGCTCGAGGTACTTGCCCTCATTAACGCACTCAGTGGTGCAGTTATTGCCCTTCCACTCATTGCCCAGTGGCCGAAGGTGAGCATGTGTTTAGTGGATGTCAGATAAAGTGCTCACGCGGAACCGCAGGGCCATTCTGAATTCAAAGATCTTTCGTTGACTGCCATGGACGTCCGGAGGTTCATTCAAGTGTTCGGCGGCATGATTTTACACAGCACACCCCATCTGTATGTATCAGCACTCCCATTCACGCCTATCAACTCTCCGCTATCGAGACAATATTCTGCGCGGTTTCCGAACACTCTTCATGTCGCATCCGGACGTGATGTGCACTGGCCTGCTGCTCAGACCGTGCTCAGGGGGCACACTCAGGGAGTTACCTCGGTCTCGTTCTCGCCGGATGGCACTCGCATCGCGACTGGCTCTTGGGATACAACTGTGCGGCTGTGGGATACAGCCACAGGGCAGCCAGTCGGTGATCCCTGGGAGGGGCACACTATGGGAGTTACCTCTGTCTCGTTTTCGCCGGATGGCACTCGCATCGCGACTGGCTCTTGGGATACAACTGTGCGGCTGTGGGATACAGCCACAGGGCAGCCAGTCGGTGATCCCTTGGAGGGGCACACTAAGAGAGTTTACTCAGTCTCGTTCTCGCCGGATGGCACTCGCATCACGACTGGTTCGGAGGATCACACTGTGCGGCTGTGGGATACAGCCACAGGTCAGCCAGTCGGCGATCCCTTTGAGGGGCACACTAAGTCAGTTAACTCAGTCTCGTTCTCGCCGGATGGCACTCGCATTGCGACTGGCTCAGACGATCGCACTGTGCGGCTGTGGGATACAGCCACAGGGCAGCCAGTCGGTGATCCCTTGGAGGGGCACACTGCTTCTATTACCTCAGTCTCGTTTTCGCCGGATGGCACTCGCATTGCGACTGGTTCGGAGGATCGCACTGTGCGGCTGTGGGATACAGCCACAGGGCAGCCAGTTGGTGAGCCCTTGAAGGGGCACACTGGTTATGTTAGCTCAATCTCGTTCTCGCCGGATGGCACTCACATCGTGAGTGGTTCTTGGGATCACACCATCCGACTGTGGGATGTAGGAATAGGGCAGCCCGTGCAACAGTACACCGACTCAGAGTCAGATCATTCAGTATCCTCAGATGAACATTGCACCATGCATCCCATCGAGACCACCACTGCCAAGACACGCAACAATCGCCTCATTCGCTTCTCGTCTAATTCTGCCCATGCGTTGTGCAACCCTACTGAGTTAATGGTGGGAGCCTTCCGTGATGGCCAACAGTCGACCTTCTTTCTCCTGGATCGTGACAGTGGGTGGGTAGTAGGACCCAAACAACAGCTCTTACTCTGGGTGCCACCCGCTTCTCGAGCCCGATTTTATTGTCCTCGGACTGCATTGGTGATACCTAGAGGAAGTCCTGAGCTTGATTTGAGCCGCATGTCGCATGGACGACATTGGCATCAGTGCCGAGGTTTGTGAGTCTCTCGAGGCTTACCCGTTGCTAGCACTTACTAAAATCACTACTCTCAGACCTTGATAACGATCATGGTATTCCAGTAATTGACCCATTACGGAGATTTGAGATATAATGTCATGTGGAACGTACAGTGTTAGATCATACTTTCTATTCTATTCTATACCCAGCATCGAGCCCGAGTTTAGGATTGTCCGAACGCACAATCTAGCACAAGTGGGCGAAACATCTTGAGAGAACTGAGTGGGACAGAAAACACAGTTTGTTGTATCACTTTACAGCATTATGGATATTTACACAACGAGAGTGGTGAGAACCAAAGCATTGTGAGGATGGTACATGAAACGATAAGGGGGAGGCCTGCAAAACTGTGCGAGACAAGAACAAGCTGGATAAGGAAATCAACGACTGCTTGGGGGCAGATGACTGCTTTTAGATAAAGACTGGCCTGCATTTTCCACTTGTGGTATGTTCAGTGAGATTAATGAACTTTGTGAGCCGCACACACAGAAATGCACTCACAGGATGATCGCCTCTTCTCCTCGTCTAATACGATTTCCCTAAGGTAAGAGACTGAGTAAACTTTGCCGTGGTACGCCTCCACGAAAATGACTGAGATGACGTCATCTCGAGGCACAGCCACATACCTCTTTCCATTACGCATACTTACCAACAAGCGAGTACGACAGGTCGAGTCCCACCTCATCGCCACAACGATTCACCTCTAATAGCGTTCGATGTCGATAAGGGATTCCAGCAGAATGACTCTGGTACGTCTTTGAATTTCAATCAACAGAAGATGTGACGCGAATGGGTGTTACAGCCATTACTTCAATATACTTCGACAATGAACCGTACCTCTGGTGGTACTGCGACACAGACGTGAAAACCGTAAGTGTACCTGACTCGGTGTGCCAAGATCACGCTCACCATCCTCCCTTAGATTTTCGTAGAGCGCAAAGAAGCCTAGATGGGTGAAAATTCTGTCAAGGCGCGCTCTCCGATCAAAGAACATCTCGTGAATGCTTTTCTGCGTGCAAAATACACCATAGGCGAGGAGCTCCAGGCTATAGTCAACAAGCAAGAGGGCACCAGCCTAAGTCAATTCCATGATTCGGCTTGCATGAGAGGTTCAGTATCGTATTGTTACGAAGCAGCTGCAGCCAGGTATGTAAGCACCCCCACATCTGACCTCGTCGCTCATAAATATCCTAGTCAAGAGGACGTTTTACAACCGAACTCCATTCCAACTCCCAGGAGATTCCCGTGTACGGATATCGCTTGATACAGAGCTCACCATGGCTGGCGAAAAAAACTGGGATGGACAGACGCGTACTGGCGATAACTGGCGGCGAACTGAGGAAGATAAGGAACTTTTCAAGCTTGTGCGTTTCCATTGTTTCTATTATAGCATGTTCACGCTCCCAAAAAGTATGACATTTTAGAACTCAAACTTCAGACTCGGTGCGGACAAGAGGCTCCAAAATGGGTTACGGATCTTGTCCAGTCCCACCTCGTCGAAGCTGTACCCAAGTTCGGGTATGATTCTCACAAGAAAAGACGCACCACTGCCACTTACAGATTGCCGCTATGTGATAAATTTATCCATGACTGTGCTACCCTACTGCCTAATCGTATAGCTCTATGACTTGCTTCCTGTATACTGACATCCTCACGCCTAATACGGGTCACCTCGCAGTGGAGCACCCCGCAAAGAACACCCCCGATCTGCAGTCTTACATCTTCTTGCCCCGTCGAGCACATGCACTCCTATGTTGAGCCCATCTCGGAGGGCGAAAGGATGAAGAGATGGACTTGGCGATGCGATTTCCAATGATTCCAGATAACTCCTGAGGCATTTGATGGAGGCATGTGGTACCGTTTTATCATCGGATGCACATGTAGCGGACCAATGGGCTATTTGCGCGATTTGGTAGGTCGTAGAATCGGAGAGATAGGAAGGAAGGTGAGCAAATCAACGTTCAATCAGTGACTCGGTTTCCAGTAGTAAGAATTGAGCGGCAACAAGACCATACACCAGAAATCTATATAAGAGTCAGACTCACGTCGTCAATGAGCAGGCAACGACAAATTCTCAAACATAAAGACCAACATCATCCATCACAACATGTACATCGTAAGTGACGTTTCTCGTGTCGCATTTCAGTGTCTTATCCCGATCTCCCTCGCTCACAGGTCGCTGAAGTCCCTCCTTCCAACGACCACTGTGGCTCGAGCGGCTGCGGATGCCACGCCATGTGAGTCGCAGTCCTTTATTTTTGTATAAAGTCTCGATCTGATTCGCAACTTTGTGCGCAGGTGCCACTGCAAGCACGGAGAGTGCAAGTGCTGCTGAACGTTGAATGTCGGGTAATCGTGTATAATTTCTTGGTGTTTGACCATCGAGGAGGTGTAATCTGAAAATTTTATCTGATTGTGTGGGTGCAACCAGTGAGGAGCAACTTTGTGTAAGTTGACAACCAGGCCAAGCCGTCGGCCAGAGGCTCGTCGATGAATGTTGTATGAAACGAGCCTGCACAATTCCAAGAACAGAAAATCAGGCCTTTCCTCAGCGCTCAACGTCAACCATCATTGGAGCCGATCCGAGTCTTCTTTTCTGCCATGTGCCCTCTAGATCATATCCACATGTTCCACTAGAGATCGGCGTAGTCCCTGTATATTCATCAGATATTAATCACGCATAATGGACTTCAAGAAGAATCGGGATAGATCAAAATCCACGCGTCAAAGTGCGCCATGCATCTATCTAGTGCGTTCTGCGTCGGATTCAACGTTTACCATTTTCCCGCCTGCTTATGATATGATACCCCGAACCAGAGAGCGAAGGTGCGTATTGGGCAACGGACGAGGAGCGGGAGATCAAGTACCGAGACGTATTTTTAAGGGGGGCACTAGCAGGCCGAGCAGTTAGCTTTGCATGGGTGAGTCACCTGCTTGCTTCGTTTTGGTTTTGACATTCTTCATGTCTGACTTTTCCAGAGCCATGCCGACAGAATGTGATTCGAAGGAGAGCTATGATGCTCTGGGCCCAGTTCTCCGCCATCCACCTCACTTTCACAAACTGACTTCCCAATGCACAGCACCTGTATTCCTGTATTATCTCCTCGGGAACGCGGAACATGCGGAGAAAGTTCTGGATGAGACCACTCAGTTTGCGGGCCATGTGTGGAAGAGTTGGAGAGGGATCGTGAGGACTTCTACTAGACTCGCGCTTTTGAAGCACCTTGCCAGTTGTTGGCGTGCCCCGGGTCATCAATACACTGGTGATAAATTGTTTCCTCCGAGTCTTTTCCCCCTTGAGCATTAATGTCCGCTGCCGCAGATCAATTTATGAGCACAACGTTGTCCCTTTTGACACCGTGCCGTAGACATCTTTCCTCTTATGGCGGGCGTCCTTACAGTGTTTTCCCTTCTCCCTTCTACACGCTCAAGAACCACTTCTCTCCCCGCCTTCCGCTAACAAATTCACGCCTGTTTATCAGATGTTAGGTGATATGTATCTGGTCACGCATGCCTCTCGTTCTGAAAGGTTCCTACAAGTATCTGCTAGTAATGCTATACATCCCCATCGTCAGGGCTTGCTCCCGCCTATCTATCGTGTAACAAGACTACTTATAACACGTCGACAGGATGGTGATATATGTGTGGAGCGACAGACCTCATGTTCGTCAGGAGCCGTTTCTCGAATTCAGTTTTATCGTCTGGCACGCTAGCCAGGGAGGAATGATAGAGTGCGTGAAGGCATTTTACCGCAAGCTTCCAGTTAGTAGATTTGTGAGATGACGAGGGTTGGATCTCAGGGTCGAGGTCGTCCCCTTCCCTGAAGTTCCACTGAAAGTAAGACTTTTTCTCCCTGCATCTGGTAGCATCCACTTTGAGCCAGTCGTCGAGCCGTCTGCCCTCCCTCACGCGCAGGAGCTCGCCGTCCTTGTACCGAAGACAGACCCAGACGAGGACCCAGACAAACGATTCAGCATCGTGGTGGTACAAGTGTTTGACTTGGCCTGCGAGAAAACTTGGCCGGAGCAGTTCAATTGCCATGAATGGTACTGTTCCTGCGCGCTCGTTGTCGCTAGGCCTATCGCGTGAAATCGATGACAAGTCGTGGTTATTGAGGACTGCAACTCATTTGCCAATTAACCGGTACACCATGAGATTGTTTGGACTAACGTCACGGTGATAGATACCGTGCTTCCAGAGGGTATAATGACCTGTCAGAGCAGTGAGAGACAATAAATAACGCAATGAAAATTACACTTACAGAGCACAACTTGCCACCATGCGCTGAGGAACTCGTCCCCGCTCAGCATCGTAATTGGGAACGGCTTTTTAGACACAGTGTATATATATAATATGCAGCTGCCTTGTTCAATTCCTGGCATCCTGATTTTCTTCGTGGATTTCTCTTCAACCTTGTGGTACCAGACCATCACTGAGACGTGAGGCTGGCTTTCCGCCATCTTTTACTACATCTCTTCTATTATATCAGGCTCTTGAACATGACTCGATGAAGTACGCACAATTTGATAGCTACGTGGTTTTCCAAATGAGTGGTTTGAAAGTAGAACCACGTCTGTTAGTAGGTTGTGTGTCATAAACAGGAGCTGGGGATAGCCAATTGGTTGTTGGAGTTATCAACAGGGACGACTGCTTCCTTGTTGATGAATGTGTGGCTAGCGGAGACAAGTAGGTTGGAATAGGGGAGATTTTATAGTATATCCCTGAGGCTGAGGCATAGATGTTTCTAAGTGTTGGCCGAAGACCCTGAGGGATGATCGATGATGGGGACGATGATAACGCGAGTGGTGGTGAGATGAGAGGAAGGCTTCGTGTATGTATGTGTTACAGTCTGTCAGCCCGTCCTAGCCTGAGGTTTGGCAAAGAGTTGTGAAAAAAGCGACAACCTGTGTTGACTACACATATAATGCACCATGCCAAGATGACAAGGACGGACGTCTGACATGTCTCCCACGCTTTTGCGCTTAGCACCTGCCCAAATCCCGGGGATGAGTCTACTCAGCCTTGTGGCTTATTCTGAACCAGCAACTACTGGATGTTGTGCACTAGGGCTCAAGTTCCTGTACTAGCTGCGAGATGCTCGTCGGGTCGTGTAAAATCAGCGAAATTTACAGCCTTGAACGCTGCAGATATCAGTGATGACTGGTTTTTGGTGCCAAGGTAAGCGTCAATTTCAGTTTCACGATTTGGTTCTGAGATACCACGGATAGACCTGCAGGCTTCCGGTAACATTAATGCCTGGTTCGTGGTTGTCCCATAGCGCTGTTGAAAGGTTCCGACAGATTCAGAAAATGTTGTGCAACATCATTGCGCCAATATGGTATGCGTACGGGAGGAATTGCATTTCAGCCTGGTGTGTGTTCGTATACTTTTTGACTTGTCCGCTCGTTCTTTACTTTGTCATTGCACGCGTCTTGTAGTATTCATTCCGTTTTGCACACTCAGACTCGTCTTGTCTTATGACACGCAATTGTTCTATATTTTCCTGTTTCATACCACCAACACTCACACTGCTCCTCGCTCATAGACGATACCCTCGACTTTTACTCCTCAGCAGCCCAACTCAGCAACCCTGGCCTGGCAGACTTGCGCTCTACGCAGCTGAAGAGTTCAGTGATGAAATGCGGCCCGGAACGAAGGACCCCAAAGAATTTGAAGACGCAGTCGATTAATTGCGCTACGAGGAACCGATGTTCAAGTTGATCACTTACTGTATTCTCTATCACGTAGTGATGAGGCTTCCAGCATGAATATCACTCCCAGAGCTCAGCATTTCTATCGTGTTTCATTCTGAACTTGTAGTCTACCCCTCAAGTTCAAGGATGACATCATACTCAAACCATGCTCACGTGTTGTTAGCCCCTGTGGTGTTACCCGGATTTCCTAAACAAGGTATGCGGATAAACGATCGATGACGGTTATCCGCGTTTACATTCACAGCGTATAAAATGGTCCACCTCCACAAGAAATCCATCCCCAGTTGTCGTCGCTATCTACTCGATTTCTTAACTGCGCATCCTTGACCTCGTCATTGCTTCTGTCGAAACTGCAACCCAGCAACTTGAAAGGTTCGTGTGATCTGTTCTAAATTCTAAGTAAATCTCACCTCCGGGTTACTGGCAGTACCAAATCATCAACCATGAGCGAATATAATCAAGCCACCCTAACACTATTAGACTGCCCTGTCGAAATCTTGTTAAAGATTTTCGGCCATCTAGATGTGTACGAACTCGTACGGGCTCGTCAAGTAAGGCAAAATTTCACATGTATAAATAATTAACTCAAGTCTCTTCAGATATGCAATTATACTCAACAAGCGATTGATTCTTCCTTGGAGTTTCTGTATTCAATCGACCTCAAATATTTCCACGCAATTCCGGTCACTGTGCCTGGTTCGGCCGATACTGACGTCCAAGGACTCCGTCAGTCGCTTCGACAAAGAGAATCTGCATGGCAGAATGCTCAGTACTCATCGAACGCCCTGGACCCTGTTCCGTGCCCTCTGGTTATGTACCGATGGTCGTCCGGCGTTCTGGGATTCCCAGTCGCATTTCTGGGACGCCAAGTCGGACAAACCAAGCGAATACTATTTCTCCAACCCCAACCGGCAGACGGCCACTCCAGTGCCCCAAACTTGCGTCAGTGGAGCTGCCAAGTCGACCACCCATTCCCCCATTTCAATTTTTCGCCTGCGCAGGATCTCATGGTTTATCTTGCCGAAGCACCCTGGGGGTGAGTGTTTCTTTCAAGTCGTATCTCAGACATTATATATTAACGAACGTCAAGGGCGAATCACGCGTTTGATGTCTGTTTCAGATCCCTTTCAGAGGATAACGTCCATCCGGAAGCTGTATCACCTGTCCTCAAAGCAATCGACAAGGACATTGATTTGGAGTTGTTCAACCTCTTCGTTCAAAAATCCTCGATCTTTGGGGATTATTATGGTGTTTTATTCAGAAATGTCATCAGAACGAATGGAGCGGCCGACTTTTTGCAGATCTGGAATTGGAAGTCAAAGGACGCCTTTCAGGTCAGTGAAACTCCTGACGTCGTTATTGTGACTTATGAATTAACTGGACTTGCAGTGCATCGAAGCTTTTGATCTGGCTTGCGACACGATGGACTTCAGCTTCCTGACGAACGAAAAAATTCTCGTCGCCAACGCCAGGGAACTATCATTGTATTCCCTTGTTCAGTCCTCCAATTCCCTCAAGATCACTGCCAAATTTTCCCTCCCTCCCTTGCGGAGTCCCTTTGAATACAAATATTTCAACTTCACCCCCATTCCTTTCCACGCCCACGCACACAACCAAATGATCTCTTTCAGCATGAATATTTCAGGGGGGGGCCTCGCCACCGATCCTTGTTTCACACTCTTCGTTGAGCGCAATGCCCTCTTGGAACTCGAGTCCACCTATACAAGTCGGTATGGAAAAGCCACTGAAGACTCCCCTAGTCTGCCTTGGTCCAGCTGGGGCCCAAATCACACCCGGTCCTTCGTGGAGCGCTCGCGCGATCCTTGCAAACACTCCGTCTCTGGCTTCCGGTCTGTATCTTTGGCCGGGGACCGGATGTCGGAGCGTGAGAAGCGACCGCTATGCATTCGCGACTTCAATCCTCATCGAGTGGCGGATTTCAAGGCTGGGAACGGATCTAGACTCAATCAGCGACTTATCGAAGGCGAGCCAACAAGCTCGAATATGTTTTTGGAGCCTCTTGGATCTGGTCTTCCGTATCTCGAGACGATCACCGAGGAGAAATTTGTTGCGACGGATATGAACGTGGAGGCAAACAGGGTCACGTTGCTGATGTTCGAAACGGGACGCACTTTTACGATGTCGCAATCGGGTCAGGGGGGCCCCGTTAAGTATGAAAATCTACAGCGCTTTGAAGTACTTGATTTCCAGTAGATGTTTACCTCGAGCTTCTTGTCATTTGAGCATGTCAATCCATATTGCGTTCACTAATTCACATGTCCCTGGTGTCAGACTGTGTCCGTTTGTGCAAGCGTTGTGTTGTGCACCCTTCGACTTGGCTGTATGGAGACGTCTCTCCAACCTCCTAACCCTCTTGCAGTCGAGATTGATGGGTGGACTCGGAAGGTAGCCCCTTCCTGAGCTCATCAGTCATTGGGATTCGACAATAATATCATTTTCGGCCCTTTTCCCAACCTCCTGCCTCTTTCTTTCTCCATAGACACGATTGCATACGTCACGGAACACATGCAACACTCCGGCCACTGTGGGTAGTACACTCGTTGAATTTCAGTGAATGGAATCACTGGATTCCCGTAGCGGATGCCTACTTGAATTTAGTGTGTCGCTCACTCAAATTTAGTGATTTCTATATCACTGAAAGGACCAACTTGACATATGTAAATTTCCGTGGAGTCTCCATTGATTTTCAATTGAATATATCACTTAACATACTGCGAGAACATCACTGGAAAAGATCGAGGCCATCACTGGAAAAGATCGAGGCCATCACTGGAAAAGATCGAGGCCATCACTGGAAAAGATCGAGGCCATCATTGGAAAAGACTGATGCAATCACGAGAATTGTTCAATTATGATGCAGCATTGAGCTAATACAGTACAGGCAAATGCAAAGAGACAATCTAGTGCATAAACAGAGAGACACGAAGCCGTACAACAGTTGCAATCGATAGAAGAACAGCATGCATGAAGAATACCAATGGGAACAATCTTGAATGAGTTGGCGGCAATTTGAGCAGAGACGGTTGAACAACTGGTTATCTCGAAGAAACGGCAAGCAGAGACGAAGGGCCTGGTGTGAATGCTCATCTGCGCGACTGAAAAAAACAGATTGTCAGTGAGACAGCGCGCATAGAGAAAACTAACCCTTCGCCTGGCTGGTTGTGTGCGAGAAGGTTTAGACCGTGGTACCGGAGTAGCCTGGATACTCTCGGGCTATTCGAAGCAGTAATTGAAGGTGAAAGTCAGCGGGAAGAAAGTGTAAGAGCGCACCGGTTCAGAGAGCTCCGATTCGCCCTCATCTTGATATGCTGCATTGTCATATGATCCAGGGAATTTAGAGGGACCTGCTGTTGGTTGTGATTTGGAAGTAATGGGCTAGTGCGTAATAGCGCGAACGTGAGCTAAAATGAACAAGGGGCTGTCAGTATAAGTTCCAGAAAGGACGTACTGCGCGCTGCTAGACAACAATCATCTGAGCACATGACCGAACACGTAACATGATACTACGCACCTTAGAAGCAATCTTTGCAGCTAATTCATCGTGCATCCTCTGTTCCTCCTTTGCCTTCTCGATTTCATCCTTCATCTCATTGCGGAAGCGCTTGACCTTCTCAACACGTTTCTCAGCAGCCAAGACACAGTGATGACGCGTGATTCTCTCGATGCGTGAGTCTTTGTCAGCCATTGGATGCAGAGAAACACCTGAATCAGCACTGGCAATCATCTCTTCGTACGCCTCTTCCAGACTGCATCCAAGATCTTTCGAAATTAAGTGCATAGCGACCCAGGGTATGAGGTAGTATTCGATGTAGGTCTTGAAGTCAAGGGGAGCGAAGGCGTCATTGGAAGTCTGTTCGTGATCAAACATGGAAAATATTGCGGACTGAATTATCGTTTTTCCTTTCTCCCCATAGCTAACAAGATGTCAGTATCAATACGGATAGAGTCATGTAAACGAGCAAATCACTATCCAGGACGAGCATGATTTGTAACCATCGCTGGAATGCGAAGTCGGCTAGTGATGGCCAGCTTGGAAAATTCTCGTTCGGTGGAGTTGCTTTTCAGACCTGTGGAAGAAAGATCTTCAAGAAACATATCATGGAAAAAACTGTAGCGCCTCGTGTTTTGATCATGAATCATGAGATCCAAATCGGCCTCCATTTGGAGGACTCGATCTGAGATGTTCTCCCATATAATGGTTGTTGGCCATCCTCGGGCTTTGGCGCGTTGCATATTGAGCTTTTCTTCACGCAATTGTCGAAGCGCCGTGCATATCTCAAGCTCTAGACGTAGACCCTCCGAGGTCATGCAGCGATTAGTGGTCTTGAAAGAGTTCCACTGCCGAAGCTGTTTGACCAGCTCAATAGTGGGGTCCGCTGGCACGAGATCCTTACAGCTGTCATTTGGACAGACCAAAGGAAGGTCGGCGAACTCGTAAGCATCGTTGTCATTGTCGTCTGCTGGTTTGGATTTAGTCTTGGCGTGAGTTTTGTGAGGAATAGATTTGGGTTTCGCCTTTGGCTTGGCCGCGGCGGTTGGTGGAGTTTCCGTTGCAACCTTCGTGGTGCACGTGTCTGATGACAATATTGGCCTTGGTTTTGGTTTTGCAGCTGGTAGTGGGTCTGGATGGGTAGTAGCGGGGGAGGACTTTGAAGTTGGTATTGGCAGGTCCAGACGACGAGCAGGAATCTGGGTCATCTTTGACTTTGGAGCTGGCTTTGTGCGAGGAGCAGGTTTTGCGTGAGGAGCAGGTTTTGCACGAGAAGCTGGAGCTGGCTTTGCACGAGTAGGAATGGACACCTGCCAGTAGCTTTGAGTATTAGTAGTGTAATCGAAACGTCATGAACACTCACATAGGCAAACTTAAGCTTTTTTTGAGGTCGTGGGCTCCTTTCCTCGTCGGTCTCTGAATTGTCTGAATGGTGTGCATGTCGGAGTCGTTTTCGTCGTGATGTCGGAGTCAAAGTAGCCTCATCATCGTTAAGCATGTCGTCAAGGTCCCCATCACTGAGATCTGAGTCGTTGATCTGTGCGCATATATGCAATCAACTTCCAACTTATGATTTATTAATTAGCATACCTCTAAGTCATCCACATTTGAATGCCGTTTCTTGGTGTACTGGACATGATTGCGAAGGTAACAGGCAATAAAGTCGTGAAATGGCCAGTTATCGCGGAACCTTGCTAGAAACTGATGTTTGCGCTGTGCCTGAGCATAGTTGGAGTAGCATATATGCACAGAAAAATGTGAGATACATACATACGACAAAAGGAGTGTCACCGTGAGTTTGTCCTGTTCTTTCAGAGTCTTCTCAGTATCGAGGTACCGATTCGTATATCGCCGTGCGATCATCTTATTAAAATTTGAATCATTTCGGAGTGCTGGTCAACACTACTCACTCTAAACGCATTGTATTTGCGGTTGTTGCCAGCCAATCCCATGGCCTGTTGAAGACTGTATCCTCCTTTCAGTTCTGATCGCCCTGCTTGACCCTTTGGCTTGTTGATCCGGTTCTTCGCATGCCCTGTGGGGCCGAGCCTTCCGCGATGATCATTTCCTACCTGCATGTTACTCCTATTCCTTCTGGAAATTCGAAATCTAACTCACGCTGTATATGACGAAGCTCAGTCTCAAGGTGACTGAGATTCTTTGCGACCCTGTCCATCTTTCTGACTGTTTTTCCTTTGTTGTGGGGCATTGTTGATAGTGCTGGAGAAATTTGCGAGTGCAGGTTAAGTCGTCTGATACTATTTGTTGACATCCTTTGTTGACGTGTTATTTGGCACGCACGTGACATCTCTATATCATATCGCCTACATCCTCGAGCCCACACAACGGGCGTTCATAGACATACCATGACATTTGATAAACGGAAGTCATCAAACTTTAAGGAGAATGGTCTTCGTAGAGTAGTGATATTGGCAGGTACAAGCACATCACCAGGATAGACAGAGCATAGCTCAATAGCCTTTCTCATAATACGCTCCCCAAGTTCAAGTCGGCTCTCTGCTATCTGAGTAAGGTCGCATTCGTGAAGTTCAGAGAGAACTACCGAACAATTATTGGAGACAAAATCAAGTTCTGCCCGTAGATTGCTCGAAAGATATTCAGTTACAGTGGAGAAAGGACCTCTGTTTGAATCGACATCTTGTGAGACAGGCGCGTCGGGAATCCGGATAACGCCGTCAAGAGCGTGTCAAGAGCACGGTAGAACAGTATGCTGAATTTCGGTCCAACAACGAAGTGAGGTGAACGAGTGTGGTACTGTAGATATGGTAACAAGCTGTGAAGGACTAACCTTCATTTTGTGCACGACAGCCGTAACGATGATGACGCCTCACTGACGATCATTGTGTGGGTGTTGTCTTCATGGGATGGGGACACCACAGCACGGTTTGAAGCCAGTGAAGGACGTGTACGAGCATTTGCGATAGCAGGAGCAACACGAGAGAAAGCATGGGCTGCAGCCATTGAGCAACACGAGAGAAAGCATGGGCTGCAGCCATTGAGCAAGCTTAGGGTTAGGGTTAGGAGTTCGTACCTGCAAGGTGCCAGCAATTATGAGGGCGCCCAAAGCAAGAACAGTGTACGGGGCGGGAACCAGTGCCAGGCAAATCTGCATGCTCCGCACTATAAGACTTGATGTGAGAGTACCGGCAGAGTGCGGGTATTTCGATGGTTCTGGTACTGTACTAGTACAACTTGTTACTCCCGGACTATTGGCATCCGTGCTGGCTTCCAAGCCGCACTATATGTGTTACCGCCAGTCCGGAGCTGAACAAGTCGTACATTTGTACACATCTTATCGAAATTCAAACAGACGCAAAAAGTCCAACAGTCCAACAAGATCACGTGAAACTTCAAATTCCGCCGGCAAATTCCGACAGTTGAGTTGTACGTCCTAGACTGTGTAGACATACCATATTAACCAGTCGCGGTCATACCTCCTACATCCTTCCACCAAGTCCCCGCCCAGACCACATTCCAATCGCTCAGTCCGACCGCACCACTTCCCCGATCGCTGGGGCACTTGAGAAGTGGAGATGTCTCACTCGTTCCCTGGGGAAGACTACTTTTGAATCCCCATGTCGATAGCCTCGTGGCTAACTTTATCCTACGACCTTTTGTCACAGTGCACGCATGTTCTTGAGTCATGTCCGTCCCCTCAAACCTTTCTAAGCATTCCGTACCTCTCCCACTACTTCTGCGCTCCCGCTCCCCTTCGTCCTTTCATCTTCGACGGATTGGTCCTCTGGCTGCTATTTCTATTCAGTACCCTTGGAATATCTGCATCTGATTTCTTCACTCCGAACCTCGCCACCATTGCGACCTTCCTAGGTCTTGATGAGAATGTCCGTGGCAGGCACTCTTTCCTGGGTCCATGTGTGATATCTGATGGCACCATTATTCTACTCCTCTCGACTGTGTGGTGAGTCGCAAGTAGCCAATATGTCGTGTTCTCATGTTTATCATCTCACTCGAGCCTTCGTCTCATGTCAGATATCAGTTGAAGCATACAGCGCTTCATGACACGCAACGCTACAGTGAATGGTATCGCCGTTCATCGCAGGAACAACACCCCTACTGCACCGTCACTTTTTATGCGTCCGAGTCATCATCAGCCCCACCAATCACATCACTCCTCCTCGCCTTCCCTATTGCAATCGCAGTTCCCCGCGTCGTCAGTCGCACACTCAAAATCTCCAAATCAGACTCGAGTTTCCCTGCGACATTTATTCCTCTGTTTCTCGCACCATCTTTGATCACTGGCACGATGTTCTGGATGCTCGAATGGGCAGACTCTGCGCAAATCCTGGGGGGTATGGGTGATGGCTTGAGGGTGACGAGGACGGTCTTGGCGAGGACTAGTGCTGTTGTAATGTTGATCGGGGGTGTTTCGGCATGGTGGACGTCGCCTGTCTGCCTTGCTATTTCGACAATCACGCACCTCTTCCGTCCTGCTTTGGTGACCAAGAACTAGCATTATGGAAGATACATCCATGCACGTCGCTATATACTTTACATTGCTGTATCTATGTTTCCTCATCTGAAATATAATTGTACTCCTCATCCACGTCTGCAAATGATGCACAGGCAGCATTGATGGTACGATCTATGATACCCCACCTTCCACGTGTATTAACTCTGCCCACTGCGGCTTTTATATTGCGTACATCGCTAACGATAATTGGCAGGAATTGTTTATACTCCACAACGGTTTGTGAAGCATCACACCCATCTGTATCGCAGGGGGCAATAACTGCGAGGATGTGGAGGGAATTCCGGTGAGACCCCCATATGGCCTTGTCATCCAAGTTGCAAAGTATGATCTTCTCGAGGCGACCGTAGCTTATGACATTGACGACACGATTTCCTGTGTCATTATATTGGATCTCATACTATAGATGGTAAGTTTATGAACAAACAATGACACTAGACTTACCCGCACGAAGGTGTTATCTCTGTAGGATTGTGTCAGTCGACGAATTGCAAAGACAGTGCGAATCGTGTCCCCTCGGTAGCAAATGCGTGCTTTTCCACATAGTGGCATCAGTACGGGCAGTTGGGCTTGAATTTGATCTTGCCGTCTACCAAGGATCTGGTGGAAGTATGTAGCGATGACACCCAACAAGTTATCGTCTCTAGGCCTGTACTTATAGTTGATAGGTGCGCAAATGATGAATTCAGGGTCTGATGGCCAACATCATTAGTCTGTCCACCATGTCATCAGTTTATCATGGACAGATGAGCACGTACATGTATCAAAAACCCTTTCACCCCGTCGCAGTTCACCATCTTGTAGACGCCGAGATGTCACACGAAAATCTTCGCCAAGATCATATTTTACTGTCACTTGGGTCAGATAGGCCATATACAACACCCGCCGACTGATATTACTCCAAGGAAATCGGCGCGAATGCAGGTGAGCCTGGAGGAAGCCACAGTAGCGCTCCATGTAAAATGTCCAGCTCGTCCATACTGGTCCACAGTAGCGTATCCCACTTGCAATGTGAAGTAGACCATGGATGGGGAGGGTGCATGTTGACAATCGATCCTCTGCATATTGGTAGTAGTAGCTGAACCAGAGAGGTATCAACAATAGCATATTTCAAAGGGAGATGGCGTCCACTCACTCTTCGTATGTTTTGACCCATTTGATTAGTCCCTCGTCAAGTGCGTCAATCTCACCATGAGTAAGCTGGAATTGCAGCATTTTCTTCATCATCCCTGCGAGTTCACACATATGGTCATAGTACTTTGCATCTTCAAATCGATCCTTGAGTATGACGGGGGCCAGGTACATGAACCAAAATCCCCATGCTTCGGCTGTAAAATTTGAGCGATCATGAGCAATATTGCCAAGGGCCCGTACAAAGGCTGCAGGGATGTCCTTGACAGCACCCGCTGTCTCAGCTCCAATTTCTTCCCAAACATCATCCGAGATCTCGTAGTTCTCAAAACCAGAATCGAGGCCTTTAAAACGACCAGTCCACAGATTTACGAGGGTAGGCACGACATTCTCCAGAAACAAATGCATCCATTCATATGGAAATGACTTTGAATAGTCCAATGATTCCACACGTCGTAGTGCAGGAGGACCGCGAATACCAGTTTGCTTGGCAATGACAGCTTTCTCTGTTCGTGTTGTGGCTGACCATAGTTTGTCATGTGCGTCGAGGTAGCTCTGGTGCGAGCGAAGAGGCAGATGGTGAGGGTCAAGAGATGGTCGAGGCTGGTGGTCGAGGTCTGGGGTGCTAAGAGGAGTGTAGTACACTTTGCCGCGGCCAGTGATATTCCGTACTCCTTGTATCTCACATGAACGGCATGGATAGACCGCATTGTGACCCTTGATGTTTAATAGCTTTTCGATAGCAACAATATCACCGTCCTCGAAGATGACATATGCATGGAGATCAAAATGATTTCGGGTGGATCCATCAAGTGTTCGCACTCCATCAGCGAGAACAGCACACTCGTCATCGAAGGGAGCAAGGAAAGACTCAATATCTTTTGGTTGATGGGGACCTGGAATGACTCCGACGCAGATGAGATTCTCTAAGCGAGTTCGGACCTGTGGAGGGAGGTTGAAATTTTGTAGAAGGATGGGAGTAGCAGATGGGCCCCCACGACGTCTCTTGAAGAGGAGATAGCTGTCAGCAGATAGTGCAAGCGCTATGTCATGTGGCTCATGAAAGTATTTGTGTCGTCGCTTGACACCATCTACAACAACATGACGGGAGCGAAGTTTGCGGTACCACTCGCCATCGAACACATCCCTGATAAGCCTATCACTCTGTGCAAAGTTGTGGCGATAAGTCAATTGTTCGATCATGGTGGGATTATGGAAGAGAGCTTGAAGTCGAGGAATTAGAGGAATGTACATGAATGTGCGTCGAGGATGGCCATGTTTGGTATATCGGGCTTCATCGCAAAATGGGCATCTTTCATCGTGAACATATTGTCCTGTATAAGCGATGCAAGATTGTATGCAGCAGTGTATGTTCTGGGGTTCGATTCCAGACAGCAGCGCTAAGCGATGAACTATGACCCATTCCGAATCCAATGTCATTTTGTGTCGAAAAGCATAGCGCATTCTATCATAGGCATGGCGAGGTATGTTCGCAAGCATTTTCAGCTGAAAAGCTCGGATGTTGTCTCGGTCCTCTTCTGTGATCACATCATTACCTGCATCAAACATTGAGTATGGGGTCAGACCGTCAATTGAATAGAAAAACACTAACGGATGCCATAGAAATCACCATCAGCATTTGGGTCTGCCCAAGCATTGAGCTGCTCTGCAATATCCTCGAGTGAAAGGTGCAGATACTCGTCATCATCTGCTTCCTCATCGAAGATGAAGTTGTCTGGAATATCGATTGGTGTTTCTGAGTCTGAGGCGTATGAGTGATCGGATGATTCATCACAGTCAATGTCACTATGAGCACCGTGGCTGCAGCCGTCATTGATGCTCATGACATCCTCTGATGACCCAGTGTGGAAGGACCTGCCAGTTGAACTATTGCAATTCACAATTAGAATCTTCGTTACAGCAGGCCAAACTCACCCGTCATTGGAGCTGCCACTCTCTTGCTCCATATATTGGCCTGAATCCTCTTCCTGGTCTGAATCTTGCATACATTCCAGCTCATTGTTGATGAATTTTCGGTAGTGCTTATTCCGCGCAGACTTTGATAGCCATTTACCACACGATGGTTTGCACCTGCACGTTCCATAATCATCAGCAGACGAAGGATTTCTGATCGATTGTGACATGGCTGGTCGAAGGTACGATGTCGATTGATCAAGTCTCAGAAGCACTCGTCAGAAATTTTGCTGAAGATGGCAATCGCGAGACAGAATCAACAATTCATTTAGCTTAAAAAATTAGTGTGTTCGTCATTGATTTTTTCATGCTCAATGCCTAAGTCACTGATCTTAAAGTGATCAATGCTAAAATCAATGGAATTTTCAAACATTTTATTCTCACTAAAAAAGACCTGACTGCCATTCCAGTGACAGACCCGCTGAAAAATTCCGTGATCAGTGATGAACACATGTAAATTAATTGATTCTACTACCCACGGTGCGGCTCGCTTTCCCTCGTTGCTGCATCCCCCTCGACAGTCAGCTTTAACAATGTCAAGTTAGTCACATCTCCACTCTCTGAAGTCAGAGACCCACATCAGACTCCTTCACAAACTGACTTCATAACGCACAGCACTGGCACCTGCGTTCCTGGATTTGCTCTTCGGGAACGCAGAACGTGCGGAGAAAGTTCTGGACGAGACCGCGCCGTTTGCAGGTTATGCGTGGAAGACTTAGAGAGGGATCGTGAGGCCTTCTATGTTGGTGTATTTGCGAGCCGCTTCGATTGGATATGTGAGGATGCTCAACCCGCATTGGTGACAGAGTGGACCCCTATACCAACTAGAGAGCGAAGGTAAAGAACGTCAGTAAGCCATCAAGTCTGACCAGACACCATGCTTTGATATGGTACGTGAAGCTTGTTACAAAACATGACATATCCATACATACAATATTAACGCGAAATGTCCGCTGGAATACTAACAGTACAGGAGACAGAAAAAAAGGTATGTAGCCAATTCGTTGAATAAGATGGGAGGGATGATGCTTCCTAGTACAGAGTCGGCTCTTCTGCATCAGGCACGAAGCGAAGTCGCGCAAGGAGTATGGTATCCCAGGTCTTGCGGGATCGTGACACCTTACTCGTAAAGTTGGCCTCCGCGGGGAAGTAATCCTGACCATCATACTTGACTGTGAAAGTGCCCCACGGATGATTCGCTTTGTGAGAAGAGAAAACATTGAAGTATGCTACCCCTGACGAAATGGGATCGGCGACAAAGAGAGCGTAGTCACGCGCATTTACAGTGTTCGTTACTGCGAAACAACGTCACTAAGACTAAGCTAAGAAGGTAGAGATTGAACACGTACCAAGGAAGACGTCCTCTTTCTGGATAGGGTGATTTGGTGCGTATTCTTGTAGGACCGTGTGGATATTTTCTTTAAACCACTGCCTGGCTGCAGTTAGACTGCCATCGGAGAAGTCCCGGCGCTCGAACGACTCGGCGTATACCGCAGCTGTCTTCTTACCAGCTTGCAGGGGAAATTCTTGCCTGCGAGATACGTCCCCCCTGCAGATGTTTCAGCAAAACATACAGCCACAAGTAAGTACCACGTACTCGCGACGGTTGGCACCAAATTTCAATCTGTTCAGAAAACCATTTTGAACACGACGTGTCTTCTCGATGTTGATGGTACCGTAATCCCGCAAGGAACGCATGCATTTTGCCACGTCACCCTCGGCCTTTTTCTTTCCTCCAAGTTCAATGACGTTACAGAGGGTTATGAACTCCCCGTCAGGTTTGGACACATACCCCACAGCACCCACCTCGACAGGTGAGGGATACCAAAGAGGCGTCGTGACTAAACAATGAGTATCAGCACATAATATGAATGAACTGTGACATACACCATTTTTCATACTCATGGGTGTCCCTGGCCAAAATCCTGTACCGCCGCTCATTCTGCATGGCCCGTGCCCACGTATTCGTAGATAGCTCAGGAAGGAGATCGTCCGTGGTGTGATCGGTGGTGGTGCCGACCTCACAGACAGCGTTCGGATCCACGAAACCCGAAGTCTCGGTTGACATAGACGACTCTGGAATGTCCTGCAAGTCAGAATCAGGCTCTGAATATCCGAACTCAGACCCAAATCCAGACGACGTGCTGAAATAATCAGACATCGATGGAGTGTGTGGTAGCCAAGAATAGCGGTCAGAAGTCGGTGTACCAAAAAATCGAAGGCCAGGCGAGGGACGGTCTGAGTAGCCAACGACTGGCGAGTTAGCGGGACCATTTGGCGTGCAAGGGGTTGGTAAGCCGTCTGCACCATAGGGATATACAAAATTCCGACAGCCTCGAAGCCAAAACACCGTCATGGGAAATGGCGAACGATAACGAGGGTTACGCGCCCAGCAGCAGCTGATGATTGGGAGAACAATATCGGCCAGAGGGGTATCAGACACCTCTGGGCGACCATCTCGTTCTGGAGACACATCAGCAATTTTAAAAGTTGAACAAGACGCCTTGAACGTACCGAGTACAATCCTCTTGACGTCTTCGTCGTCTCGAGTGCCATAAGGAATGCCGCCCATATTGAGGATCTCCACGCAGCAGATGGCATAAGCGTAGACATCCGCTTGCATTGTCGGACTTGCCGCACCGTCCAAAAGCTCTGGCGCTTTCCACCTCGGCGTCCCCTCTGTTCGATCAGGTGGTCAGAACCAGGGTATGACTTCAAAAACCAACATACTTGGTCGTTGACACCCGCTAAGCCTGTAGGCATCGTCCTTGAGTTCGCTCTGACCGAAGTCAGCAATGGCGCAGTTTCCTTCCTTATTCACGAAAACGTTCGCGCACTGTTCCATGACATACATGAGCAAAGCACTGGAAATTGTATGACTAACGAACCTTCAAATCACCATGCACTACCTTTTGGGAGTGCAGATATTCCATCCCGCCAGCGATCTGAGAGATGAAACGGAACTGGTCTGCATGGCGTGGCATGGCGTGATCATCACGCGCTGTGGTCAGCAACCATTCCACGAGGCTTCCGCGTTCGTAGAGCTCGCTCACGATGAACCATGGCTTGGATCCATGAGCGCTGCTTGCCCCGAACATATGAACGACCTGAGGGTGCCTAAGCCTGCGCCAGAGCTCGACCTCTCGACGAAACGTCGAAGCTGGAGTGAAGTCGTGGAGAACCTTGATGGCGACCACTCTATCGCGCCAGGATCCAGCGTAAACTCTAGAGAATGACCCTTGACCGATCATCTCGAACCGATCGACCTCGTATCTGAACCATATTATCAGTATGGGAGCACGACATAATATTGAGAAGGGACTCACCGCGTGATCGTCCATGAAGGAAGTTCCCATGGTGAAAGAGAATTGTCAGTGCCTGCGCCTCGCACCTGCATACAGCGCAGCTTCGACATAGAGGCGATACTGGCATCCAAAAGCTCCATCTCAGCGAGAGTACTGTCGCTGGCAGCAGCGGTTGAACGCGAGAATTCATGGCGCAGGGACTCCAACTGTCGCCGCATGGCCTTCATTATCTCAGCGACTTCGTTCCGTTCGATTTCCAAACCATTGAGGACGTCCGCATCGCACTGCGCAGTGTTGATAAAGCCAGGAAGATGTTCTAGTTGGAACTGGTCGAGTCGAAGATCCTTATCTGGATTTTCTTCAGGGAAGATAGGGTTTAATTCGCGACGAACATCGCCCTCAGTGGTCGTCAGACACTCTGGTATGGATGGGACGGTCTCTGCAAGTCGATCATTCGGTTCTGCCGACGTCTCTGTGTCGCAGTTGGCACATAGCGTCGAGGTATTGTCCGAAAGAACCGCTGTCACCAGGTCTTCGATCTTCCCGTCAAGACATACGACATTCTTAACAATCCTCACAGACATCGTTGCCTGCGCCGCAAGCTGTCGTTTCAGATGGTGAACGTGTGATAAAAAAAATAAACATACATTCAATCTTAGCCAAGCATCCATCAAAGCCTGATCGCAATTGCAAAGTTCTTTGGCGATTTCGGCTCTCCTGATAAAGCGTTTTAGCATTGGCCGGCGGCTGATTCGGCAGAGAAACCCCTCGATCTACGATTTACGTTGGCGTCAGAGCTATAACGGAGGCATACAGACAGCAAAAACATACCTGGAAGATGACTTCTCTAAAAACATGGAAGGCCGCGTCGAGTTCTTTGCCAACGATGGGACCGACCCCTTCGATCTGCTCACGCATAAAGTACAACATTCCTGCGCAGCGTTCGACAATGCGAAGACAAGAAAGTCGATTAGACTTCAGAACGACGTTACAGGGAAAGAAGTATGTAATGTCAGCAACGATGGAAATGCATAGCCGTGGAGCAACCCACCGAAAGCTGCTCGCACGCCTCCCAGATAATTAGGAGGGTTCGCGACGCCTCCAGGAAAAACGGTACAGGAACTAGACCGGCCAGATCGTATGTAGACTCCAGGATGGTCTTCAAAACAGGGAGCGCTTCATCAATAATTGTCCCCAATGTCGAGACAACGCCTACAAGTGATCAAATTAACTTCCGTTCACATTAGCGAAGATAGGGCACCTACAGGACGCTGCAGGATTCATCTTTACATGTTCAGAAGTCAGCTCGTCTCGTGTCATTACTGAATGGCACGCCAGGATGACAGTCTGCGAAGCTCTGTAAGAGAAAGTACAAAATGAACAGGAACGGGCTCACACTCCGTGCTCTGTTGAAACCATCTCGCTCGGCATCAGTAAAATGAGAGAGTGCCTTCAATTTCTCGTCCCTCTCCTTATCGCTGTCTTTTCCTTGCCATCGAAAGGGAGCAAACATACTATTTTTCAACATTGCCTCTCTCTCAGCTTCCGCAATTCCAACACACAATGGCCTGATCGTCAGCTCTCTGGGTTCTCCATCGGAAGTCCCGTCGCTAGTAGGGAGATGCAGCTTCGTGGGCCGGACCGGATTTAGCCTTTCGTCGACTCTGGGCTCGTCTTGATACACGAATTCTCCGGGGGTCCACCACTCGTCCGCATTCCATGGAACTGTCAAATTCCACCAGCGCCTTGGCGGGCGTCCTGGAGGTGTGACGTCACCCTTGATATGAGCAGCCAAATCTACTTCGTCGCAGTCGCGATCGGCGAACGAACTACTCTCCTGGAATGGCACATAGCGCGGAGGGGTAGATGGGACGGGGGGAGACTGGTTGTGCATTGACATCGCGGGAGAGAAAAATATTGAAGATTGAGAACGAGGAGATGGCGAGTGAGAAAAGGAGTGCGAGTTTCTATGGTCTGGCGTCGAAGGACTGTGCACGACAGAGCTAGACCTCGAATGGGGGTAAGACCCGTCGCCTGGCGCAGGGAAATTGTATGATGATGAACGCTTGTGGCTTGGATGTGGCGGGGCCTCTATAATGGGAGAGGCCGCAAGTGACGGTGGCCGATACCCGGAGAACGAAGGTGACGACGACTGGTTGAAGGAACCAGAGGACGAGCGAGGTCGCACATAGGGAGTCGACCCAGCAGAGGAACTTCCAATGGACATCATCGATTGCTCAGCAACGCTCTGTCTAGGTGACGTCTGCAAGGTGGATACTCCGCTGATATTAAGGGTGCGAAGAGCAACCGCCGAATCAGGGATGGGGTAAAGTGGGAAGGCATTGAGACGCAATTGGCTGATAGACTGTCTGCGCGGGTATGAGGGAACGATCTCGCTGCCTGGGCTCTGCAGTGGAGCTTGCCGAGGACGAGGGGACGGATTAAACCGGGAGGAAATGGTCGGGGAGGAAGTGAGCGGGGAGGAAATAAAATCCGGCGGGGTGGAAGATGACAATGGCGTCGACGCCAGTGTGAGCCCTGGTGCCAAATCTCGCGGAGAGGTTCCAGGAGAGGACATGCTAAGGTAAAATCGAAAGTGGTCAACGAGATTGAATTGATGCAGTAGAGTAGGACGTTGGGAAGGGAGAAAAGTTGGCTGAAACTTAACGGGCGGGCGGGTGCTTGACTTTATAGTCCTCAGCAATGGAATTCCAAACTGCAAGTGCAATACTAGACTTGCCTTTATGGGTGCGATCGGCGATCGCTGGTATTGCAGTCCGTGGATATTCTACAAACGGGATAACCAGAATACGAGCTTTACCAGATTGCCTGCAGGAAGCTCCTTGAACCAAACCTACAGAACGATGGCCAAAGAACACCAGCAATGTATCGAGGGCCCTCATCCCTCCAATTCCCATCATAGCGCAGAATCATCCTGATAGGACCATTGAGCCCAGGAGACTCAAAAACAAAGTGTGACGGCGTTGGAGTATTCCACTAAATGAAAAGGCCGTGAAAATATTTCAATCCGCAGCCGGGACCACCAGACGACTGCTAACTGCATTCAATAATGGTCGGCGTTATGATCTAACGTTTAGCACTGATCTGGACATGTCAGATATAACTCGACATCCTGCGAGACGGACGGGTGAAGCCGATAGATCCATACTGATCTAGTACTGTGCTATCAGGCGCGGAACGGTGACAGAGGCGTTCGAAGAATAAGTTCGTAAGCAGAAGCTTTAGATTCCAAGAATGAAACATTACGTTGGGTACAGGTACTAGATAGGCGGCTGCACCTGGATGCACTCGGATGCATACCCCTCAGATGTATGGCTTGATGCAGAGGAGGTAGAATCTTGATTGGCACCTAGTCGACTCTAGTCGACGCGACCTTTGCAGCAAAAATGGCGTGTCTGAATGTGGCGTCGGACAAACTTGGACAAATAGCTCCCCATGTTTGAATTTTGCAACTGCCGCCACTGGCACTTACTGCCTGCGATGTAGTCTTCTCAATGGGCAGCCGCCGTGTGCGCACATCTCGTCTGATACCGAAATCTAAACTCTGCATCATGAACGGCGCATGCAGCATCTGGGGCCATACCGACCCTTGTACGAACGGGTGGATCATAACTACGTCTTCTTCGGTATCCGCTGGGGATTGTGAGATGATTCCAACAATTAACATGTATCGCGACCTGGCCGCATCTTATTCTCAAACTGTTCATGCGCTATGACATTCCACCGTAAATTCGGGTCAACCCTCTAATTACCTCGAACCAGTCTTCCTACTCAAGATGTCGTCCGGTCATTTCTGATTCATCCAATATTCCTAAAACTCTATGCTTTCGATGTCTCCCTCAGGCCGCTTATGTACTGTAAATTTATCAATGGTACGACCCCGGAGCCATTGCGATATTTCGTTACCAGAGGGGTATATAACGCATGCTCGTTAACGTTGTCGCTCAATCGAAATTTTCACGCTCTCTCACGGCTGTTCGAGATTAGATGCGCATCTCACCTTCAAGTGAACCACAAAATGAAGCCTGAAGCAGGGTTCCTGTCTCTTTGCTGAAGAACTACATTCTGGGCTTCCTTTCTAACCGATAATTCTTCGACGTGCACCCGTGGGTCGCAAATGATGTTACTCTTGCAGGCATGTAAGGCCCTTCACCAGGCGTACATGTCCTCCTCTGACTTCAGTACATCATTGAACTCAGTGGCCAACGGTTGCTCCGTGTCCCCAACACGGACAATGACACCCGTTTCCGAGCGCCTACAGCTCTGGAGACAAGACAGAGTTCACGCATGGTTCAAGGTTGACATCCACTCTTTCAAACCGGCCCCCATACCAAGCGAACCGCACTCCGGAACAAATGGTCGTTAATGGGCATCTCTACTTGTAAGTTGTGGGACGCAGAAGCATCCACGGCCATGATCATTTCAATTCTTTGAAACCCCTCACAACAAACAATCGAGCGCGATTGGTCTCCATGAACAAATATTGTGTTCAGCTCCTCTCCCAATCCCGGCTTTGAATATATTGAATGCCTGGGCTTTACGCAACTGAATAGTTCGGATGCATGATCGGAGCCGCCCTCGGATGTTATGCTGACGTAATTAAAGTTGGCCCCTGTGGCGTTAGCCGCACATACCGAATCTCCTAAACAAGGTGCGGATCAACGATCGACTTAGACGGACTCATCCGCGTTTACTTCCGAATCGCAGCGTATAAAAAGGAGACTTGCTCTAATGTTGTCCCCACCTACACCAGAAATCCTTTTCAGTTGTTGTCACCATCAACTCAATCTCTTAACTTCACATCCTTGATCTTGTAACCATGAGCCAATTCAACCAAGACACCATGATTCTATTAGACTTCCCTGTCGAAATCTTGTTAAAGATTCTTGGTCATCTAGATGTGTGCGAACTCGTACGGGCTCGTCAAGTAAGCACAGAATTTTATGTGTATGAGTTATTAACTCAGCCCTTCCAGATATGCAACGACGTTCGACAAGCGATCGACTCTTCGTCGGAACTGCTGTATTTGATTGATCTGGAGTATTTTAACGCGATTCCGGTCACTTTGCCTGGATCTGTCGATACCGGCGTCCCAGCACTTCGCCAGTCGCTTCGACAAAGCGAATCTGCGTGGCAGAATGCGCAATACTCATCAAACGTCCCTGAACCGATTCCGTATCCTCCGAATATGCATCGATGGTCGTCCGGCGTTCTTGGATTCCCAGTCGAACAACTCCAGCAAATAAAGTTTTTCCAGCCTCAACCGGCAGTTGACCACTCCATTGTCCCAACCTTGCGTCAGTGGCACTGTTCAGTCGACAGCGCAGTCAGCCATTTTAATTTCTCGCCGGCGCAAGACCTCGTGGTTCTTCTTGCCCAAGCACCCCCAGGGTCAGTGGTTCTTTAAGTTGCATCTCAGTCAAGCTATATTAACGAATATCAAGTGCGAATCACGCGTTTGACGTCAGTTTCAGGTCGCTCTCAGAGGATGGCGTTCATCCGGACGCTGCGTCACCTGTGGTCAAAGCACTTGACAATGAGATTGATATGAACTTGTTCAACCCCTATACTCCAAAATCCTCGATTTTCGGGGACTATTATGCTGTGTTGTTCAGGGGTGTCGCCAAAGCAAATGGTGGAGTAGCCGACTTTCTCCAAATCTGGAACTGGAAGACGAGGGATGCTTTTCAGGTTAGTGGATCTTTTGACTGCGTTATGGTGTCTTCTGAATACACTCGTAGTGCATCGAAGCTTTCAATCCAGCTTGCGAAACGATGGGCTTTAGCTTCCTAACGGACGACAAGCTTCTCGTCGCCAACGCCAGGGAACTATCTTTATATTCCCTCGTCCATGCATCCAATGCTATCCAACTCACCGCGAAATTCTCCCTTCCTCCCTTGCGGCGTTCATTTGAATACACATGCGTCAGCTTCGCCCCCATTCCTTTCCCCGCCCACGCACACAATCAAATCATCGCTTTCAGCATGGACATCTCAGGGGGGCACCTCGCCACCAAGCCTTGCTTCACATTCTTCATCGAGCGTGACGCCCTCTTGGAACTCGAATCGACCTATACGAGTCACCATGGAAAAGCAAGTAATCGCTCTCCTAGTCTGCCTTGGTCCAGCTGGGGTCCAACTCACACCAGGTCCTTCGAGGAGCGTTCGTACGACCCTTGCAAACACTCAGTGTTTGGCTTCCGGTCCGTATCTTTTGTCGGCGACAGGAAGTCGGAGCAGCAGCCGCGGCCACTATGCATTCGAGATTTCAACCCCCATCGAGTCGCAGATTTCAAGGCTGGGAACGGATCGAGACTCAATCAACGACTTATCGAAGGCGAGTCATCAACCTCGAATCTGTTCTCCCAGCCTCTTGGATCTGGTCTTCCGTATATCGAGACGATCACCGAGGAGAAGTTCGTTGCAACTGACATGACTATGGAAGCAAACAGGATCACGATGCTATTCTTCCAAGTCAGGCGCACGCTTACATTTGTGCACGTAGGTCCAGGGGGCACTGTTGAGGATCGTGAAGTTCTACCGGGCTTTGAAGTACTTGATTTCGAGTAGATATTTATCTCGAGCTTCATGTCATTTGAACATCTCAATCTATATTTCATTGACTATTCATTCTTTGAATGACGTTGCAAATGATTGTCTCAGCCTGCTTTGAAATTTCTCTCGATGCATGCGTGGGGGGCTAGTGATGCAACAAGATATCCAACAACCAGTAAGTAACTGATACTACACTCTGATCTAGACGTCAATGATTTCAAGCCTGCTAGACCACTCTGTAGAATCTTGCACTTCGGTTTCCTATTTACGGTCTGGATAAGAGGTGAACATCCGAGTGGTTATATTGATACAGCCGATACTCAGTGCATGGTAAATCGGATCGACGAGCCCAGAAACATGAAACACATAGCTTCAGCGTCTTATATATCGCAGACGGGGATGAGGAAGCGTGTGGTATGAAAAAAGACAGTTCTGAACATAGCAGAAAGGCGTATAATTTGGTAAAGGCACGCGAGAAATCATCATAGGGGACGAGAAAATCGTAGATTAATGACGACCATCCGTGTATTCAGGAGACAGATAACCAATGAAAAACCAGAAGCGAGCCCAGAGTCCAGTGTGTCTTACCGTTGCATGAGGGCGCAAGGTTGTTGACGTTGAAGCTGCCGCAGTATTACTGACAGCAGGTGTGGTAGGCAAATTGGAGACAGGTGCCTGTAGTTGCGAAGATGGCTGGGTCTTAGTCGCACCACTGAATTGCTGCATGAACATTGGGCTTGAGAGGCTGTGAGCTTCCCATAGCGGTGTGTGATTTCGTTTTCCGTTTCACTCTCGCTGACGCATTCCTCTGCCCAATGTCAGGTCGAGTGGAACATCTGGGAAGGAGAGGAAACATACACGTTTTCTCTTAACCTTAACAACTGCTGGGCTGCGCCCGTGCAACTCTATGCCTTCACCGCTTTGTCTGCGCCGTTGTAAAAGGTTTTGAGCCCAGTCGAGAGGAGAGAACGATGATGTTTCATGGGGATCGGAGGGGCTGTGGTGGAATATGCGGCTAAGAAGTGTGCTTCCTTGCGGTGCTGAGGAGAAGCGGAAGCGGCTTCGTGTAAAGAACTAAACATACCAGGTCAGGAAAAAACATCAAAGTGAAAGTAATGACATACGTGAGAACGTTCTTGTGGGTCATCGAAAAAAACTTGAGATACCCGATGGGCAGACTTTTGATCCAATAGAAGTTCGTCTAGGCCAGCATCACTAACAATAGTGGCAACATCCCATGAGTATGCGCTGTTGTCCCCGGAGCCAGTGGCTAGTAGTTTTCCATCCGCGGAAAACGATACGCAGGCAACTATATCTGCATGCTGGAGTGGAGAACTGATGGGCTGGCCGTTGTCGAGGTTCCACAATCGCGCTGTCTTGTCGTGGGATGCACTTGCGAGGATGCAGCCATTCGGAGATATTGCAATGGCATGGACAGTAGAAGTGTGCGCATCCAGTACTGCGGTCTGGTTCCATGTTTTTGTATCCCATATCCGAATCGAGCAATCGAAAGACCCGGAGATGAGCGTTTTTCCGTTCGTGGTCCAAGCCAGACACCGCACCGAATCTGTATGTCCTTTGAGAGTTGCGACAAGCTCGCCAATCTCAGTGGCATCCCAGATTTTAATTGAGCACTCGGTATGATCTTCAGTCCTGGGCCCATCATATCCACCAGTCGCAATCATGGTCGTGTCTGGCGAATAGATGGCTGCGTACAGGAGTACATGCCCTGTCTTGATTAGCCCGGGTGCCAGGATTGTCTCTCCGTTCTCCACATTCCACTGCCTCGCTGTCCCATCATAAGATCCACTCACTGCTCGCTGACCATCTCGACTCCAACAAACGCATCTCACTACCTGTGTGTGCCCCGTCCATTTCGCGATCACCTCGCCTGTGTCGATGTCCCACAACCTCACGTCACGGTCCCTACTCCCGCTAACCACTTTCTTCCCATCTGGAGATAACGCTATACTGGTCACACCAACGCCGTCCTGCCAGTCTTCTCCTATCTGTTTCCCGCTCTCCAAGTTCCATGCCCGCAGCGAGCCATCATCCGAACAAGTAATGATCCGCTGTCCGTCAAGCAGGTGTATGACGCCCCAAACTAAATCGGTGTGCCCTTCAAATTTCTGGCGAGGCATTATTGTTTCTTTCATCTTCGCGGTGGGTGAAGACATACTTCAGAATGTCGACTACCGAATGTAGCACCGTCTCAGCTTTCACCCATCAAATTCCAAATTCATCACTTACCGAGGATAACAGCGACCGGTGGATAGTAGGGAACAATGGGCGTTTTAGTCAAGTCAGAGTTGAGTTCACCGCTTCCTGATACGTTTTACATGCCTTATCCTGGTGTGCACAGCTTATATACAGCATAGGCTGCGCAGCTAAAGCGCCCAAGCCTCGTTTGTGAGTGCCCGCCGGGTTATATCCCACGAAGTTTCGGTCCATGATTAACTAGCTCTCGACAACTAGATAAGATCTGGGCTGTTCGCTGCTACGCATCCTCGTGCAACCTCGTGTCTGCTGCTGTTCTACGGGAAGATGGGCGAGCATTCCGGTGAGTCGCGACATTCCCTTCCTGGTCAGACATTTATATGGGAGCTATTAGCATTCGGCACCCAACCCGAATAACAGAACTTGATGGCGATCTTGCACTTCGGGTGGGATGAGAACTGAAACGGTTTTTTGGATGTCGGAGATTGAGTTGACTTTGTGTGCTTTTTCGTCTCCAGCTCTCTGAGACGCGTGATCAGTTTTTTTTTGACCAGGTTTAGTGCTATGACGCGAAGATGTTTCGGAGGGTATAAAACTGTACGTGAATCCGAACCCACAAAAGCGCATGTGTGGGACTGTAGCATTGAACAGTTTGAACAGATTCTGACTCGGAATCACTGAGCAATTCTTATTCCTGTCCGGTCCGGGTGGTTGTTGTAACCCCTTTCTTTCATTTTCAACCTTCTGCAACGCCAAACCCTTCTTTTCGACTAGCTATGTCCTAGACTTGGAATACGAGATCGTATATCCCCAGCGCACATCAGCAGATCGCGTTACCCGGGAACGATCGCTGTCTATCTCGTTCAAGCCGAATGAGATTCAATTCGTGTTACCGGCTTCAGGTGTGAAACTGTACGTTGTGGGTCTGGCGAGAAGTAAATATGAAAGGCTGGAGGTCACCCATTGTAGCGCAGATAAAGATTTGGCGCACGAAGGAAGCACATGATAAGTATTCAAGCTCATGCCCCTCCTTCAGCATGGCAGATACGTCAAGGAGTCCTTTTCTTGGCGACCAGTCGCGCTCGATTATTTGTGATGAGGGCTTCGGTGGTATTGTAATGATCATGGCCGTGCCATCAAGTCGGTCCCACGAGCAAGGATGACCTTTGGTGACGGACTTATGCGCACCGTACAGCTCCTCTGGTATAGAAACGGTTTTGGAAGAGTGGAAGTCACCCTTGAACCACGTGAGAACGATCCAGTGGTCGGTGCTGAAAAGGGCACAAGGGCAATAGTCGGCTCTGACAATGAGAGAACCCAGGACTTAGCGGGCTTAATCGTCGTTTCTGCAGGACATTGAAAATGGGGAAGAGTCTGAAGAGAATTTGCTCCCCACGCATTAAATAATCTACAACCAAGTGCATCTGTGGACACCGTCTGATCGCGATCTTAAATATTTAACGTAGCAGTCGAACCAAGGTACTCAAGGTGATACAAAATGTCATAAGTATGGCCACCTTTATAAATTTAAATATAAAATAAGCAACTGTCTTCGTGCGTACATCGCATGCTGAGATGGCTGACGTAGGATGATAAATAGGATTTTTACAACGCCTGTCCTTGCATTTGCACACCACTTCACGGAATGATTGCGACAATCTTCCGCCACAGCGCCAGCCCCTCGCATTGAAGATAATCTTTTAGCCCTAACCCCGGCGACGTAGGTGCTTTCCACATAATAATGAATGCTGGGGCGGCGATGATCGCCGCAAAACATCCTATTGCCAAAATGTTTAGGATGAACTTGAGGCTCGTCGGGAGATCATGTAGATCTGGTCCCAACCATATGAAGAGTAGAAGCACAGCCTCCATGATACTAGTGATCGGTATCTCCAAGAGGGACAACAAAATGGTGACAACACGGTTGTGACCAGTAGCCTCTACGTAAGCGGACCCGTAAAGAACCCAGGGTAAGACACCGAGAATGAGGAGGCTGATGCCCGTGATGGTATTGAAAGCCACTCCAATGAAGTTTCTCCATCTGTTCTCACTACTCCGGATTTTAGGATTGGCCGTAATTGCCAACGTACTGGTGCCGATGGCGAAAGCCTGAACCACCTTCAGCTCTGGCGACGCACTGTGGAAGTTGTCTGCGAGCCATAATATCTGTGATATCGGGGAATAGATGGCTGAATAAATCCAACCAATCCAACCAATCCAGCCCAATTCACCGACTTCGTCTTCATCGTCATCATCATCGTCATCCCAATCTTCATCGCAGCAATGCAGAAGAAACACAAATCCTCTAGCGATGACGTATAGCCCCAAGGACCAGGTCAAGTAGGCAGAATAGATGACAACGCCATAGCCGCCAGTCAGGCCGCCTATCGCAGATCCGACAAATGCTGACAGAACAGCGCGGACTACATGGGCATGAGGTGATATCTGGCAAGTGGCATTGGTAGTAGTCTCGAGGTCCATAATGCGGTCCTAAGAGTTTGGGTTGCCTAGGAATAAGGAGCAATACTGAGGAATGCAGGAGCCCCGACTGTTTAAGTATGTACGAGTCGCATTGCCACACCAGGGATAGTGAACCGCCGCTGGAACCTAGTGTGACAAAATCTCGAACATTACATCCCAGTCAAGACCGACAATTATCTGTGCTTACGTTAATACTGGCTGGGTGCGGCATCGCCTGAAGTCTTGGCTTGACTTAGGGTTGTGATTGCTGTAATCTGAGGTAAAATAACACTGCTTTTCCTGCGACAAAGGTATAGTCACGGGCGCGGGTGCGCATCCTTGATTTTGTCCTCCCATCCCGTATCTTCGTTTTAACGCAGGACGCAAGGTCCCAGATATGGTCAAGAATTCAGGACCTCTGCGCCAGTCACTAGCACATACTGCAGGTCGCGTAGCACCAATGGCAGTGACATTAGCGATGTGCCGGACCTCGAAACCTTGGCGGGGCCTGATAAATACTCGAACCAAGACCATGATGCTGAAATCGTATCCATCCACAAAGCAACCTCTCAGCGCTCAGCTCGTGCCAAACCACCGGCAACTACATCAACGGAAAATAACGTTCAGGCGGGAGCGATAACATTGCAGAACCATTCAATTAGTACGGCATCGTCGTGGGCATCGGCCAAGGAGCTATCGACGCATGATGCGTAGACTCCGGAAGAGAACCTGATCTCAGTGGGATGAACCAACAACCTTGATAAGACGCGACAATTCAGTGGAGTTACGGCGTCTTTAGAGAGCGGGAGCGACACAACGGTTATGTGTATTTCGATTTCCACGAGAACGATCCAGTGGTCGGAGCTGACAAGGGCAAAAACGCGATAATCGGCTCTGATAACCAAGGAGAACCCAGAAGACTTGCCTATGTATTGATATTCCATGCATATTCCATTTTCGATGGGAAGTGAACATGAAGCTGCCCCCTACTGCGATATGAAGTCTTGGCTGAATACACTTGGTACTGAGGCCATCGTGACAATTTGATGTATTGTCGCTACTCGTTGTCTGAAAACACCCCCAATTGACACTCGGCGTCCAGACCAGTGCCAGTGGCAAGCGTGCGACGTATGCCAGGCGCCAGGAGACAGTGATGGCAAAGTGGCCAACACTGATTGCGCTGTTGATTGATCGTGTACCAATGATGCCCTGGGGACATCCTCGCCTTGAGCAAGATTGAACAAGGATTGGAACCTTCCGAGTCATTGACCAAAGACTTGGTGATGGTGATCGATATCGATGATCAGCGAACAGTGTTCAACGTTCAACGTTGAACGTTGAACCGAAGAGCAATGGCTCGGAGGCCCCCGCACATGGGCCGCTGTTCGGGCAGGCTGGCAAAGTTTGTTGAGCGCAAAAAGATCCAGTAAGCTCATTGAAAATAGGTAAGATCCCGAGAGTCAAGAGAGAATTTGACTCACATCAGACACTAAGACTGTGTGTTCTGCCTGTGCTGAACATGCAGTTTTAATGTTTGAGGAGCAAAACAGTCAAAGGTTATCATCTAACCCAAGACAACCAAAGACAAAATTATATGCGTCAGCCGGGAGTCGAACCCGGTGCTAGGCCATGGGAAGACCCAATGTTACCGGTACACCACTAACGCTTGATAACAGTCTTCGCACGGCACATGTAAATAAGATCTTGGGCCTGAGTAATTCTCGAGAAGTTTAACCATTCCTTTTGAAAATCGACAGATCACCATCTCGTCGTTCAACGTTCAACTCCTGGACCTACTAGTAAATGGATGTACGTGTTATGTTCCGGCAAGATTAGAAGATATCCAAAAAATGTGGGTTTGTATCAGATAAGGAGCGGTATAGGTGGAGAAAGGTCATGAATAAATTCGACAGCGCCAGGTTTCTTGCTGAGCCCAACATGGCCTTTCTCAGATCCAGCGTCCGAGCCTGTCATTGATCGCGTATCTACAGATGAATTATCGGTGTCGTCTTCAGCAGAATCGCTTGACTCGTCACCATCAGCGCCTCGCAGAGGGCTGCTTGTGGTGGCGCCAGCCTTTGGCCTCAGGATCGGAATAACATACTCCTCATCCTCCTCCGCGATGCTGTCAGTTCGAGTCATGAGACTCACAGAATGTCTGATATGACGTCCCGTATCCTTTTCAGAACCGGAGTCGCTGCTTGGGACGCTAACACCTAATCTTCGAGCCTGTTTCCGCTCGCGGATTCTGGCAAGACTTCGGCGTCGCTCCTCCATCCATTGTTCCTCGTCCACCTCAAGGACGATAGAGGACCGGCCAGCGGGATCAGATGAGACAACAGGTTTCGGCTTCTCGCTACGGAGATAAACGGTCACACCTGCAGCTGTAAGCACCCGAACGATAGGCGCGTGCGAGCTGCGAGTTCGCATACGGTGTGCATACGATGCTGTCATCCTATGACATGGATAAGTTCGCGTCAGCGGATTGTCTAGAAAGTAGACTCACCCGGGCCCCAGGACGAACTCGCCACCGAGCTGGGTAGCATCGCCGGCCTTCTCCCAGACGGGCATGCCGACACGGAGAGCATTTGCAATGACCATAGCAATACCTCCCGCGCGACCATGTCGGACGTAGCTACTTCGACGCTGTTCTGCTTTTGGCTCAACCGACTTCATAGTCATCCCCAGAATAGCATAGAGGCGAGAAGAAGGATCGGTATACACGGCGTAGGGCGTCCGGAAAATCTCTGAGGAGAATGAGCACAAGTTGAATGTAACGAGGAGCGGCATGCTTACGTCGGTAAGATTTGATCATATTGTACGAACCATTGCTGATGACAACAAGGTTTATTCCTGACTGCTTGAGAACTTGTGGATCTACAGTATTGGCGATGGAAAACATGTAGTCTTGGCACATAGGACACCTGGCATGACGCAATAAGTTTTAAGCGCCTTCAATATCGACTGGGAAAACTCACCAAAAGTGCCTGATAAATATAACGACCGTCTTCTGGTCCCGAAAGAGGTCGCCAAACGGCACCCTAATGCCATTTTCAGCCACGACAACACAAGACGCTGCGTCGATCAGCTGCCTTTTCGTTGGGAGGGCGTTCTCATCGAAGACATGTGCGAAGCTGGAAGGAGCCGTAGAGGGACGCGACGACTGCTTCTTGCGTGACGGCTGCTCAGCTAGATCAACAAGTCGCTGCTGGGCTTGCATCGTCTGAGGTCTAGGTTTCTTCGGGGTGAGAGGTGGCTCAGAGACGCCAGGAACGGAAACGGAAGGGGAATGTAAGGTAGAGCTACTGGGTTCAGACATGTACCCAGGCTCAGCACTTGTAGGAGAGTCATAAATAGACGTTCCTGTAGAGGGATAGGATACATCAATGGATTGCATGTTGGCAGCAACCAGCGCCGGAAATAGCATTGATGATTTGCGGCGTGGGCGAAACGTGTTCTCTTCTGGAACGTGTTTCTCCTTGGAAGGCCGCTCCGAAGGACCCCCGAGAGCAACGGACATTGTGGGGAACGACCGGTGATGGTGATGGTGTTTCGCGTTCCCGGTCTCAGTTGAGAATTCAGCGAGACTGAGACCACTACGGCTTTTCCTGGGAAGGAATCGTGCAAGCTTTCCAACACGAGAACGTGAAGTGTTCATCGCCTCAGCTGAGAACGTTGACCCCCTACTAGGTTCGCTCATTAGAGACAGCACCGGGGCTGAATCATGGCGAGTTATTGGAATAGCAAGGGGGAGCAAGCTCTCGCTGCCATGGCCGATGTGCTGCATCCGAAAAGGCTGAGCAGAATACGCAGGAGAAGGGAATCTGGAAGAGCTGGCCAGCACATATGCCTGCAGATTTGTATGCCCGTACGGTGACGTCCCGGGCGACACGGAACACGTGCTAGACCGGTGTGCTTCTTTTCGCGAGACGGCTGATCGAGAGCGCCTGCGCTGGGGCGTCGGCAAAGTGCGAATGCTTGGCGAATCACATTGTGAAAATGGTGGCGGCCATCGTCCTGTCTCGGCAGCAGTGTCATGGAGCTTTTGTGAAATGTCAAAGCTGCTTCTAGTGCTGAATGTCGTAAAGAACTCCAGGTTTTTGTCAGGGGAGACGGGACTCGCTGGCGGCGTGGCTTGGTACGGATCAGGAGGGAACGGACTGCCGCCGGTATATGGTAGGGTTGGGAGTTGGGATGTCGAGTCACCAGTGAAGGTGAGGAGACCGAGTGTGCTGGCAGTTCTAGTGCGAAGTACTGAGAGGGGAGCGAATGGGTCGTCGGGGTCAGGAGAGGGATAGCGTGCATCTAGCACAATACTTGGCGCTGGCTTTCGCCGGACCATGGAACGAGGCTGGGGAACAGAACTAGATACATTAGTTGCTACAGGCATAATAGAACAAAGGCAAAAATATATTGTTAGTTGATGGTGATCGGCTCGAATGAGAGAGAGGGGGCCGGATGACACGACTGGCGAGCTCCAGCTGGAGGGGAAAGCGAAGAATGACAATTCTTTGAAAAGGGCATTTATGTGGTGATCAGCGTGTTTTCGATGAGGGCCTCAGGATCGGTAGCACAATGATCAGAAAACGGGGGTAAACACGTGTGGAGCGCATGTTGAGGGGACTCTAATTCTGAAGAAGGCCGCCGTCTGCGGCGCGTTAGCCTCACTTCCGTCGCTTGACAATACTTAGCACCTCCTTATCGCCCATGTCTGACTGCTCTTTGCTCTGTTTGCTCCGCCAACAGGTGAACAAAGGGCAATCTAGGTACGGGATTAGTACTCATCAAGACGACAGATTCTCAAGATAGACACTTCCAGAAGAAAGTTGTGATATACCAGTCAGTCGTTATGTACACAGCGACGAAGCGATTGACTGCGTGTCCAACCCGCAACAAAGTCGTGGATCAACAGAACTTTCACCTAGAACAATGATAATGGTGACGTGGTTTATGACTGCAAAACAGGCTGCAACATGCAACAGGCTACAACGGCCCTGATTAGCTTCCCACAGTCGTGTAAAGATGTTGACATGTTAAATGACATCTGGCATACGCAGAATATCATGTTATTAGAAAGTCTGTGAGATCGGTAAGGAGTGGAGGGGATCTATTAACTTATCCCCTGGTCAGGCATGGATGTCCCTGGATGTCCATTACTTATCTACTGATGACACCACAACACAGGGTCTTTCGACATCTAGCACGAGCTAGGAAGGTCAGCAGATGGTTCAGGTTCTGCCATCAGCTCCACACGAGCTAGGAAGGCCAGCAGGTGGTTCAGGCTCTGCCATCAGCTGTACACGTTATATTAGTACCAGATAACACATAAAGAAAGAACGACTGATACCCGGATAGTGAGCGCAGTGGTGTACATCATGGCGGCCATACCAAATACGCCAAGAATGATATCCCCGATCTTCTCTGTACGCGTCTTGGCAACTGCCTTGTAGTGTAGCATCGCTGGGTATACGAAACACAAAGGAACACTGCAACCATCGTTAATCGTCATCACTCTCAAAAAGGTATCGATGTGACGCTTACCAAGCAAAGCTACCGATCAGAGAGACGAATTTGTCCAGGTCCGCGGCACCAGCCCAGCTAATGACAGTAGAGACCGCGACAAGCCCGAAGCGAAATAGGTTCTTGAGCCATTTCACCCGAGGATCCTGCTTTCCGCTTCGCACGAAGAGCCCATTCTCGAGAATTCGCACGGCGGGGAAGAACTGGAGGGGAATAGAAAGGAGGATGGCGAGCGAGTACAGGAATTGGACCTTGAAATCGAGAGAATATACGTGAGATTCGATCGACAAAATCATCGTGATAGGCTTACTGATTGCGTAAGTTTGCTTGTTTGGTCAAGATTGACCAAGACCACGGTCTTGACATCTGGACCAAAAGTCAGGTATGACAATGCGCCAGCACCACCGAATAGGACTGCGAGAATGCATGGTGAGGCCCCACAAGATAATAAAACATTGAAAAGATGCTCACAAAGCAAGGTAATCATGACGCCTGTCAATACCTTGGGGAACTTGCGTGGCTCACGCATGGCGTCAGTAATAGGAATGACCTAACCCAGACCATCATTAATATCACTTCGTTCTAGAATGGAACAGGAAAACTAACCAAGCCAATGCCCTCGAAGGAAAACACGGCAGTTCTATGTCCATCCTTCAGACCCTATTCAACACTCTAAGAGCGGAACTCACCCAACAAACAAGGGGAAATCCTTGGGATTGAACATCTGCACTTCGGCGATACCCCGATCGACAATGAACGACATCTCACTGCTAAATATGTACACCAGCCCAGCGAGGATAAACGCATCCGCAATGAGGGCAGATACGCTGAGTTTTGCGAGATTACGGACAAGGGCGAGAGGGAGGAAAATTACGAGTTGCATGAGGATGAAATACTGCACAGGCCAATCTGTCTTGCAATCAGTGATTGCAATCACAAACGCCTAGACAGTCGAGTTCAGTAATACAATAAGTAAATTGTGATACCCTCCCCTCACCTTTAGATTCTCGGCTACAAAGATTGTGTATGCAGAAACGAACCCAATCTGGGAGATCACAATCGAAGATAATATCAAATAGCGCATCCAGGGACCATATAGAGCGCCGCCGATATCTTTATTGCAGAGTAAGCCACAGTTAATTCAAATGAAATTGAGCTGACCTCCGAAAGATCCAGAGACAACAAACTTGGTCTTGACAAGGAGTAGGAACGAGTATAAGGAGACGAGTGCAACCACAGAAATCATGATAATCGAGAACAAAAGACCACCATTGGCGAAGCTGAAGAACCATTCTCAGTATATGAAAGAGGAATACTCGCACGAGGGTACATACGCTTTCCCAAGGAATAGAACCCCGGTACCAACGAACGCTTTCAGAAGCTGAAACCAGGCTGATTAAACTATATCCTTGATGGAGAATAAATGAGACTTACCATCAGAACAGCTTGTGTGACTGATGCGTCTCCGTGAGGACCGACAGATGCGGCTCTCCGTCTTGAGCGCGACCTTGAACGAGGCTTGAGCAGAGGTTGGGTTTCATCAACTACTACGTGGACCTCGAGCTGAGAAGAAGGACCAGCACGAATAGTGGCTTCTTCATCCTCAACCTTGTCTTCCTCCTCCTCCTCAAGGTCTTCTCCAGCCTGTTTGCTGATGATGAGGATTGACGCGCGACGTGAAGATGTAAACTCACGAATTGTCCATATATGTAGAGAAAGTCGATGAAGTTGTTAGTTGGACGTCGCTCCTCTCCTCCATGCTCGTTGGGGTGCATCAAAACATAGTTTCGTCTGAAACCTCCAGGCTCATGTATGTGCTCGAAGGCAGGATTTGATGGTGCCACAGAGCCTGAGAAAGAGGAGGCACGAGGCCGTATAGCTTGTCGGCGCTGATCGGTGTGCCATTTGTAAATGTCATGGCTTGAGTGTGGTGGTTAGCTTTCGGAAGGAATGCCGGTGTGCCTGGACGAGACCAGAACGGACTCACGTAATGTCTGCGCCCGGAGCTTCATAGGGTATAGGAAATACCTCGGTTTCCTCTCTGAAAGCTGTTGCAGGCGGAGTAGAGGAACCTGCAGATGGGGCATCGTGGTTGGAGACGCGACCATCTAGCTCTGAGCCAGATATTGAGTTCACGTCTCCCCGGTTCTGTCTCTCCTCTGGCATCAAAAGATGACGCCTAAGAACCCTGGCCTTGTCCTCATCTTGGGGGGCGTCCAAATCCAGAGCACCAGAATCGAAATTGTTTCCAGGTGCGCTAGCGCTCGAGGGCCGTGCAGGACTGATTCCGGTAGGAGGTAAACGATAGGCCCTACCTAGAAATTCGCTTTGTGGAAGCAAGTTCAGACCCGAAGAGCCACTAGTGAAGCTGTCTGGTGTATGCCTCGTAGGGATATTGGGCACTGGAGGTGTTCCAGTATACTGGGCACGCCAAGCACGGAGATCAGGTGTGCCAATCGATGTTGGTGTTCCCGAATGAAAGACATTGCCCTGTCGTGGGCTGCCAATGTTGACTGGCCGTGATGGGGATGACATGGATCTAGAGGCTGTTAGTGACGTGGTGGTGGTACCGGTCCAAGGAAGCAGTCCGGCTGAAAAGCTGATAGGCTTCTCAAACGGCATTTCCATATTTGGAGTAATCGGGTTAGCACAACATAGATGGGCTCGATTTTCATTCGGCTCCTTAGTCGACAACTCAGACTATGTAGTCTCAACTTTTAACTGATTTCTTCAGACCATTAATATTCAACAAGAAGTCATACCGTGACAAGATCCCTCGGTGAGCAGTGTAACCAAGTGTGACCCAATGTGACCCAGTGCAAACTCGTGAGTGTCCCGAATTAGCAGCGTGTGAACTCAGACTGCCGATTCTGTGCCGAACACCAACCACATGATGTTCAGCATCTGACGCCATATATGATATGCGCATCATATGATACCTATCACATCCAAAGTCAATCATCGGACGAGGTGTGCATGGCGGTCAGTCTGTTCTCGTCTGAATATGTTATATGGTGCGTGCCCTCTGACCGCTCAAGCTCAAGGCCCGGGATCATCTACACAAGGATCCACCGTTCCCTCCACACGCTTTCCATATCACGCGCTGTGCACTACAAATCAACTCAGAAATAGTACATCTTGATGTGCTTCGAGCCTCTACCCACTATGGTACGAGTGATGCGGCTTTCATCGTTGCTATAAATACAAATTCTAGGAGATCTTTAGATAGCCCTGACAGTGGCAAGTCTGTGATTAAAGAGTGGGAGGTCATCATCCTTGACCTTCTCTCACGTTTCCACTTATCTTCACCATGGACCTAGCACACGGAGCTTTGGTTGTGGCTCTCCTTGCAGTAATCGGTGTGACGACAAGTTTTACCAAGAGGAAAGCCCAAGGACACCCCCCTTTACCTCCTGGTCCGAAGCCCCTGCCTATCCTTGGCAACCTGCATCGCATGAACACTGACTATCCTTGGATCACATACAAAGAATGGAGTGATATCTATGGTCTGCCTCTGCTATTACGTGAGATCTCTGATGTCTGACAGAGTTTAGGTGACATTATATACTCTCGTATCCTCAACCAGGACGTAATCATCTTGAACTCTGAGAAGGTAGCGCGAGCGCTTCTTGAGAAGCGCTCAAGCAACTATTCTGACAGACCCCGTTTTGCTACCGTGGAATTGCAAGTAACACGATTCGTGCTTTTCAAACCGACTCATACCACTTCTTTTAAAGGTTTGGTATTGCGTTCAGGACGGTCATGCGAAGCTACGGTGATGTTTGGCGCAGGCACAGGTAAAGCATGTATTGTACACTCCTTGGCTTGCTCTCGCATTAAATATTTTAGGCGAATATTCCATCAAGCCTTTCGCCCTGAAGCCGCTGTGATCTACAGACCTATGCAGCTTCGCAAGGCGCGCCAGCTCTTGGTCGATCTTCTGCATGACCCCGCTAAATATGAAACGCATCTGGAAACTCACTCAGCATCCATCGTCATGTCCGCTGTTTATGACTACGAGACGAAACCCAATGATCCACTCGTTTCCATGATTCGAGAGGCAATGGATAGAATCATTCATGCTGAGACTCCAGAAAAGACGGCTATCATTGATTCCTATCCTGCCTGTAGGTGATATTCACAATGCGAGATTAATTGAGTAAAATGCAAAGGTAGTGACCTTAATCCCTGCCTGGTTTCCTGGAGCATCATTCAAGCGTCATGCTTTGGAACTGAAGAGCGTTCTCAAGGATATGGTTGAAAAACCATTCGAATATGCAATCGACAGAATCGTAAGTACATACCTTCTTGGGCGCAACGCTCTGCTTATGCGGTCAGTCTTCTGGGTTATCTGCCTCCTCCATGGTCTCCGAAGGACTCGCGCGATTTCAAGGCGACCCATCCTTTGAGTTGGCCATCAAAGAGTCCAGTGCAACCGCATTCGGGGGTTGGTTTCATTTATTATCCTCATGCAATTTCGACTGACTGTGCTGTCAGCTGGTTCCGAGACTGTGAGCCCGCAAGCAACTTTGCTTGGATGCAACCTTCGATTACCTTGCCCTACAGACACATTCAGCCCTACTGGTCTTTATACAAGCGATGACTCTCAATCCAGAAGTTCAAAAGCGCGCTCAAGCCGAAATTGATCGTATCGTAGGATCTGAAAGACTCCCCGACTTTGGTGATCGCGCTTCTATGCCATACATTGAAGCTGTCCTGCGCGAAACATTGAGGTTCCATCCGATTGCACCTCTCGGTAAGGCTCTCGTGGCAGGCTTATTCCCGAACCCTTTGATGAACATTTTCACAGCCGTACCTCATGCTGCCGTGAACGACGACGTGTATGAAGGATATTTTATCCCGAAAGGTAAGCAGAGAGACTCAAGTGACTATATTTCACTTTACATGCTCTTAATCAGGAATTACTATTGTGACCAACGTCTGGTACGAATGATCTTCAAGCCCCAGCTCTTTGCCTCTCACAATGACCGTGTCTCTAGGGCAATGACGCATGATGCAACCAAATACCCCGCTCCTTTCGAATTCAAGCCCGAACGATTTTTCACGTCGTCTGGCGACCTGAATGATGATTGCGTCACTCCTGTCTGGGGCTGGGGACGACGCATATGCGTGGGTCGTTACATTGCAGACGCATCTTTATGGTCTGCGATCGCTTCCATGCTCGCCGTCTTCGATTTCTTGAAAGCTACGGATGCAAATGGAAAAGATATCGATTTTGAACCTCGGTGGACTTCCGGAATTGCGTCGTATGTATCTCCTACATGTGCTTGCGCGTGTAGTATACTGACAACTTGCAGGCGTCCCATGACCTTCCCGTGTCAGATTGTCCCTCGGCGACGGGACATGGATGTAGAGAAGCTGACGTCCTTGATTGCCACCACTGTGTGATTCCTGAATTATGACGTGCAACTTATTTTCTGGCACTCTTATACTCTTGAATTTGGAACTTTCACACTAACTCGAATAATATTATGCTGCCTTACGTGGTATCCCAATACAAGCAAACTTGAAATGCCCGTTCTGGTGAGACAAGTGGCGAAAGATCCGGTCAAGACGTGCTCTAAGCTTGCCAAAGCAACATTGGCGGAGAACGTCACATGTCGCCCAACCTATTGGTATTGGTGTAGTGTGCATGCTGAGTGAATGAATGTGCAAGCTCCTGATGACTTACGAAGAAAACGCAAAGACAATCCGATAAGATAATCATTAATTTTGTATGGGCACATCTTGGGTCTTCCTGAATACACATCGGATATTATCTCACGAGTTTCATACTCCTTCCATAAGTCTCCGAAGATTGGGGGCAGTGTGCTTCCTCGTCGCGTTCGAGTTACCCTGCTTGTACGCCCTCGCAACATATGACGCCCCGAACTGCGCTTCATCAGTCGTGACTTCTTCAGTATCCTCGTCCTCAGATTCCTCAGCCGTGTTGGCGCTGCCAACGAACTTTGATAAATCAAGTCGCTTCAGCTCAAGCTCTTCGCTTGCTTCGAAGCCTTTCCAAAGTTTCTCTGTGATGGTTTCGTTTCCTGCATTGGTTATCCAAAGTTGCTCCCTCCTTCCTTTGCTTTTCTTGTTTCGAAACATAGTAAGCACGCCGAGAATGCCAAGGTCTCTTTCTGCGAGCCAATCTTGAATTTCCTGCACGGGATGATTCGGTGATGCAAATAATGCGGAGAGACGGAGTGGGACAGTGGCGAGACCCACTTTTGACACATTTGAAGATTGCACCGCGTCATCGGATGCAGGCGTTGTGAATGCGTACTCTTTGAAATCTCTCCGCAGCAAGTCCCGCGTGCTGAGATGGGACACAGAGAGCTTTTTCTCTCCCAACGTCGCGGACAGAGACTGGACAGAAGGGTGGTGTGTAATCGGTTGGTTATCTGATAATGCGAGTACTTCCCCATCGTGTGCCAAAAGGTAATGGGGAATTAAAAATGCAGCTGCCTCCCTGTCGACATCGAGAGCTTTTCCTCCTTCTTTGAGACCTTGGGTATCGATCATGATAGAACTCAGCAAGAGCGTCGACAGTTCTGGGGGCATGGAAAAATTTGATGATGATTGATATAATCTTGCAATGAGAGATGAGCAACTTCCAGCCGGTTCGACTATCCTGGGATCAGCCGTATCCTTGTATTGGCCTTCATCCTCGTGGTGGTCTATCACTGCGACAACCCCGGCTGTTGGAGATGCATAACTGGTGTGGAGGACGTTGTGATCTATAAGTGCAAACTGGGACACCTGCGATGGCATAGGATCACCAGAGCAATAAAGCTCCTCAAAAGGCTGGTTAATTCCAGCGAGACCGAGGGCATACAGATTCTCTGCTCTGAGCATGAAATCCTCCCTAGGCGTAGTCACGAATGCGATCGCCTTTCCGCTTGTGTTTGAGCGCAACCAGGCATATCCGAGCGCACTAGCGAGGGAATCGAGATCTAAACAGCGGTAAGGACTGAGATTGAGCGAAACGAAATTGTACATACCGCCTGCTTCATTGCCCATTACCATTATCCATCCCTCCCCGTTATCAGCTAGAAAATCTGCCTTCTGGGACTTGAGGTAGGACGAAAAGTTGGATGTTGGCATTGAAGCAATTGGAGCCACAGAGGCTTACTCGGAAACTTGATGTTTAGACATGCCAATGAACTGGATGTGATTTTTGCAAGTCTAGGCAAGAGCTGGCAAAAGATTATGAAAACCCATAGGATTGCCAGGCAGGAATATCTGGTAAGGATCATACTAGTATGAATCATAGTACTATGAGTCGGAGCCAAACCGCATCGTCATGCATGTGATTTGAGTTATTTTGAATTTTTGCCTGCTCACGTCGATGTCCTCACAGTACGACGTCCTTATTGTCGGTGCCGGCATTGCTGGCTCTGCTCTTGCCCACGCACTTTCACAGTCTTCAGCTCGGCCACGCCGTATTGCACTCCTTGAGCGGAGCTTTGCTGAGCCTGACCGTATAGTCGGCGAGCTGCTCCAACCTGCTGGCGTCGCCTTCCTCAACAAGCTTGGCTTACAGGGTGCACTAGAAGGTATAGATGCAATACCAGTACATGGATACGTGGTCGTTCAAGATGGTCGCATTGTCCATATCCCATACCCTGATGAACGAGAAGGACGGAGTTTCCACCATGGACTGTTTGTGCAGGGATTAAGGGAACATGCAAAGCGCGCAAACGGCGTAGACGCTATCGAAGCAACCGTAAACGAACTGGTGGAAGAGGAAGGAAGGGTCGTCGGTGTAAAGGCTACGCGTTCCAGCGGGAAGGAGCCGGAGGTTTTCCGCGCAGACCTCACAGTTATTGCAGACGGGTGCTTCTCGAACTTCCGTAATACCGTCCAAGGTCCATCCGCACGCCCTTCAAATACAAAGTCGCATTTTTGTGGTGCAATACTCAAGGATGCACGGTTACCAATATCTCAGCACGGCACTGTTGCGCTCGTACGTGGTCACGGACCCGTTTTGCTATACCAAATATCGGAACACGATACCCGCATGCTCGTAGATGTCAAAAGTCCTGTTCCTTCCGACTTGAAGGTATGTTTTTCTCCGTTCATAGTTTCTATGCGCTCAGGGTGGTCCAGAAACATATCATCACTGAAATATTGCCTTCCCTCCCTCCTCAATTGCACGAGCCGATCCGTGTTGCTCTTTCTGCTGACCGTGTCCGCCGCATGCCTAACTCATTCCTACCGCCCGCCCCTCAGACGCATAAACGCGGTGTCATACTGCTTGGGGACGCTTGGAACATGCGTCATCCACTAACAGGTGGCGGTATGAGCGTTGCACTGTCCGACGTATACATACTTTCCCAGCACCTTGGTAAAGTAAACGATCTACGGGACTGGAGCCAGATGAAGGGCGTCCTCAACAAATGGTGGTGGGAACGCAAAGGGCTTGCTGCAACGATCAACATTTTGAGCATTGCCCTTTACGATGTGTTCGGGGCTGAGAGCGAGTGTTTGACTGTCTTCCAAAATGGTTGTTTCAAGTATTTCGAAAGGGGAGGGGAATCCATCCGTGGCCCAGCATCATTGCTGAGTGGGTGAGGGATATTCCAGTCACGTTGCATGTTTCTGTGTACTGACTGCCGACCTAGAATTGCACCATCAACCTCGCTCCTTGCATACCACTTCTTCTATGTGGTACTTTATTCTATATGGGCGCTATTTGCACATCCCCGACCTATACATTCGCCTTGTAAAAATGGCGAGTTGCATATGAATGGCGCCGCCCATGTAACTGGGAATGATGAAGTCCTCAGTGAAGAAAAACATGTGGACGTGCGTGTCATGCAGATGCCTACAGTACTGGATTACCCTCGACTATTCTGGCTGAGCTGTAGAGTCGTACGTTCCTCTACTTGATCTTTAGTGATACTGGCTGACATTTTTATGTAGTTGTGGACTGCATGCGTATTGTTTGGACCCCTACTGTGGACAGAGATTCGTTGGTGGTGAGCTTGTCAGGTAGTGTAGAACAATTCGGGACAGTTGTGATAATCCGGAGTTATCGTATATGTTTGTGATGCCTAATCGTGTGGAGGTACAGTTCTGAATACCACTCCCATGTGTTTACGACCACCTTGATCTCCTGCATTATTTTAGATCTGTGGTCATAGTCCGTTGGGGCGTTGCCCTATAGTAGACAACTATCTCCTACATAAGTATCTGTTGTTTACTATATCGGCTACAAGTGCTTGCCGTCGCGCGGCTCGTCTTGGATCAATAAATCTAGTTTTAGCTTTCAAATAACACTATCAAACGACCATAGGCTAATATGCAGTGAAACCGAATAGCTTGTTGCATGAAAGTTGACAGTGGCTGTGGTCAGAAGTTCAACCTCTCAATGACTTCCCACGTGACAGCTTCCCACTCATATTCGCCGGGATCAGTTGCCCATCTCAAGAGAGTGGACCACGAAATGAAGCCCAAAGCAGGCTTTCTGTCTCTTGCTGAAGAACTCCGGTTGTACATTCTGAGCTTCCTTTCTTGCAGAGATATTCTTCGCTGTACATCCGTGAGCCACAATTCATCATCGATGGCGGTCCTTGTCCTAGATGGACTTTTATACTGACAATCCTCTTGCAGGTATGCAAGGCCCTTCGACAGACATACTTGTCCTCCTCCGAGCTCCAGTACATCGTCGAACTCAATGGCCAACGGTTACTCCCTGTTCCCAACACGGACGATCACACTCCTACTTCTGAGCGCCTACAGCTCTTGAGGGACAGAGCTCACGTGTGGTTCAAGGTTGACTTCCACTCTTCCGAAACCGTTTTTATACCAGATGTATCGGACTATGTAGACCAATTTGTCGCCGATGGGCATCTCTACTTGTGGGACGCACACGAAGACAAGGCCGCGATCATTCCAATTCTTCCAAAGCCCTCACAACAAAGAATCGAACGCAACTGGTCTCCAGGAACGCTGTGTTCAGTTCCCAACTCCACCAACCTCGATGTGTTCATGAACCCAGCACAAAACCTGATCGCTGTCGTGTATCGCATCGTTGATGATGAGAGACTCTATATTCAACTTAGAGCCCTGTATAGTGATAGCGATCATTCCCAAGCTGCCGGACGGACACTATTCCCGTCAGGGCTTCCCGGATACGACAATGAATGGATAAATGCGACACTCAAAGGTTGTGGGAGGCATATCGCTTTGCAGTGCTGGTTGATGGTTGAAGCGGATGCACTAGGGGATTACTCCAAGTGTGTATGGCAGTTGCAGATTTGGGAATGGCAACACTCAACGACATCCAGTGTGAGTTGGACTGAAATTGTTGAAAGATTTGACAATTGATTCTCAATTTAGAGCACCCTCAGCGGCATATTACTCAATCCAGTTGTTGATCCAACTGATTTTTGTTTCCTCGGAAACGATAGGTTGCTGGTTGTCGCCGATGATTTGAAGATCTATTCAATCGAGGATATGTCCCGGGCGCCGCAATTACTGGCATGCTTCCTGTCTCCCGTCCCATTGCGGAACATACGGTGCCTCCTTCCGATGGATAATATTGGGCATAGTTCACAGATGCAAGCCCAACGCACAATGTACACCTCAGACCCTACAAATCGACTACTATGCCTTACCGTGTCTGGTCTAGTGTTCATTATTTCCACGAGGATTTTCTTCGACCTTCATGGAATGCCAGCCGCAGTAACGCCAATACCATGGAATCAATGGGGTCCCTCAAATGCCCGTGTTTTCGGTCGCCCATCCTACTATAATGTTCACGTTAGCGGAAATCGACTTTTGTTGCAGTCGCTCCAAGTTCAGCGCACGGCCTTGGACTTCGAGCACTATATATTTCAAATGCTAGATTTCAGCCCGCTAGCTGCCATGAACAGGCGGGGTCTAGGACGATTGGTGACAGAGCCATATACGGTAGATATCAGTGACTGCACTGGCAGGCCTGGGGAGAGCTTGACAACCTCTCTGCCCTACGTCGAGGTCGAATCGGATAGAATGTTCATTATGTTCGAAGACACATTGATTGATAGGGATAGAATTTATTTGCTCGACTGGGAACCCGAAGTGGAAGGTTCAACACCACCTACGTATCTCGCGACGAGGTCGAGTAGGGTTGAGGTCATTGATTTCTAGAGCAGAGTCTGTTACTTACTGTTGCTTATCAGCTAATTGATTTAGTTAGTTGGTTGTACGAAGATGGGTGGGTCGTCGATCGAGCGCTTGGATTAGTCTCCCGAGTCCTTTTAACAAAATCGCTTGTCGGAGAGCCTTTAGCGTTCCATGGAAGTGATCACGCAGTTCAAGTGTCTGATACACGGCGAGAGGCTGTCTGAGCCGCTTTATGTACCTAACCTGATTTTATAGGTGTACTTTAGCTACTGCACTGGCAGTGTAATTTGATGTGCCCGTCATTGATCAAACGGAGCCTACATGTTACCGCACAATAGGGTTGCAATAGGGTACTAACAAGACCAGGGGTATGTAATTCATCACGCACACAAGGAACCACCAGGAAGCACAATTGTCACAATAGTTGTAGTTGCAGTCAAGTTGCAGTTGCCACTGTCGGAAATTCTTTTACGGCATTCTGATGGATTAAAATGGCCTAACGACACGGCCCAATTATAATAGATTATGATCAAACAGTCAACATATTAATAAGCATTATCATGGCATTTTAATGCAGATTTTAATGGTATCACAATGAAGTCACAATATCATCTCCACGCCATAACAATTGTATTTCGACGACATTCTGACCAGTCTCATAAGAAGGATGTGATGAGCATTCCAGATTTTATTATCATTTTAATGGCATCACAACTAAGTTATATTTTCATCTCAATGTCGTGACAATTGTATTCTAACGGCAGAAAGACTGTACATGGCGTGAGAAATACGAGGTAAGGAAAGCGGACATCCCATTCAAGATGGCTCCGGCGTCCTTGGCCTACCCAGCTCCTCCCTCCTCTGTGCACGCTCCCGATCCTCCTCGCTCTCATCCTGTTCTTCACTCTCGTCCTCCTCCTCAACGCGTTCCAGCTCATGTGGTGTAATCGTATGAATGCTAGATGTATTGTCATCGTTGTGTCCACAGCGACCACGCTCTAAGTCTATGTGCGTGCCATTGTCGTGCTGGGAACGTGCGGATGAAGCGTGGATGAGGTCATGGAGAGCTGCGACCTCGGCCTTGATGGCCTCCTGCTCTGCGAGCATGTCCTCGAGGGCGCAGACCTTGTCGACGTGGCTTGCGAGGCTGGCTTGGGTCTCATGTAGCTCTGAGCGCAGCTCGGAAAGGCCAGGGTGCTCTGGGGGAGGTGCAGGGGGTTCTGGATTTGCGGGTGTGGCAGATGCGGGCGTGGGTGCAGAGGTGGTCGAGGCTTGTTGTGAACGCACGGGAGGGAGTAATTGGGGGAAGTGTGGTAGGTTTTGGGGCTGTGGGGAAGGGAGATAGTCAGTATGTAGGAATAAAGAGAATGGCGGGGACAGACCACCGAGCCACTGAGCGTGTCGTGAATGTCATTCATTGAAGAGCTCAGGGAGTGCAGTTCTGCGCCAGTGTCACGGCTCTTCTGGAGTTTGCCCTGAAGTCTGCTTAATATGTGGTCAAAGGAAAGGCCATTTTGCCCGGTGGTCGCATACTGTTGCCCATGCCACCAAGCTGGCTCTGGAGGGTAGGGCGGTGCTGTGGATGTGCAAAGCTAAAGTTATAATTACTTCCAGATGATGAACCGGAGGGAGGGAGGACGGAGGGGATGTTGGGGGGGAGAGAGGTGGATGTTGGGAGGAAGAGAGGCGGATGTTGGGATGGCCTTTACATGGGCAGCGAGATGTGCGTCTTCGTCCGTGAACACACACATGACACGGGCAGCGACTTTGTGGTGAATGGTGGTCTTGTTGTCTTCGAGCCACCGAGCTGGCTCTGGAGGGTAGGGCGGCGCTGTGGATGTGCAAAGCTAAAGTTATTATTACTTCCAGATGATGAACCGGAGGGAGGGAGGATGGAGGCCCAGGTGATGTTGGGAGGGAGAGAGGCGGATGTTGGGATGGCCTTTACGCGGGCAGCGAGATGTGCGTCTTCGTCCGTGAACACACACATGACGCGGGCAGCGACTTTGTGGTGGATGGTGGTCTTGTTGTCTTCACCGACAATGTCGATACCGAATTCCTGCAGGGGGGTGGATGGGTCAGACGGAGGGAAATGGGGCAGACATTGAACAATATTGGAGTTTGGACCAGGGTAGAGATGGGTTACAGTCTAAAGAGAGGTATCTTAATGACACATGAGTCATCCCGTCGCCATGTAAATCTGCATGATCATGTGATTGATTTGTCATCCTGATGTACATTAATGATAAGTAAAATGTCAATAGGAGATTGAGATTAATAGGAGACTCGGAAAACGAGCGTGTAAGTAGGATTGAAAATTATAATGATGCGGCCATGACGAACGCCTTCAAAATCACACGAACCCAAATGCCTCCAAGGTCCTCGAACGCCTTCAAAATCACACGAACCCAAATGCCTCTTGGAAGGTCTTCGAGCGGCTTCAAAATCACACTTACCCGAATTTTTTTGCCTCCAAGGTCCTTGAACGGCTTCAAAATCACACGAACCTAAATGCCAGATCTGCGTGATAACGATATTGATTGAACTTGAGCGCTGACTGGTATGTATGGTAATAGGTAGGAGTCTGAAAGCTCAAGACTATTTAGTAGAGACGGTCTGACGAGAGGAACGGCGAACATCTTGCCCATTTATATCAGCCTTCTGACCTTTTCCCCGACGTCCCTTGGTTGACTTCGTAACGACAGTCACTGAGTCTTCAATAGCTGGCTTCGGATGGGGTGCTGCTATCACTGTAGCAGCTAAGGCAGACTCCGGACTTGTAGCGCTTGACCCAGGATTGAGTACCACACCCTGAGTTGAGATTGATGGCACGACATCAGAAGGCAGGGGGGGTTCATGTTGCAGGGGAGAAGCTACTAGTACCGCAACAGTATTTGAGGATGAGGATGCGGTCAAAGAACTTGGTTCAACGATGGTAGGATGGTGCGCACGAAGGCTGTCAGGGCCAATGGGGTCCTCATCCGAACTGCTATCGGAATCGTCCAATGCTGCCATGACACGATCAACCATGTCTTCAGGCTGGCCTGCGGTATAGTCCTCCTCCGTCTGAGCAACATTATCGAAGACATAACCGTTAATTTGTCCCACAATGGCTTTGATGCGTTCATGGGTCCACTTGACGATGAAGAATCTTTTCACGGCGCGGAAGACGGTGTGGTAAGGGATCGAAGAAATGGCTCCAATACCATCCCCGGAGAATTCTTGATCTGGGGATAGCATGAAGATTATCTACCGAACACGATATCAGTCATACTATTAGGTAGCGCCTCTGACATCAATACATACCGAAGTCACACCAAATGCAATCATACCGGGAGTGCAGCTTTCGAGTTTCCAAATCTTCGCATAGGTAGGCGGGCCACCACGCCCCTTGGGGAACAATGACATCTTGCCGCACACTGAAACCTTGATGACCTTTCAAAGAAAGATATGAGTAATTGTCCTATGGTTAAGTCAGTGTACTTTACCTTCGCGATCGTCAACCAGTTTCTGAAAATCTTTTTCTCGTTAACAATGTTATCAGGGTAAAGTACCGGTGCTTTGAAAACGTCGAAGGTCTTCCCCTTCCCCGCCTCCCATCCAATCATATCCATAATTTGCTGGACGGAGGCGCGGTCATATCTGGCAACAAAATACTCGGGTGACATGTTGAAGATGGTACCTGAAACAGTGCGTAGACCATTGAAGAATGATGATCGTGCCTGTTGCATGCCGGTTGCAAACTGTTCCGCAAATTGTCAACTCGTTTACAACTATGTAAAATTTTAAGTTACGTACCAAGTTAAAGAATGCATTTGTTTGCATCTCAGGATGCAACTCGTGATCGATTGAGGCGTAGAGCTCAGTGACGAGGGAAGCCTTCTCTGTCGATTTCTTTGCGTAACGTTGCGGACTTGTTATATCGACCAGAGGTTCGGGGCAGTCTGTCTGAAAAATAACCTTTTCAGGCAGAAACATCTCCGTCGTCAAAGCGTATTTCTTGGCTAAACTTAAGATTAGCTTGTCGATGATGGTCTCCGACGTCATTATGGACGCTGTAGTCGATGGCGCAGATGAACACGAGGATGCGGTAGTTGAAGGTGGCGCAGATGAACGTAAGGACACAGTAGATGAGGCTGGCAATGCAGCAGCGGATGTTGTCTGATTTGGCGAGCGCCTGCAACGTTTCAATTGTTGTGCCGCTAGTGTACCATTGGTTGCGTTCAGCGCTGCATTGCGCTCTTCCAACTTTCCTTTTTCAAGTTGTAATTGCTTAATGTACTAGATAAAATAAGTCAGTGAACAAATGAGAGTTGACGAAAGAAACGAGAGCTTACCGCTTGAAGGTGCTTTGTAGACGAGTTGGCACTTGGTGGTGCCACAGGCCGTGGGGCGTCATCATCCGAATCAGGCCCTGAATCTGACGATAACAATGGATTAGAGTCGGAATCATCGAGCTGTGAATCAGAGTCCAACATGAGCAATATGTGAGGAGCGAAATGTGTGATGAGTGAGCGGCCCAGATGCTGAATGAACGAATGAATTGCGAGGTCTTTATCTACATTTGCGGGCAACCCTAAACAGTTTAGAATCAATCTGTGGTATTACTAGTGAGATTAAATGATAACATGCATAATACAATTTGACGCGGTACACAAGTCGTTATTAGTGAAATGGATCATGGAAGCTGTGAGCTTGAGAAAAATGCTGCATGAAAGATGCATGTCCAAACACGAGGCGACACTGTATTATGACACACTTGTGTCAGTAATGTCAATGATGCAGCTTGATGACCTACTTAATGCGTGTTATACCTAATGATAGAGTGAGTATTGCAAGCCGAAAATCATATAAAAAAATAAGTTCTTTAATACTCAGGCCGCGGCCAAAGTGTCAGGCAAGTTACGCGACTTGCAGAGACTTGACCCGAAGAAACATGTCTGCGTCAACCGTGTCGATGACGAAGTAATCGCCTTGTCTCCCAGGATCGCTGGCAAGCGCAGCCCCTCGGATAATTGACCTTACGGAGATGAATTCGGGAGATGACCGAAGTTTGGCTCGTACACGCCATAGTCCCAGATCAGTATCATGTTTGCTGCGGACACCAATTCCGACATCGTACGGATGTATGAGCGCCAGTGAAAGATTGGTTTCACCAATTGAGCAACCGAACATGAAGATAAGGCGAGCAAAAAATGGTTGATTGTCGGTTTGAACCATTACACAATCATATCGCGGGGATCCAAAGAACTCGGGGTTGCATCGAAGGAGGTCTTTGCACTGGCGCCAGTCGACCATAGACTCGTAGTTGACTTGCAGATATTTGTATCCAGTAATCTAAATATTATGTTGCGCAGCACAATTTTAGCGAGTAGTTAGCAGGGTGAATTGTTGGCGTACCTTGTTGTCAGCCTGCAAATGAATGCGCTTTCCATTTGGTAAAGGAATGTCGTTACTGGGGAAGAATGTGTTCAGGAAGGCATTGAGTTTGATTCGAAAACCGACGAAGGCCCCGTCATCTGCATGCGACTGCTCGAGACTTGCAAATGAGATGTCACCCTGCGCCGAGCCTAACTTTACGTGGGTGTAGGGAGCTGGAGCCACAGAAATCGCAGGATTTTCTGTGTCTGCGTCTTCTGTTGTTGGGAGGTCGGCTTTCCGATTGTACTCGTCCAACTCGTCGAGTTCAGAACGCATTGATGTTAAGGTTAGCAGCCAATGGTCGTAGCGAAGTATCTGAAGTCATTAAGGGCAGTTCTTATTAGTTTATGTTAATATACAGTCCTGTTGACACACGAACCTGTGTAGCAACGTTCTTGAAATTTGTTCGATTGTGGTAGATGTCCCTCACGGGGCCGTGCATCTTCTCGTTCGGTTTTGTGTTGTAGTTTCATGTCGCGCCTTTCGCCAAGATATTGTCGAATAGATGCGAACTTGCGTGTTTCTTGGGGAAATTCCAATCCTTGCCTGTTACAGGCTGTGATTTGAGAATATACTCCTAATCGCACATCATAAGTGAGTGGTCGGGAAGTATTGCGAAGCAAAACTTACCTCCATCAACACTGAAAATTCCCGCAGAGCTCGTCTTCCTGCAACAATTGAATCTTCAGTGTGGACCTCAAATCCAGCGTAAATGTCGAGATCGATATAGTGGTGTATGCATCGCAAGAGTAGATAGCCGAGCTTACTCTGTGAACGGCGGAGGATCCTTTGCGCCGCAAAGATAGCCATCTGAGGGTCATTAGCACAGAATTCAGCTTCAGTCACGGCTTACCTTCGATATGTCCTCGTGATGTGAGCTATCATTGAAATCAACTCCAACTACCTTTGAGAAGTGCGTCAGGTTAGACCACCGCGGAAAAGCATCATAGCTGAGGTAGTACCATTAAGTTTGAGGCAGTGCATGTTGGATAATAATATATACGTACCACGCGTCCATCTGCACAACAGCTTCTCGCCCTAATTCAAGTATCCAGAACTGAAGCTCCCTCCACAGATGGTGCCTCCAAAGCCCTCCATGATACACATGCATGCGATCAAAGGAGAGTGCTCGGTGAATGTCGGTGAGCATCATTCTCCAGAAGGCGTTCTGAGGATCGTGTCTGTCAGTGTGGTGTGCGCAAAAGACCTTGGAAATCATACTTCAACGTCACGCAGCGAGTAAGTTTTGAGTAATTTCTCCCTCTCCTTCTTGGATTTCTTCGCGCGGGCCAACTGAAGGGTCTCCTCAGACTCAGCGCTTGTCCGTAATCGAAGTTCGTGAGACAAGACTGATTGCTCGTCTCGAGGGACCAAGCAGATCGGACACGGAAATTTACCTTTCAGTCCGCGAATCAATGCCATGATACATCTATCACATGGCGTCAGCAATATCACAGCGAACTTGAGCACTCACTGTTCTTCATAGTCGGCGCTCAGAATCAAAATCAAGGGCCAAAGCAGGCGCCGGATGGCATCACCGCACTCGAACCAGTATCCCGTCCTCGAGATCTGTATGACGGACTCAAGAAGTTTTAAAAAGGACTCGTGCCAAACGGCAGTCTTGAAGTCCACAAAGCTGCTTTTGCCTGCATGCTCCGGATCCTCTGACACCTGCTCTGACATTAGCATGTGTATGAAATAAAACTAAATACTTAGACTAACAATAGGCAGCCAACCTACAATTCGGCCACCACCAATACCAGCACCATTCCGGATTTCGACAGGCAGGTTTGCAATCCGACAAACAATCGGATAGGCTTTCTGGGTACCGAAAGAGGACAATTTTGCCTTGTCTGCGTACAAGATAAAAGCCAGAGGCTTTGCCTCAGGCGGAAGTCGTGACTACACAATGCGCAGTTGCATGTCATTGGGCATACAAAGTGATCAAGACTTACCTGTGCATCCCAGAATGCATTGGCTGTCCAAGGTTCGTCAATAAAGCGTACAAAACGCGTACCATTGAATTTGTATAGGCGTTGCGCATCAAATACGAAGTGCGGCGCAAGACGTCGATCTCGCAACATATCAAGAGCCCATTCCCACAGAGGACGGTAGTGCATATCAAACTCATGCACCTTTTTTTGATACAGAACCGACACTACATCAACTTGAAACTTGATAAATTACTCATATTTTAGTTAAGCACGTCTAATTAAATTGAACTTGTATTTGCCTACCGGTGTGAAGCGTTGGGAAGCAGTTGACCACAACTCCCGGACTTCATCATGGTTTTGTAGTGTAAAGGTTTCGTCCCTATGTGCGGAACGATGAACGAGACTAAGCAGACGATTGGTTTGCTCTGCGGTGAGTGCAGCTTCGAGGGCAAGTTCTGCGACCTCAAAATCGAGCCGTGTGCGGAACGGTTCCCATGGTGCGTGATTCCGAGGTACTGAAGCTTCCGTGGGACGTGTGCGAGAGAAATCAGCGAAATGATGAATGGTGGACGGAATCTGGCTGTGAGGATGATAATCAACCTTGATATCATCCAGCTGCGGTAATGGTTCCCGCTCTTCAGGATTTGCGTCGTCGTAGTGGCTCTGAAGGCCAGGTGATGCCATACTGAAGTCCGATATCAACGATTGACGACTTCGAGGCGTTGATCCTTGCATGTCTGACACATAAAATGATTGATCAGTTTTTGGGAATCCACTAAACTATGCAAACATACCATTATTATCTTCTGCAGCTTCGTCCTCGTGGTCGTGACGCTGCACCGACCAAATTTTGATTGGATCAACTGACAATAGTATTATTTGAGTTATCAATGTCAAAGAAAATTAGTCGAGTGCTAACTCACCTGTAGATGACGCCGCACGTCTTTTGGATTGATTGTGAGCCTTGTGTTCTGTGCAGTTGTGAGGTGAGATATGGGACAAAACAAAAATGGTGTGCATACGTACATTTCTTCGCCGCTTCTTCGATGATCGCTTTGACCTCGTCATCTTCTTCTTTCTCCCGGGCTTGCTTCCTACATTTCTTTGCATGCGGCACAAATCCACGAGCTCGTACTAGTATCCCACATATGTTACACATCACATCGTCTGATGTCCGTTGAGGAGGCATCGAAATGGAAATTGATGGCACGAAAGGCGAGATGAGGACTTGCGGGGAATTTGTGAGTCTATCTAGTATGAGTTAGAAATACTGCGTACCTTTGATGCAGATGGTACTTAGTGTATAATTGAAACTCAGGTCAGGCTGCGACTCGTGATAGTCTCAACGACATGTAATCAATATGTAAACAAATCGTAATCGAATCATGATTGAATTGTAATCAAATCATGATCGCATCGTAATCGAATCATGATGGTGATAAATATAGCATTACGATACGGGAGCATTATAATGCCTGCTGGAAATTTCCGACAACGGACTTGTATTGTCACGGCCACCCACTCGCAAGTCTGTCACGTGTCAGTGTTTGTACTACGGAATGTACCCAATTGCGCATCTTGAAGTTGTACTAGTTGTTACTGGTCTTTCGCGTGGGCGCCGCCCCCACTGGTATGCACGGTTTTGGTTTTTTTTGTTGATACCGTGTCACCTGGCCCGCCACTCTGGCATGCTCGACAATAATGGGTGTGGTCATTCAAATACTTTCAAATTCAATGACTTCCCATAGCTTCCCATTCATATCTGATAGTCGATATCAGTTTCCCATTTCACCGTCTTGTCAAGAGAATGGACCACGAAATGAAGCCCAAAACAGGCTTTCTGTCTCTTGCTGAAGAACTCTGGTTGCATATTCTGAGCTTCCTTTCTTGCAAAGATATTCTCCGTTGTACATCCGTGAGCTACAATTCATCATCGATGGTCCCTGTCCTACATGGAATTTGATCCTGACAGTCCTCTTGTAGGTATGCAAGGCCCTCCAACAGACGTACTTGTCCTCCTCCAAGCTTCAATATATTGTCGAACTTAGTGGCCAACGGTTATCATTCCCTGTTCCCACCAAGGACGATCACACCCCTACTTCTGAGCGCTTACAGCTCTTGAGGGACAGAGCTCATGCGTGGTTCAAGGTTGACTTCCACTCTTCCGAAACCGTTTTTATACCAGAGGTACCGGGCTATGTGGACAAATTTGTCGCCGATGGGCATCTCTATTTGTGGGACGCACACGAAGACAAGGCAGCGATTATCCCGATTCTTCCAAAGCCCTCACAACAAAGAATCAAACGCAACTGGTCTCCAGGAACGTTGCGTCCACTTCATATTCCAGCAGCCAACCTCGATGTCCTCATGGACCCAGCACAGAACCTGATCGCATCCGCATATGTTATTTATGTCGACAATGCTGAACCCGGACATCTGGCTCGCGAGACACTCCATGTCGACCTAATTCCCCTGGATGGTAGTATTCCCCTCCAAGCTGCTGGACGGACACTGATTGGGCTGCCCGAAAACGAGAACGAAATTACTAGGACAAGCATGGCGAAGCTGAAGGATTATGGGAAGTATATCGCTTTGTACCGCAAGGTGGAAGTTTATAGTACTTCTGAATTATACACGTCCTGTCCGAGGTGGAAGCTGCAGATCTGGGACCGGCAGCACTCAACGACATCCAATGTGAGTTTTGATGAGAAATAGTTGGACGACTTGACAATTTATTCTCAATTTAGAGCGTCCTCAGCAGATGCTACTCATATCGGGCAGATAACAACGTGAACGATTTTTGTTTCCTCGGAAACAACAGGTTACTAGTTGCCATCGACATGTTGGAGCTCTATTCATTCGAGGACATGTCCCAGACGCCACAATTGCTGGCGCGTTTCGTGATGCCCTTCCAATTGCTGGAGATAGAATGCATCCTTTCCACGGATGATATTGCACATACCCCTCAGATGCCGACGGCGTGCACCCCAGACCTCAGGCATCAACTACTATGCCTCAACGCTTCGTGTGCTACTAGTACAGCTCAATATCAAGTCTACGTCATTTCCACGAGGATTTTCTTCGACTTTGACGGAACTATGATAGAAGCACCAGAAATACCATGGAATCACTGGGGCCCTTCAAATGCTCGTTTTTTTCAGCACCCATTTCCACCCAGAATTCGCATTAGTGGGAATCGGGTCTTGCAGGCAAATTTTTTCGGTTGGCCTTCAATACATATGATGGACTTCAGCCCGCTAGCTGTCACAAACAGGCAGGGTCTGGGGTGAGTAGTGAAGCAGCCATCTACGATACACATCCCTGGCCTTAATCCCATGGACGTGGTGGTCTTGACAACGTCCCTGCCTTACGTTGAGGTTGTATGCAAAAGGAAGTTCGATTATGACGAGTTGGAGAACGCATGGATCGATAAGGATAGGATTTATTTGCTCCTCGAAATAAAAAAACAGGAATCCAAAGAGCAAGATTTTGATCATCATCGTGCAAGCAGGTTTGAAATCATTGACGTGTAGACTTATTATCAGTTAGTCATTATTTTTGTCTGTCCGGCTCACGAAGTTTATCATCTAACTGATACTAGGAGTGGAAATGTAGGCCGACTTAAATTTATCTTAATCTAAGCTTCCCGCAAAATGCCATTGAACCTGTCCTGGTGCGCACTTTCCTTTTCAATTTTTTGCTATGAATTCGCTGCAGCATCCTCATATCCTGATCGTCATCCACTCATCCGCCGCCGCTCACAGCATAATCGAACCTCTATGATACATCTGCTCCTACTCTTTGCTTTGCCTCGACTCGGATCTAGCCCCCCCGCTCGCTCGCTCTCGCCCAGCGCTTGCTGACTTCCTCATCCAGTTTGTTCTTATCTCGCATAGTCTTGCAGGCCTCCCGCACATCGTTTCACGTACTATCCTCACGATGCTGTGGTTCTCACCACTCTCGTGTAGATATCCATATTACGACCACACATTGTGCTGTCAAGTGTGTACAACGAGCTGTGTTTCTGTCCCACTCAGGATGTTCCACTTCTGCTAGGCTGTTCGTTCGGACAACCCTGATCTCAGGCTCGACACAGGGTATAGAAGATAATACGAAGTATGATCCGGTGGACATTGAATATCACATTATAACTCAAATCTCCGTGATGGATCAATTGGTCGAATACGATCATCATTATCAAGGTCTGAAAGTAGTGATTTTAGTGAGAGCGACCAACGGAAAAGGCTCGAGAGACTCACAATTCTCGGCACTTTGCCAATGTTGTCCTTGCGACATGCGGCTCAAATCACACAAACACAGTCCGAGGACAATAAAAAAAATCAGGCTCGAGAAACGGGTGGCACCTAGAATAAGAGCTGTTGTTTGGGTCCTACTACCCACCCACCGTCACGATCCAGGACAAAGGAGGTTGACCCGCGGTCATCATGGAAAGCTCCCACCATTAACCCAACAAGGTTACACAGCGTATGGGTAGAATTAGACGAGAAGCGAATGAAGCGAGTGTAGCTTGTCTTCGCAGTGGCGGTCTCAATGGAATGATCTGACTCTGAGTCAGCGCACTGTTGCACAAGCTGCCTCGTCGCTACATTCCACAGCCGGGCAGTGTGATCGTCTGAGCCAGTCGCGATGTGGTTGCCATCCGGCGAGAAGGAGACTGAGCTAACTTCCACAGCGTGCTCCTCCAAGGGATCACCAACTGCCCTGTGGCTGTATCCCACAGCCGGACCGAAGACTTGAATGAACCTCTGGACGTCCATGGCGATCGACGAGATATCTTTGAATTCGGAATGGCCCTGCGGTTGCATGTGAGCACTTTATCTGACACCCAGTAAACATATGTATGCTCACCTGCAGCCCATTTGGCAATGAGCGAAAAGGGCAGTAACTGCACCACTGAGCGCATTAATAAGGGCAAGCGCCTCGAGCCAGAAAAACAGCCGCTCATGGTCAAAGAACGATTTTACTTCTTTTTCGAGCACCTTGTCGAAGGCGGTTGTTCGTACGTGCGCAGTCCAAAATCGACTGGGATGGGATAGATGCAGGGGAATGCGTGGATGAATTTCGAGTGCCGGAATGCCGTAGACGTTTAATTACATGATGTTTGATCACCAAGTTGAGTACCAGTCCTCTTGACCCGTAGTGCTACTAGAAGAAAAAGGTTGAGCGCTAAGTACTGAGTGCCATGGGAAGAGTTTGACAACTCTCAGAGTCACGGCTGTGAGTAGAAGGCTGACATAGGTCTAAACTCCATCAGTATGTGATGAGGTGTACCTATTTTGGATGTGTGACGAGCGCTCCGTCTTTCATATAGGACAGATGTGGGAGAATGTGTACGCCTCAACACTGGATCTACATTTGACAAGCTTAAGATCGCTCACAGAACTCACACACCTAGCTACTATAGCGGTTTAAATTCTCCTCTCAGCGCTGAACAATTCTCACCGCTCAGTTCTATCACTGCCATTTACCTGTCTTCATGGATTCTTCAGAGATCAAAAAGAAGATTAATCGCTTTCGAATCCTCATCATAGGAAGAGCGAATGCAGGGAAAACCACCATCCTCCAGAGGGTATGCAATACCAAAGAGAACCCCGAGATATTTAATAGCGCTGGTGAAAAGGTGCGCATCATGATGCTAGTACGAGGATGATAGTGATGATAATTCCATCGACATCAGATCGATGCCACTCTTTTGACAGCATCCAGAGAGGTAACGTGTACCATCAGTTGGCAACATCAACTGACGTATTCTCAGCGTGGAGAACACGACATCGAGAACGAGATGGTATTTCGAAAAAACCCAGGATTCATCTTTCACGATTCGCGCGGTTTTGAAGCAGGCGGCGAATCAGAGTATGACAAGGTAAACACATTCATCACAGACCATTCAAAGAAAGTAAAGATTAGTGTTGTGCAAGGCCCAGCTCGGCCCAAAAGCCTGGGCTTGGGCTCGGCTTAACAGGGCTCAGGCCTACTCAGATTGGAGGCCGAGCCCTCCTCGACGGCTCAGGCTCAGCTCAGCCAGGCTCAGGCTCAGGCTGGGGCTTTGTATTCATATAGTATGTATGTCTAACATTTGTACAAAAATATCATCCTCGTCTCCAGAATCCCTGCCCTCGTCTTCAGCATCCAAGCCCTCAACTACTGTGTCCCAAGGTTCAAGTTCATCCTCCAACTCGGTCATGATCAAAGGGTCTTCACGAAATAGTAGTCCTCGTTTGAACATACATTTGAGGCATTGAAGAGCTTCAACAATGTCAGCCTTCAGACGGTTCCTCCGCTTACTGATTGTGATACCCGCTGACGAGAAAGCCCTCTCACTCGATACAGATGATGCCATGATCGAGAGGAAGTCTCGTGCGAGTGAGGCCCAAACTGGGTAGCGCGGAGCGTTGATACCCCACCACTGGGTAACCGTCAAGTCTCCGAGATGATCCTTGGAGTTTAGGTAGGCATGAAAATCATCCTGCCAGGGTTTCGATGGGTCCGCAGGATTCAAACGAGAGACTGAAGGTGTCCGTGAGATTGCCAAGGGAACAGGTTGAAAAGATTCTTCAGATCCCTCGTCCTCGCCGTCAGAAAGCTCACCCAATAAGGCGTCTAGTTTGTGGTTGCCCGTAGTGATACGCTCAGCGGATGTTGGTAACTGCTCAGCGCCGTTTCCGTATATCTGTGTGTAGCGCTCTTCATACTAACACATCACATTAGCGAACAGCACAGTTGGTAGGCAGCGAGAAGAGACATACCATCTGTTCAGCATTCTCAAGAGCTCTGTGAAGCAGTTCTTCACCCCAGTAACGTCGAATATGGGCTGCTTTTTGAGTAGGGTCAAGTACTATGTTCCACCCGATGTTTAGTACACATACAAATAATAAAAATGAGCACGTACACATGGCCATGATATGAGCATCTGAGTGGGCAGTCTTTGTGTAGTATTCCGAAACTTTCTCAAGGCCGGCATCCAAACCTTCGTGAAAATCGATGTATTTGACACGTCCAGAACGTGAGGACCAAGCAGCGTGTAGTCCTTCAAGTGCGGGGAGTGCAAGGTGTAGTGTGGGTCCTTGATCTGTTGAAAATGAGTGCTGCGCCAATTCCGCAAACTAATCCACAAAAATATGAGTACTGAATTCTAACATAACATAAAACCTACACCAAGAATTGACAACAGCTTCTGCACACGAGACCACTCATCATCTGAGAGTTCCAGCTCAGCGAGTTTTCTTCATTGAGTAAGGTCTCGTTCTTGTAAAGATATCCGTCCGACAAAATAATTCACATCCTAGTAAAAAGAATAGTGAGGGATAAAAACAAAGAGCTTGCTACGAACATACCTCTCGAAGCTCATAAGCTCGACGAAGCATTACAAAGGTGGAAGACCACCGAACCTTCATATCAAGGAGGAGTTGTCGAGCGTTGGAGACAGGGACATGTCCATTCTCAGCGCGGAGCTGAATCATATGGAAAAGCTCCTTGCGGGAGGCTGAAGAGCGCTCCTTGACCGAAATAGAGCGGACAAGACCCACTTCGTCACGCTGGTCATGACGTGATGCTACGAGGTCATCATCGGGCTTGGTAGCATCAATGTGCTTCGATTTGCTGTGAGTTGACAGAAGGGCTTGTGTCGCCAGGTTGACTATGTGTGCAAGGCACCTAGTATTGAGTGTAAATAATCATCACGGCGCATATATATATATATATGAGTACATACCGCAGCCTCCGTTTTTTGTGGTCGAAGGGTTTGTGCGTAAGGTCTTCGATATGCTTCCCAAATTCTTCCATCATCGTGTCGTTGTTAGTTGCATTGTCACATGTAATGTAACCGATCTATTCAAACAATCAATGATGCTAATACAATGACAATAAAATACTTACTTTATGTGCGACGCCAACACGCTTCACTACCTTGTACAGAGCTTGGCCAAGACGTTTCCCGTTGTGCGAATTGTTCAAGCGCGTGAATCCCAAAAGTGCGCTCTGGACTGTCCAAGCACCGAGTGTTAGTTCTTCAACCCAGTGACCAGTGACGGCGAAGTAGCCGTCGACATTTGTTGCCTGCCAGGCATCGCACGTCAGATTGACACGACCCTTCACGGCTTCACTCTGCAAACAATAATATAATATGAAATTACATTGAAAATGAATGCACATACCAGTAACCGTTTTCGAAGCTTGATGAGGTTCTGTTTGAACAAATCAATGATGGCGCGTCGTGTCTGCTTGCGATCAGAAAGTTTGACGCCATTGGTCGAGCAAGCTGCAATATCAATCATGTTTTTGAATGCAGGGTGTTCGAGTGCATCAATAGGCTGTGAAGTAGAGTCAGAATGTATAAAACAATTCACAAACCAAATCACCTGGTCAGTTTCTATCAGCCATTCGAGTGCGGCCTCTCGAAATAGCACATCTGAATACTGGACAACCTTCTCTCTCAGCACGCGCTGCTTCAAGTGCCCATCTATGTTAGTCTGATTATCAGCGGCTGCTTCCTCTCGGCAGCGTTTCGTATCTTTTGGGAGCATAGATTCGAACTTATTTTTTTCAGCCCATTTGAGATATTCAGCCTACAAGTATAAGTTAGTAGTAGAGACACGACACATTAAAAAAATTTACTCTGTGCATGGCTTGTTGATGGCGACGTAACGTCGAAATCTCGTTGACAAATGGTACAGCACGTTTATGAGTTTTGCTAATACAATAATCAATGTGCATTCTGTGAGAGTAAGAGGGAGATTGACTTATGTGCACATGTTACAATCACGCACTTTCTTACCATCCTTGGCATACGGGGCCGAGAAGAGAGCATCGATGTCCCGACTGTGCTGCTCACGATGTGGTTTTGATGGTTCGTCGATGTCGAGAACTTGGACGTCTTCGAGAAACCCATCTGCATCGACGGCATCTGCAGGCGGATCCTCAACATGTTCATGGGCACGTTTTTTTGCTGGTCTCGCAGCAACAGAACTTTCCTCTTGCAGATTGGGAGCTGGAGCCTTGCGTTTGGTAGGTTTTGTGGCAGGCGCAGTAGGAAGTGATGCTTTAGCGGCTTCGTGAGCCCTCCGATGCGATGACAACTCTAGATCAGCCGCGTTATCAGCGCTGACAACCTTAGCAGTTGGTGCGCCTGCTCGTTTAGGACATGTGGGAGGTGGTTCGCTGTCAGAGTCGTTAACAGGAGTGTCAACACGTGCAATCATCATGCGGTATTTGCGTGAAAATATTCCCCAGTCCTGCTGGCAATCTAAGCTTAAAGTTTGAAGGTACAACTACTGTACAGAAGTGCGGGGAATGCCGTGATAGTTGTGCTGATTGACAGTGATTGACAGGTCTGAAAGCCGGGGCTCAAGGACCAGGCCCAGGCTTGTGCAGACAATGAGCCGGACCCAAAGCCCTCATAGGCCCTACTCCAAAGCCCGGCTCGGCCAGGCTCAACAAGGCCAGGCTTGGCTCGGCCTAGGGCTTCAGGCCGGGCTTTGCACAACACTAGTAAAGATAGAGGATCGAATCCACACCATATGGTAATTGGTCGAGTTAGCGACATCCACTGGCTCACATGCCCTGGCTCACTCTTTGCGTAGGTATTGCATACCGATGGATCAGGCAAGCCGCTGTTTTACTGAAGCCGAACGCAAATTTTTCTCCTGCTGTGACACCGGAAGCAGTAAGCTTTTGGACCTGTCCGATAATCATTGACTGATTCGCAACTTGGATCCTCAGTTCCGGTCATCGTACTATTCACCAAATTCGATGCCCTCTACGACGTCGAATTCGCACGACTGACAGAAAACGGAACATCGAGGAAGGACACCAAGAAACTGGCCCCGAAGTATGCCGAAGAGACATTTGCAAACGGGCCACAACTGAAGTTTTTATATGACCCCAAGACCATCCGACGGCCTCCAAAATGCCACGTCTGCCTCCCAGGTAAGCTGTGAATCATTGAAGTCTGATACATGATGACTGTTGATCCAATAGACATGGACCAGGATGATGCTGATTGTGGGCCACTCATCGAACGGACTGCTGGAACTCTGGACAATGAAGTCCTGCAGCAATTGTTCGTCTCCACTCAGCAGACCAACTTAGAACTCTGCATGAAATATGCAGTTGAGAAGTATCTACCCATCATTTGCCTGGCACGAGCATTATTGACTATTGCCCAGGACACTTTCACAGCTTGTTCCCCCAGATGTGAATGCAGTAGCTAAATTGGGTGTCTGGTTTCCACATATTTTTGTAAGATGATGGGAATGTTCGAAAGTTGCTCTTATTTATGTTGGGTGTTTGTTTGCAGGTAGTATGTCTGTTGATCCCTTTTCGAGCCCGGGCCACGCTGATCCAAGTCGTTGCCCACTCTTCGCAGCCTGTGAGTGACTTGATCCTCCTTCGAGCTCGAGCCATGCTGATCCAAGTCGTTGCCTACTCTTCGCAGGTTGTGAGTGTCTTGATCCTCCTTCGAGCTCGAGCCATGCTGATCCAAGTCGTTGCCCACTATTTGCAGTATGTGAGTGTCTTGATCCTCCTTCGAGCTCGGGCCATGCTGATCCAAGTCGTTGCCCACTCTTCGCAGGCTGTGAGCGTCTTGACCCTCCTTCGAGCTCGAGCCATGCTGATGCACGTCGTTGGCTACTCTTCGCAGGCTGTGAGTGTCTTGATCCTCCTTCTATGCTGATTCCAGTTGTTGCACATCCGTTGACAGGATGTGAGTGTTGATCCTTCTTCGAACTCGAGTCTTGCTGAGTGAAGGAATTGCTGATCCTTCGGCAGAATGTGAGTATATTCATCCTTCACCGGCCTTGAGTTATACTCACCGAAAGACTTGCTGATTCGTCGATAGCTTGTAAGCGTGAACTTCCTCTGTCGACCTCCTGCCCTGCTCACTGATGCAATTGTCGATTCATTGTCAGAGTGTGAGTCTCTTCATGCGCTGTCGACTTTCAGCCCTGCTGACCAAGTACGTTGGGTGATTTGTTGACAGATTGTGAGTTGGTCTATCCGCCGTCAAGGTCGAGCCATACTTACTGAAGACATCGCCCACCCGTTCACAGAGTGTGAGTTGGTCGATCTGCTGTCAAGCTCAAGCCATGCTGACGGAAGACATCCCCCACCTGTTCACAGATTGTGAGCACATCAATCCTCTGTCGATCTCCAACATTGCTGATCCGTGAAATTGCTAATCCACATTGACAGTATGTGAGTGTGTTCTTCTGCCGTCGAGCTCGAGCCTTGCTCACTTGTGACATTGCTCGTTCACTCACAGGAAGTCAGTGGTTTAGTCCTCCGTGGAGCTCGAGCTTTGCTTACCACTCACATTGTGCATCCCTCAACAGACTGTGAGTGTCTGACCCCTCGAGCCTTGCTCACCAACGACATCGCTGATCCATTCATAGGACGTAAGTTTGTTCATCCTCCTTTGGCCTCGAGCCATGCTGACCGAAGACATTGACAGGATGTGAGTGTATTGGTTTTTTTTTTTTTTTAAAAAAAAAAAATCCTCGTTTATTGTCCTGTGGGGCGGAGCCCTATGTTGGACATTACATACAGTATTTAATCTTTGGCGTGTAGGTTGTGTTACGAATGGTGTTGTCGAGTCTCTGCAATGGCCCAGGCTGGGAGGCGAGGACAGTAGCGCCGTCTTAAGGCGTTGGAGTGTAGTTGATATGAGTTTCCCGGCGTGTTTCCGCTACCTCTCTATCCTTCTTCCTCGCGTCATCCTTTTCTCTTTCCTCTACTCCTTTTCCTTTTGGGGTGTGACGTCTCCGAAGACTGTTTCCAAGCGTTTTGTGCGTGCGATGTATTTGAGTGTCGCCCGTATGCCTTTCGTTTCACTGAGTAAGTACTTGACGTTGAGCTGCCGTGGTCCCACTTCCAGTCCTAGCGCGGATCTTTGTCTAGCGTACTTGGGGCATACTAGCAGAAGGTGATGGACTGTCTCTTCGTGTACTCGACATTGTTGACACATCGCGGATGGTGCACTTCCTATACAATGGAGGTATTTGTTGAGGGCGATGTGGCCAGTGCGAAGCTGGAACAGTAGGGATCCGTGTTTTCTGGGCAGATCTTCTATTCTCTTCGCAAATTTCTTGGACGGGGCAGTGTGGTCAATGGATTGGAGACGTGTGTAACGGGGGGATTCCCGCATTACGTTTGATGCCTCGTCTTTGATTCTGCCATAGAAATTTTGCTTGAGTGCTGACTTGCTTTGCGGTAGGGTTGCAACTGTGTTGTCCTTTGCTAGAAGTGACCTTGGTAACGAGCGCGTGTCTGACGTGCTTCCTGCTGCTGCCCTTTTCGCTTCCTCGTCCGCAGCCTCGTTCCCCGGAATGCCCACATGGCCTGGTGTCCATCTGATGACGAGTGTTCTGCCATCGTTGTGGGGGAGCAGTTTGCGTAAGTCGTCATGGAATATGTCGGCCAGATAGTGGCCTGGTCTTGACTGGAATGTTGTCATCGCGCGTATCGCGGCCTGGTTATCCACCCCTAGTACCATTGTCCTTCCTTCATTGACGCCTTCCTCCCTCAACAGCTCTAATGCCAGTATCATCCCTATCAGCTCCGCCTCATATACGGTGTGGTGTTTGATGCCTCCCAGGTGCAGTCTCTTGCTCCTTATGATCTCGTCTCCCCTCATTAGGACCGCTGCTCCCCCGACCTTCCCTTCTGTTGCAGAACCGTCCGAGTACACTCGTAGGTCCTCCGTCGCGCTTTTGTCCTCTTCCACGGCTCTCTCCTTCGTCTCTGCGATTCTCGTGTCGACGTCCGGTTCCCACTTGGGATAATGTCTTACAGCTTCGATCTTCTCGATCTTCGATGGATCTGTTTGGAATTCGTTCATTAGTCTATGCAGGGGTGACGGGTAGCGTTTTCTCCCCTTGAATTGCCTCTTTTCGCTGTATTCATATGCTCCCTTGATCTCCTTGACTAGTGGGTGCGGTGCTGGGAGCGTGGCCATCCTTATTGCGGCGCGATAGCATGTCTTCCTTAAGGTCTGTTGAAACGGGAGAACATTAGCGTGAGCATCTAATATGTCAGTGGCAGATGATCTTAATCCTCCGGTTATCATTAGCGTGGCCATCCTCTGGACCCTCGCCATCTGGGACGCAAAGCCTCTTGCTCCTCGGCCTCCCCCTCGTGCGCCCTTGCCTTTGCTTATCAAATTTGCGCACCATATATCTGCCACGTAGAGCATTTTCGGGAGCACAACGCTCTCGAAAAGGCGTCTTACTAACTTGCCGTGAACACCTCTCGTCGGTCGGATGATTCTTCTGCATGCTAGAGCATATTTCGTGCCTTTTGCCATGGCATGGGCCGCGTGTTCTTTAAAGTTGAGATCTTGGTCGAGGATGACCCCCAGGAACTTGTGCGACTTTGATGGTTGGATGGTGTGGTTGCGTATAATGATTGGGAGCCGGGGTGATGGGATGGTCTTGTTGGGATTCCTTGGATCTGGGATGTGTTTGCTGGAAAGACAGATTAGTGCGGTTTTCTCGAGTTCGAACTCAGCGTTGTGACTCTCGCTCCACTCAAGTGCGCCTCCTCGTTTTTCCATCATGACTTTGAGTTTGCCGTTCGATTCCTCGTAAGTTCTTCCTCTGGCTGCAAGCGCTACGTCGTCTAGGAATCCTAGGCTGAGTTCGCCCTGTCGAGGTCTATTGTCAGCGACTCTCAAAACACCTGAGTTGTAGAATACAAATCCTAGAGGTGACAGGGGGCACCCCTGGTCGATGCCGTCCACTACGTCGAACAGATTGGATTGGTAATCATCGAAAAATAGGTGCGTCGTGCGGCCGTCGAGGCGTCTGTTGTACCAGTTGACATATTCTTGTGGAATTCCAGCCTTTCTGAGGTTGTGCATCAGTCGGCGTACCACCACGCTTGGGAAGGCCGCTTTTACGTTGAGGAATAGTACCGAGACGTGATTGTTTTGGGAGGCCCAGGAGTCGGTGATGAACTTGGTGAGGAGTTGGAGCGAGTCCGTTGTCGATCGGCCTGGGCGGCCTCCAAAATGGGTGGGTGGGAGTAAGTTGTGCTGTTCTGATATATACGTTAGGTCGTCTGCAATGCACGATGAGAGGATCTTGGCCATAGTGTCCAGTAGTGTGACTGGGGCGGTAGGCTTTCGGTATGCTATAATCTGGCCTTCCCGGCTTTCTGAGTACTATAGTCGAGGACCTTTTCCACTCGTCTGGATATACTTCGAGCGTGAACGTTGCTCTGAATATCGGTCCCATATAGGGGACTAGGAGGTCGGCGCTGCGCATGAACACTATGTTGCTGACTCCGTTTAGGCCGGGAGCCTTGAGCGGGGAGAGTTTCTTGATGGCGTGGTGAATCTGTGTGTTAGTAATTAGCTCGAATTCAGCAGACAGGTTCGGGATACTCTGGGTTTGCTTCTATGTAGTCAGTTGGCTGGAGGGGGGCGGAAAAACACGTCGTAGAGCAGTTCGCTCTTACGAGCGTTGTCTTGCGTTGCGCCGTTGTGTTCGTTTGCCCTTGGGTCACTAAGCGTTTTGATCCTGGTATGTATCTGATCGTTCGGGGTACTTGCCGCGTATTTGTGGAGCGTCCATATTCCCGATAGGGTGAGGTCCTCTAGCCAGTCCTTCCAATGTGCTTCCTTAGCGCGTTTGATGTCC